GTGTGCAAAATAAAAAGAGATGTTTGACAGCATGTTCGAGCTGTTCTTTCTCTACTGTATAAAAACGAAACTCATAAGGGTTCAGAACCACTTAAGGGTGAGGTAATAGTGAGTAAATGTTCATTTTTAGGTGAACTATCTCTTTAATCACAACTATAATTATTAATATCTGTAATTACGGTCAGGATTACATTGTTGACACGTCTTTTACACCCAAATCTCACCCTTAATTCTACCCATACCACCAAACCTGTTCCTAAACTCTTAGTGTATTGTAATAAAATATGTAATATAAAGACCGCATTTAGGTTATATATAAATATATACAGTTGAGGTCAGAATTATTAGCCCCCCTGAATTATTAGCCCCGCTGTTTATTTTTCCCCCAATTTCTGTGCAACGGAAAGCAGATTTCTTCAACACATTTATCATTATAATAGTTTTAATAACTCATCTCTAATAACTGATTTATTTAAATTTTCCATGATGACAGTAAATAATATTTGACTAGATATTTTTCAAGCCACTTCTACACAGCCTAAAGTGACATTTAGGTTAATTAGGTTAACTAGGCAGGTTAGGGTGATTAGGCAAGTTATTGTATAACAATGGTTTGTTTTGTAGACTATTGGGAAAAAAAATAGCTTAAAGGAGGTAATAATTTTGACCTTAAAATTGTGTTTAAAAAATTAAAAACAGTTTTTTTTTCTAGCTAAAAATAAAACAAATAAGACTTTCTCCAGAAGAAAAAATATTATCAGACATACTGTGAAAATTTCCTTACTCTGTTAAACATTATTTTGGAAATATTCAAAAAAGATAAAAAAATTAAAGGGTGCTAATAATTCTGACTTCAACTGTAGTGGCACATCTTCTTATTTTTTTTAGACAGAAAGAAGAGTACAGTACAAGATTGAAGTAATTCATCCAAAAGGAGTGTCCAGCTGGAAGGGTGTGTATGTGTGTGTGTGCGTCAGGGGAAAAGGCAGCAGGTGTCTGTGGTTTATCAGATCAGTTCGGACAGATCTGGGATCAGTGAACTGTTCACGTCTGACCCCCATGCAGCAGCTCTTGCATTGGTTTAAAGCCATATGCATGTGATCCATCAGGCCCCGCCCCTTTCCCTCTCTCGCTCCTTCCCTCTCTGTGTGTCTCATTGCGTGCTCACTGCTCTGTTTGCTCAACGGCAGCATGCGGAGCCTACAGTCACTCACCTCTCCTAAAATCCCTCGTTCTTTGCAGGGATGAACAGCTTATGTTCTCTGCTGTGCATCAAGTACAGGTAGGACAGACGAGACTCCCGCTGGCTTATCAGGCTGATGTCCAGAACTCCAGGTTTTTGTAACTTTAGAGCAACCTCTCAATCCTTCGCTGTCTTTCTCTTTCCGTTTGTTTTCATTGACTGGAGTTTTGTTTTCAACCTGCTTATCTCTTGCAATGTAAAAGGAAGAGGTTAAACCAGTTTAGGGCTTTCAAACCTCAGACAACTGACAACTAATCGCCCTGACATTCTGGGTTTCTGTAAAAGAGTTTGTTTACTTTGTAAGCTGGTGTGTTTTGATATAATTGAACTTTATACTGACTGCTTCCAGACGTTTAGTTTAAAAACAAGTTGAAAGAAAATGTTTCAGTTGGATCTTGGTTGTAAATATGTGTGTTTACTCACTGACAGCATTGTCAAGCACAAAGTTAGCTTAATCTAGTAAATGTCATCAGGGAATGTACTGTATTTACTTTTATTATGCAATAAGCTCAAAAAAACAATAAAATATTCAACAATATATTGGCTAACTATGCAGGGTGTCCGCAGGGTCTTGTCTTATATCTCAAAATCAAAATTTTAGGCCTTAAAAAAGTCTTTAATCTGCTGAAATATTGGGTTGTAGGTCTTAAATCTTCTTTTTAACAGCTCTTAAATTTTCATTTGTCCATGTACAGCTACCCAATCTTGCCAAAACCCATACGACAATGCAACTTTTTACTCAAAAATGGCATATTTACTCCATTTACCATAATGGTTTAATTATTTTCCTTACTATAGCATTTGTTTAAAAGTTCTCCATGTATTTACTGCTGAGGGTACTAACCTGACATATGTATTATTATTCAATTAATATTGTATTATTAATTTCATTCAATTATGGTACATTTTTGATAGGGCAAGTGAAAATATTTTCCACTTTAATATTCTAAAATGTTTAGCCCTGTATAAATCTAAGATTTTATTCACAGTGGTCTCAAAAATGTCTTAAAAGCCTAAAATTTAACTTGGTGAAACCTGCAGAGACCCTTAATTACAATGACATTATTATATTTACACTTGTTATAATGTCAAATGTTTTATTTTTTGTGTATCGTTTGGGTCTTTAGCCTTTATAATTAGTTTCATATAAAACAATACTGAGAATTGTGAGACATAAGGAATAATTCACTTAGAAAATAAAAATGTAAGGGAAAAAGTGACAATTCTCTTGTCGTTTACCCTTTTGACTTTTGTTTCTTTAGTGTAAAAGATAAAAGGAGAAGTTTAGCAGTATGTTCAACCTGTTCTTTCTCTACTATTAAACAAAAAATAATTAAAACAAGGGTTTGTCAAGCTATAAAATGAGCATAAAATGTGGACAGTTTGCTTATTATTATTAAATTATAATTGTTTTACTAAATGTATCAAATTAAAATCTTGTTTTTATTTGATAGGGCAAGTGAAAATCTTTTGCAATTGTGATATTCTAAAAGCGTTTAGCTCTATATAAGTCTGAAAGTTTTTTCATAATGGTCTTAAAAAGGTTTTAAACTTCATGCCTGCAGAAACCCTAAAAATTTGATGTTTTAAGTACAATGAAATTTTTATATTTACACTTGTTATGTCAAATGTTTTATTTTTTGTGTAGCTTTTGGGCCTTTAGTCTTTATAGTTAGTTATATATAATAACAATACCCAGAAATGTGTACAGATTTAAGGAATATTTCACTTAACAAGTAAAAATGTAAATAAAAACTGTGAAGAAAAAATGTACAACTGAATTCTCTTGTCGTTTACCCTTTTGATGTTTGTTTCTTTAGTGTAAAAGATAAAAGGAGAAGTTTAGCAACATGTTCAAGCTGTTCTTTCTCTACTATAAAACAAAAAAGAATTGAAACTAGGCTCTGTCAAGCCATAAAATGTGGACAGTTTGCTATTTTCTTATTATTATTATTATTATTAAATTATTATTTTATTATTAAATGTATTCAATTAAAATTGTATTTTTATTTGATAGAGCAAGTGAAAATCTTTTCCAACTGTGATATTCTAAAAGCGTTTAGCACTATATCAGTCTAAAATTTCATTCATAATGGTTTAAAAAATGTCTAAAGTCATGCCTGCAGAACCTTTGTTATTGGATATTTTAATTACAATGAAAAAATTATATTTACACTTGTTTTAATGTAAAAAAAAATATTTTTGTGTTTGATTAGGCCTCTAGTTATTATAAATAGTTTATTAAAAAAAACAATAATTAGAATTGTGTTCAGATATATAGGAATTGTACGCTTAGAAAGTAAAAATGTGAAGAAAAAATTACAAATTCCCTAGTCATTAACCCTTTTGACATTTGTTTTTAGCGTAATTAATAAAAGGAGAAATTTAGCTGCATGTTCAAGCTGTTCTTTCTCTACTATTAATCAAAAAATAATTGAAACTAAGGTCTGTCAAGCCATAAAATGAGCATAAAATGTGGACAGTTTTCTTCTTATTATTATTATTATTAATAAATTATTATTGTATTATTAAATATATTAAATGAAAATCTTTTTTGATAGATCAAGTGAAAATGTTTTACAACTGTGATTTTCTAAACAAAAATCTTTAGCGTTTAGCCCTGTATAAGTCTGAAATTTCATCCATAATGGGCTTAAAAATGTCTTAAAAACCCTGTTATTAGATATTTTAATTATAATGAAATTATTATATTTGCTCTTGTTATTATGTAAAATGTTTGATTTTTTTGTGTATCGTTTGGGCAAAGAGCTTAGAATGACCAAGATGCAACACTCAATAAAACGTTCCATTGCACCAGCAGCACCCAGCAACAGCCCCGGATTCCGCCATTTTGGAGTGAAAGCAATCGGCTGTCCAGTGGATCTTATTGCTGTTGTGATGGCGAGCAGCTGCTTTGTTTTTTAATTATTTATTTTAAAAGCGCATTAAAGCTGAGATACAACCTGAAAGACGACAATACAACCCTTACTATCACAGTCATCAGCACTTTTAATAGTTTATTTACAGTCTTATAATATGCTGTAGTTCTATTGGAATTTTCATTCCAAAACGGCGCCATCTAGTGGCTGTTTTCCAAATTGCACTAGAGTGTTGCCTCTTGGTGATTCTACGCTCTTTGGTTTGGGCCTTTAGTCTTTAGAATTAGTTTAATAAAAAAACAATACTGAGAATTGTGTTCAGATATGAGAAATAATTCACTTAGAAGGTAAAAATGTCAAGAAAAAAAATTGCTAATTATTTCTCTTATATATTTCAACATTTGTTTCTTTAGTGTAGAAAATAAAGAGAAGTTCAGCAGCATGTTGAAGCTGTTCTTTCTCTGCTATTAAATAAAAGAGAATTGTAACTAGGGTCTGTCAAGCCATAAAATGAGCTTAAAATTTGGACAGTTTCCTATAAAACAACTTTTGTACTCCACAGAAGTAAGAAAATAAGGTTTGTAAACAAATACGAGTGATGTGATTTATTTGTGGGATGTTTCCATAAGACCGCATGCATATTGACCGCTTTACGTGCTTGTTTGAAGTGTAGGCTTGTATTCTCTCTTTGGAGTGTTTGATTTGCCCTTTGAGAAAAAGGGTTCAAAGTTCACCTTGCTCATGTCAGACGTAACCAGCAGCATGTGTGTTTACTCTGGTTGGGATTGTTTCCTAAACCACACCTCATGGAAAGCATTAAAGCGAACGCGGAACGGACATCACTTGTTTGACCGTCTCTTCTTGTCTCTTTCCCTCAGGAGGTGTTTCCAGACGGCTCATTTCTACGTGGAGGACAGCAACTCGCCCAGAGTCGTGCCCAATGAGAGCATTCCAGTAATCCCCATCCCAGGTTTGTGTCCGAATTTAAAGACAGCGAGTGTTTTTGACAGGATCTGATGTCAGTATGGTTAATCAAAACATTGCATGCGTGTATTACCTGTTGCACTATGGGTAAAAGGTTGGGTTACATAATATTTTGAACGCTGCCAAGTTTGCACAAAGCCGTGGCTGTCATCCTAGCGGGAGACTGTTGGTGTGGAGCAGATCTCGACGGTGCGCTCTCTGCAGATTGTTATTCTGTGCGATTAGTGTAAAATCAGAAAATCCATCGCAGTATTGATCTTAACATGAAGTGGCTCTAATGAAGTTTTCTGCTTCTGGGAAACGGAAAGGAAAAACAGCTGTGGTATAAGGTGCAGGGTGTTACACCTCCTTGTGGTTGATTTCATAATAATATATTTTATTCATAACATGTTTGTACTGCTACTACTGCTAACAAACACCCAGCCATAAGGATTTACATTTCTCTCACACTACAAAAGCCTAGTTCACACTACGGGATTTTAAACCTGATTTGAGCCAGATTTGGAAGTTAACAAGCTCGCCGACAGATGGGGTTGTGATCAGGAAAAAATCTAAGGGTGTTCGGCAGTCTTTGGGCCCTATCATACACACGGCGCTGTGTGGCGCAAGGCGTGGCGCAATAGTCTTTTGGTAGTTTCAGCTTGGCGCAAGAGTCGTTTTGAGGCGTTGCGCTACGCTGTTTAAACAGCAAATGCATTAGCGCTCATTTGTGCGCCCATAGGCGTTCTGGTCTAAAAAGGAAGGCGTTCTGAGGCGGACCGCTGGCGCGTTGCTATTTTGAGAAACTATAATAGATTTTTCATTAGACCAAAACTAACCCGGTCTAAACTCCGGCGCACAGTTGCGCCTCGCTTACACACTGCTTAATACACACAAGAGAGCAATAGGCAAATATCTTTACATATGAAAACAATTTAATAAAATTGTTAATATAAAATATGAAGGATATATATATAGGATATAATAAGAATAGATATAGGATATAAATATAAAGAATTAAAATATTACAAAACATATTATTTTCTAGCCTACATAAATATGAAAAATCACTGCTTTTATGTCTTCTTCATCTCGGGAGGCTTTTTCAGTTCATTCATAACAATTAGCTTTTGTATAATGTCATTACTATTAGCAGTATTATTTATTATATCCATATTTATATTTGTTTTATTAAAAACAAGCTTAGATTTGCCCACCTGTCAGGTTTTAGACCATATGGGGCACAGCATGTGTTTTAGGATATAACTCAGGTTTTTGAAGACATTTTGTTATTGTTGTTCATTTATTCGTTTGCTGGAAATTAGAACTCAATTTAGAAATAGTTTTGAAACGAATTTTTGCGCTTAACAAGCAAAATTATTTATTTTTTGGCTAATTGATGTCTGTGCGTAAAGGTTTCCCTATCCAAGAGTGAAAGTGAAAGTAGATCATTTATCTCTCATTCTCACGCAGTAGATGCTCTGTTTAACAGTTTTCTGTTAAAAAACTGTTAACTGTTTGCTTGTGAAATGCTTATTTTTTCCACTTAGACTTATTTTACGTCCTGTAAATAGCGAATGCGCTTTTGCCGCGACGCAGCTGGCTCTTAAAGGGAATGGAAGATGAGACTCTAATTGGTTTATTCTCAAAATACACCTATAACTCATTAAGAAAATAAACTCAACCCTTTTAGACCATGTGCCATGGCGCAATGCGGATTTTCCCGTCCTTAAATTAGCAAAAATGCGTTCTGACACGCCCTGAAAGCGTTTGCGCCCTGCGTTTTGCGCTCTGCGCATGGACCGTCAAAATAGAGCCCCTAATGTGTGAACTACTGAACAACGCATCAAAGAGGCTCGCTGATAGAGAATGGTCTGGCTGCAGAGTGGAACTTGCATCTTCAGGCTTGCACTCTCAGACTTGCACGTCTACAACTTTCACTTACAACTTACAACGTTTTCAACTATCTGCCACATACTGTCTTAATATTCTGCACTTTATTCACCATGACCTGCTCTGTGCTGCAAGTGACGGCATTCTGGATTTTGGCTTTTGCTTGAATGCTGGCTCTGAACTGCCTGAACACCTCTAAAAATGTATTTTGAGTTGTGAAAAATGAAAAAAAATTAACCCGTTCAGATTTTTATGATGGAGAAAAGTTTCAAAGGCATTGTGTCAATACGATTGAAACAGCGTGAGGTCAAATTAATTTTTTAAAGTGCAAACATTTCAGAAAGGTAATTTCAGACTCAAGGTTTTCGGACTTGAGTCATTTCAGACTCAAGTCCGAAATTTTTAAATGCCATTTTTTTTTTCTGTATACAAACCCAAAAAATTTGTCACGCACACAACCCATATTTTAACAGTTTCAAATAATGGTTTACACACACAGCATTGTTGGTTTAAAAGCATAATCAAACAAACATAATCCTGTAGCACTACTACACTCGATTTAGGTTTTATTGTAAAAAAAAAAAAAAAAAAAAGTTGTTATATGAGAATCTGAAATATTTTACGGCAAACTTTAAAAAAATAAAGATGATTTAGTATTCAAAAATGATTTATTTTTATTATTTTTTAAAATAAATTAGTCTTACTCTTCATATTTTCTGATTTTAATACACTGTAAAACCCAAAAAGTTAAGGTACAGTAACTCAATCCATTTGAGGAAACCGATTGCAACAAAACATTTAAGTTCAATAACTAATCCTAATGAGTACTGTGAACTTAATCCATTTGAGTAAACGAAGCAATTTAAACACAGTAACACCCAATAAATGAGGAGAACTCAAGCCAACTGAGTACTGTAAAAACCAATAAGTTAAGGCAACTCAAACCGTTTGAGGAAACCGATTGCTACAAACCATTTGAGTTAAAAAAAAAACTAATCTATCTGAGTACTGTGAGCTTACTCCATTTAAGTTGAAGTAATGAGGTATTAAATTAACTCATTAACTTCAACACTGAGTTCAAAACTCTTTTCAAATGAGAACTTTCAGTAAATTTAGAGTTAACCACACTCATTTCATTTGATAAAGTTGACTGTTGGGTTTTACAGTCCAGTATATGTATTAATTCCGGTACTTTTACTATAAACCAGCATATCAACCATTTGGTAGAGGTTGATATTTTAGAAATGATGGGCTGTGTTGAAACAAAACGCATTGATTGTGTTAACTAGCACCATAAGGAGTTCAGAAATGCAATCCAAACTTTTTTTTTTATTTATTTTTTATTTTTTTTGGTGGGGCAGTTAAAGGGTTAAGTTGGACTAGATGTGAATGAGCTAAATTGAAGTGTTTTTTTTTTTTTGGATAGGCACAGCTACATGTCTGAGGAAACATGGTCTTGTCAGGTTTCTTTAGAGTCTTTGCGTTTGGCAGTAAAAATAAGTACGGTTTATCTGCACCCTCCGCATGTAAACACACACTCAACAACACACGTACACATTACCCATTAAGGTTGGAGCCAAGAAAATGGCTTCATCTGACTGGCCTGTATCTCTATTTGGCTCATTGCCTTTGTGTGTTTGAGTAAATAATTAGTGGAGAGCGTAATGGAACAGAAGTGGACAGTGTGTCATTTTTCTTCTTTCTGGGTCTGGAAGTTTCAGGTCTGGGTTAGTCAGTGTAGTGGAACCCAGATCTTAATGCAACAGGAGTCATTGATTTGCTCGGGCTTTCCCATAAGCACTTCATTGGAACCAATTTTCATTGTTACACTGTGGCACGACTCACAATACCGGTGGCATGGTGCCCTCAATCCAATTTGAGCATCTGTGTTCCAGCTTGGCAAGGTTTGGCCTCAGTATTTACAAAGATCCATTTAGTGTGGGTAGCAGACTCTCTCTCTCTCTTTCTCGGCTGGCTTCAACTCATATGGCGCTTTGAGTTCACTGTCCTTTCAAACATGGACACTTTCCTGCTAAATAGGGCCTTCAGTTTCTGGCTGAATTTCCCAGTTTGCTTCTGGCATTCATGGATGCCAGAATTCATTTGGTAGCTGCATTCAGTTGCAGGCACTTTGGAATACAGACAGAACATGTGTGCATTGCTTTTTCGTTAAACCCAAAAGCTTTCAGATCTAATAAATAATTTTTTAATTGTAATAGTTTTTCTGAATTCATATTTTATTGTTATGTAGGTCGAATAAATGCAACCTTAGCAAGCATAAGTGATTTAAAAAATCGGATTAACCCCATCTTTTGAACTGAAGTGTATGTAAATATTGTATTATAAAGTATTGTATAATGGCCTATGTTTTGTCATCATATCTAGCTTACATAGCTTTAGATGTGTGGTGTTTGTGTGTATGTCTTATTTTTTGTCTCTTTACAAAAGTATTCAGATTTAGACAGTATATTTGTAAAGAGAGACGGGTTGCAACAGAGAACTTTCAGATGCAGCTTTATTTAGGCAAAGGGACAGTCATATAGGCAGGTTTAACATGTACAACATAGGTAATCCAACAGAGGGATCCAGAAACACAGGAGAATGGTCAGGACAGGCGGTATAAGAACAAACAAGGACCAAAAAACACAAAAGGCAAGACAAAAAAACAGTAGGAAATGCTCACTTACAGTAATCAAGACTCAGCAACTGTGTGCGTGTGTGTGCACTCTGTGTTTATAGTTCATCTGACGCCCGATTCACACGAGGCTTCAGCGTCAGCGCTTGACAGAGGGCGTGTCTGAAGTTAGGGCTAACGCGATTGTCATAGCAGCATCAGCCAATGAAATTAGTCAGCAATCGGCTACTGTCTGAGCTGGTGTATTTCCATGAAGCAATCTGATTGTCTGACGCTTCCGTTGGCGCTTAAAGTTGAGAAAGTCCCAACTTCTGCAGCAAGCAGTACCATTGAAGCTGCGCCGACGGATCCACAATGCAATTCCTCAGCACCTGACTTCACCCATTCAAAGTGAATGAGAAGTGTTGCCACTGACACCCTGTGTGAATGGGCCGTGATATCCCTGAACAGCTTCAGCTGTGTGTGTTTGCAATCTGGGAGAATCTGGGCCAGGTGTGTGAGTGAAGTGCATGATGGGATCTGTAGTTCATTAAATTGGCAGATTTGTTGTTCTCCAGCGATCTGCAAATGTGTTTTTAGTCACTTTTCAAAAGGATTCATTAGTTAACAGAGAGAAGATATTTTTCAGCACATTTCTAAACATAATAGTTTTAATAACTCATCTCTAATAACTGATTTATTTTATCTTTCCATGATGACAGCAAATAATATTTTACTAGATTTCTTTCAAGACACTCCTATACAGCTTAAAGTGACATTTAAAGGCCTAACTAGGTTAATTAGGTTAACTAGGCAGGTTAGGGTATTTAGGCAAGTTATTGTATGATAAACATACTGATTATTAGTTATAATAAATATACTGACCATTGTGTTCTTGTAGAATAACTTATATTAATTGTTTGTTTACATATTATCTAAAATAAATAGTATCAATAAAAGTCAATAAACTAACTAACCATGAGGCTGTAATGAGGGTCTGCAGGATCTTATAATTCATCTGTTCTAATGATGATAACAAAAGAGCAAATATACAGATGAGGTTAGAATTGTTAGCCCTCCTGAATCATGAGCCCCCCTGAAAAAAAATATCCACAATTTCTGTTTAATAGAGAGAAAAAAATGTCAACACACTTCTAAACATAATAGTTTTAATAACTCATTTTTTAATAACTGATTTATTTTATGTTTGCCTTAATGAAAATAAATAATATTTGACTAGATCTTTTTCAAGATACTAGTATTCAGCTTAATTAGGTTAATTAGGCAAGTTAGGGTAATTAGGAAAATCATTGTATAACGATGGTTTGTTCTGTAAACATTAAAAAAAATATATAGCTTAAAGGGGCTAATAAAATTAACCTTAAAATGGTCTTCAAACTAATTAAAACTGCTTTTCTTTCTAGTCAAAATAAAACAAATATGACTTTCTCCAGAAGAAAAAATATTATAGGAAAAACTGTGAAAACATCCTTGCTCTGTTAGACATAATTTGGGAAATACTCATAAAAGAAAAAGAAATTAACATCAACTTTTGTCTGTTTCAGATGATATGGAGGCCATCCCTGTGAAACATTTCATTAAGCATGTATCAGAGCTCTACTCCAACAACCAGCATGGCTTCTCAGATGATTTTGAGGTAAGATCTTCCCTAACACACAGAAACACACACACACACACACACACACACACACACACACACACACACACACACACTTTACATGTTTCTATAACTCTTCCCTTTCAGCAAACTCCCACAGACTTTTGTAAACACGCGTACCGTCTGGTGTGGTTCCCTAGGCTTGGCTCCAGCGGTTCTGTTGACAGTTTCTGGTGTCAGTCTGTGAACAGCTGGGTCGGGATCCCTCCGCGGATGTTTGTTATTTCTGGCAGGTGTCCGTACAGGACAAGCCAGTTCAGCTCAGCCTGTGTGAGAATGAATTAGACCATCTGAACACTGCCGTCTTTTTTTCACACCAAGTTTGGACTCTCTCTGCTGTGTATGTTAGCGCAGAAGCCAGAAAACCACGACAACATTCTGTCAGGCTAATGTGATGGCAGTTTGTACCAGAATGACTAGTAATTAGTTGTCCATTGAGTTTTGGGCTGCAGCGTCTGCTTGTGCTGTTAGCTGAATATCAATGAAGCAGGTTTGGCCCCCGATGTTCATCTGCAGGTTAGAGCAATACACACACACACACACACACACACAGGTTGGGTTTTACAGTCTATCTCTGCTGTACATCAGTATACTGAAGCATCCTGATGTTCCAGAGGTCTTTTACGCAGTAAATGGATGAGGTGTGCGGGCTCTAAAGATTGCTGAAAATCTCTGAACATAGCTGAAATGGAGTGTTACAGAATATTTTGATTTGTAAAGTATAATCAGTTCAGATGGCGGCACGGTGGCTCAGTGGTTATCACTGTTGCCTCACAGAAAGAAGGTCACTGATTTGAGTCATTTGGGATTTCTGTGTGGAGTTTGCATGTTCTCCCGTGTTGGTGTGGGTTTCCCCCACAGTCCAAAGACTTGCGCTATAGGTGAACTGAATAAACTAAATCGGCTGTAGTGAATTAGTTTGTGTGGGTGTTTCCCAACACTGGGTTGCAGCTGGATGGGCATCCATTGTGTAAAATATATGCTGGAATACTTGGGGTTTCATTCCACTTTGGTAATCTCTGAAATAGAGGCTAAGCCGAAGGAAAATGAATGAATGAATCAGTTCAGCAGTGCAGCCTCCGGTTAAATGTACATGCTTTTATTTGGATTGACCGTTGTATTTAATTCAATCTTAATTTAATTCATCATTTTGCTGTATTTTATTTAATTTATTCATCATTTTAATACATTTTCTTCTTTTTATTTTATATTTGCATTACATTTATTCGTTTAGAAGATGCTTTTATACAAGACGATTTTCAAATGAGGATAAAACAACCACTTCAAATGATCAGAGAGCAGCAATATATAGATGCCATGGCAAGTCTACAACATACGCTCATTCTGAAAACGTAACCTTATATACATTCTGGAGATCGCGAAATATGTAGCCCAGAGGTGTCCAAACTCAGTCCTGGAGGGCCGGTGTCCTGCAAAGTTTAGTTCCCACCCCAATCAGACACACCTGGGCTAGCTAATCAAGCTCTTACTAGGCTTTCTAGAAACACCCTTGCAGGTGTGTTGAAGCAAGTTGGAGCTAAGATCTGCAGGACACCGACCCTCCAGGACCAAGTTTGGACACCCTTAGGCCCTGTTTACACTATTGCGTTTTAGTTTGAAAAGGCATAAGTTTTGCTACGGTTACGCCATCTGTCCACACTACGGCGGAGTTTTCGAGCACCGAAAACGATGCGTTTTGGAAAAGCTAAAGAGGCCGTTTTCTTTCTAAAACGCTGCTGCTCCGTCTCAGTATGGATGGGGGATAATGGAGGCATCTGAAAACGGGGGCGGGGCTGCCGACATTCTCTACCTGATTGGGGCTTTGGTGTCATTGCGTATCCTTCCCTTATTCTTCAAGCCCCTATCACATGACTATAACACATGGCTTTAACGCTACCGGAAGACGGGGTTCGAGTTCGGCGAAGACCAGTTCCATAAAGCAGTTTGAGTAAGACAAAAACAGAAGCAAGCAGAAACAAGTGAATAACAGGGTGACTGTGATAAATCTGAAAATGTAGTAAAAATCAGACGAGGACTTTCCTTTTTTTTTGGATTGCTTTTGAAAACACTGTCGGATGGGTTTAGGGAAGTGGGTCGGTGGGCTATCGGTCAGACAGTCAGTCAACAGCGGCCTCTGGTGGATTTACATGAGAAGAGCAAGATCGATTTGCACTCGAGAGAGAGATCTGAAAAAGCGTACACAGCTGCCTCTGGTAGATTTGCAAAAACAAAAACTGCAAAAAAAACGTAACTTTAGGAACATATTTGGTGCTCTCCAGAAATGTATATAGGGGTACGTTTTTAAAATGAGCCTGGGCTGCAAGTCTAAGTGAGATTAGCAGTTTTGTTTCCACTTTAAGTCATTGTAATGGAGTGTTATAAGAGCGTTCAGAAAAAACAAAACACCAGCGAAAAAACTCGACATAAAGGAACATTAACACCTCACAGCCAACTAGCGTTTTGGAAGTGTTATTGCAGAGCTACAGAAACAGCGCGCAGAAGTATAAATGCACAGCTATTCTCTAAATGCACAGCTATCCTCTCGTTGTGGGTCGATCACTTGACATAGAAGTATAAACCAGGCTTTAAACAAATGCTGGATAAGTTGGCGGTTCATTCTGCTGTGGCGACCCCAGATTAATAAAGGGACTAAGCTGAAAAGAAAATAAATGAATGAAAAAGAGGTAGACTGAAGCACATATTTCCAATGAACATTTGTTGGAAAATAAATAGATGTAAATTCTTACTTGTAGCACATTCAATCAGAATATTGCATTAATTTACTTAAACTTTCAATCAAATGTCAGCCCAAATTTTTCCTACTAATTTTTTAGTTAATATCCCTATTAATCCCTGCCTGTTGTGTTTGTTGTCCAGCTAATCATTGGATTTAGCATCAAAAGTAGGTCTCCTACTTTCCCTCTTTCAGAGGAGAAAATGAGGGAGGGGCCTCTGGGGGTTACTGAGGGTCCCCTAAAGGCCTCGCTTGGCCCCTTTGTTCAAAACTGGCTTGATTGGCGCAGGGATGTGCCTCAAAAGTGTGTGTTTGCGTGTGCATGTAGGCTTGATGGACATTGGGAAGTGGTTCCAAGGGGCGCTTCTGGTGCTGTTTCCCCTCAATGGATTCCTCTGTGGTTCCTAACCCTTCTCTCTCGCCTCCACTGCTCAGCAGGGAGAAAGAGGGATGACAGCTGAGCCAAACCCCCTTTTGGATGAGCCCCCCAGGCCCCTGACAAGTGGCTTTGTGCAGCTCGGCCTGAAGAAAGCAGCGGTGGCAGTGATCATGGGAGCCAGGAGGAGTGGAAGGGTATTGGCTTGGCCTGGACAGGCACAGGGATTATGTGAAGCCCAGGCATGAGATTTTTAGGGGGGAGGAAAGAAACAACCCCAAAGGAGGGGAAAAAAGGAAGAGGACACTTGGACAACTTCGGCATTCAGCTGAAAGCGAGAGGAGAGTGAATGGAGAACGCTAGAAGGGAAGACAGGCCCATTTCTACTTGTGTTTTTCATGTATTTATTTACTCATTCATTTTTTTTAAACTCTAAGGGCCCTATCATACACCCGCGCAAAATAAGGTGCAAGACTTCTTTGGCGTGATTTGATGCTATTTTCAGACCAGCACAACCCTAATTTTCACATTTTGCACCACGTTGTTTCAATAGCAGATCTATAAGCACCACTTTGACCATTTGCACCACTCATGGGTGTTCTGGTCTAAAAAGGAGGTGTGTTAAGGCGCATTGTTGGCGCGTTGCTATTTTGAGGAACTAAAATAGGCTGCGCCATTGACCAAAACCTGGTGTAAAGTCCAGCGCAGAGCGTGTTAGTTATGCACATATGCGCTTCCAAAAAAAAACAATTAAAGCTTAAAAACTTTACATAAATTATTATTTTCTACATAAATATAAAAACATTACCTCCATGCCTTTGGAACTACCTTTAATAACACTATGGCAATAAAAAAATGGTGTTACAACATTACCATTGTACAAAACAAGTGTGTTTAAGAGTAAAACATGCAGACAAGGTCCATGTTTTGCTTAAACATCAGCTTGATCACTTTGATTGTTCATGTAAACATTACATTGGGATACATCACTGAGAATGAATTTATTCCAATCGAAACAATTGATTTTCAAGTAAATCAAGCCACTGAGATCCTCTTAAGGGGGAACTTGACCTTCAGCCTCCAAATCCTGGCCATCATCTCACTTCTCAACCTTGCTATATTTTTACCTTTTGTCTTTCTCAGCCAACAAGTTGCATCTATTTAAAAAAAATACCCATTTGATGCATTTAAAGAATTGAATATGCTAGTTGGATGTACTTTTTCACTCAATAAATTAGAATGGGGTTATAATGCTGTGTTCACACCAGACGTGGAATGCGTGGATAAATCGCGCTATAAATAGCCGCCTGAACATTTGATGTTACTCGCTTCATTCGCGTCAAACCCCGCTTCATTCGCGTGTCCAATTCACTTCAGAACAGTCGTGGATTCGTGTGATGGCCAGGGCTTCTGCCTGCCCCGTGACTCGAGCTTCATAGCTAAAGGGCTAACATGGATTTTATGAAGAAAATAACAGTGTTTATGTGCTTTATGAAGGATGATAAACAGCGTCGATGCGTTTAGGGCCGTGTCTGAGTCCACTACATCCTTTCAGAGGTGCATCCAGCTCTTTAAGCTCATAGACTCCTCCAGAAACTGAACCTGGCTGATGGAGGTTTTCCATCAGGTTGACTGAGCACAGCCCCGTTTGATGACCTTCTTGTCGGTGTCTGCTGGGGGATTTCCCCTGGGACACCGACAACAGACGATACGTCACAATCACACCCCCACAAGAGCAAGCTCCTGATTGGTTAACGTGGCGTGAATGTCCGATAAAATTCAGATTTTCGAACTCGAGTGATTCGCGCGAAACTCGCATTAAGCGCGTCAAACGCGCAAAACGCTCAATTCGCGCCACGCCATTCGCACGTATCGCGCCATGCGCATCGCGCCATTCGCGCAATTCTCGTCATTCGTGCCACGCCATTCGCGCGTATCGCACCACAGGATGTCTATTCACGCGTTTGCATTGACTTAACATGTAAATCACTCGCGCTTGACACGCGTTCTGCATCTGGTGTGAATCCAGCATTAGAGTTCATGTAATCAGATAGTTCACTCCAAAATGTGCTCACTATGTACTCACCCTCAAGTGCTTCAAAACTTTTATGAGGTTTCTTATTCTGTTGAAGATATTTTGAAGAAAGCTGAAAACTTTTGACCTTCATAGTAGGAAAAACAAATATGGAAGTCAAGGGTTCCAGCTTTCATCCAAACATCTTTATTTTGTGTTTAACAGAAGAAATGCTTAGAACAAGTGAAGGTTGAGTAAAGGATGACAGAATTTCCATTTTTGGGTGAACTATCCCTTTAAAAACAATTATATCATATAATACCACCAACATCACAGGATGTCACAAGTCACACATGAACAGAAGTAAGCCGTGACGTTCAGCAAAGTATTAGCTCTTACCCTTACTTAACCGTACTAATAGTAGGGTTAGTTCAGGTGCAGGTAACCAGAAACCACACAGGTGCATGTGTGCGGATGATACAGTACTGAAAACAGCCTCTGGCAGATTTTTAAACATCCTGTGGTTTTAACAACCATGTCCACACACCCCTCAGACGCAACACAAACACAACCAACTTAAGCACACGCTGAAAATTCGTGTTTTTACAGTACATCTCTTACATGTGGCTGCAGTCTGTCATTAGACAGCATCATGTATTCACATTTTAATGAGAGATCAGTTAGGAGTCAGAATGTCAGCTGTGTTTGCAAACTGAAGAGAATATTTGTGCTAATTATAGAGGTTGTCTATAATATTGTATGTCACACGTGGTCAGGGGTGACGCGGAGGCGCAGTAGGTAGTGCTGTCGCCTCACAGCAAGAAGGTCACTGGTTGGAGCCTCGGCGGGGTCAGCTGGCATTTCTGTGCGGAGTTTGCATGTTCTCCCTGCGTTCGCGTGGGTTTCCTCCGGGTGCTTCGGTTTCCCCCACAGTCCAAAGTGTATTAGTGTGAATGGATGTTTTCCAGTGATGGGTTGCGGCTGTAAGGGCATTGACTGCGTAAAAAATGTGCTGGATAAGTTGGCGGTTCATTCCGCTGTGGTGACTCCAGATTAATAAAAGGACCAAGCCGGAAACATTCTGGTGACCAATTGCTATTGACCTTATTCTGTGATGTGGAAGTGCGCTCGTTTTTTGCAATTGGAAACTTCCGATTCAGTTACCCATGAGATAAATGACTAGGAATAATAAACGTCAGAAAACTGTAGTGATGGGAAGTTCGGATCATTTTACTGACTCGGAACGCTCATCGAGGTGAACAAATCTTTTTTCAAGTCATTTCGTTCATTTTGTTCAATTTGCGAAATTAATATTTAAAGGTTACGAGTTGCTCATCTACAGCTACACCAAAACGTTGATCACACTACAAACAAGGCATAACTAGAATGCTATAAGAAAAGTGAAAATAATTATTTATTGTTTACCTGCTGTTTTGTCTAGGATTATGTCATCTCACCTCTTCTGATGGGTCTTCAAATTTAAGTGGTTCGTTCACGTTACACTGACGGTCCCAAATAAGTTTAACCAAAGCACACAGCCTCAGCCGAAAGGAGCCATGATTAGTTTATCTTTCGAGTCATCTGGTTTTTGAGTTGTTCGTTCATTGGTGACAGCATGTAAAGAGAGATTACTCAAATTGATGACTTGAGAAATTAATGAATCAAATCTTTTTCTGGCTCTAAATGCATATGATCGGCTTCTGTCTTTCACGTGATGAACAAACGACTCAAACTGAGGACTCGAGAGATGAACAGATCAAATCTTTTTCTGGCTCTAAATGCATATGATTGGTTTCTGTCTTTCACATGATGAACGAACGACTCAAACTGAGGACTCGAGAGATAAACAGATCAAATCTTTTTCTGGATCTAAATGCATCTAATTGGCTTCTGTCCTTCACAAGTTGAACGAACGATTCAATCGAAGACTCGAGAAATTAATGAATCAAATCTTTTTCCGGCTCTTAATGCATATGATTGGCCTCTGTCTTTCACGTGATGACTGAACGACTTAATCGAGGACTCGAGAGATAAACAGATCAAATCTTTTATGGCTCTAAATGCATATGATCGGCTTCTGTCTTTCACGTGATGACTGAACGACTCAGTTGACAACTCGAGAAATGAAAGTAGGATTTTGTTCTGTCTTTCTAATCCTACCTAAAACCTAAACCCAACTTCTATCTTGCTATCTATTATTAAACAGCTAATTAGTGGTTTATTAGACTAGTAGTGTTAGTTAATGGTTTGTGAATATCGTCAATTGTGACCTAAACTATATGTTTTCAATCCAAAGGCTTTAATTGGGGACCAAAATTTAGATGAACAATTATGTTTATAAATGCATATAAATAGTGACATTCGTTATCTTTGATTATTGCTCCTGATTTTGTAATAACGTTTATTAACAGAATACCTAAAAAAGGGTTTTGTTTGGGAAGACAACATGTCGTTTTCTAGCAACACAGACAAAACACTTGTCACTTTTTTGTCAGTTTTCATGCTCTTACTGAACAAAATTCTGTCATTTTCAGTGTTGAGTAATCTCAGCACCTCTGACTGATCACTGCATGTGGTTAAAAATGTTTGGTGGTTGTGGTTAAAATGTGATTAAAATGCTTAATGACAATAAAAAGGAATAGAATGAAATCTGATGGAACGTGCATGTCGCAAACTGACACTTTTCATTGAGATTCATTGAGATTGAGATTCATTTCACATCTCAGTTTCACCACAGCAGCCATTATAGATTTACATTTGAAGTTGAATTGTGGAAAAGCATTTTTTTTTTTTTTTTTTTCCTGGTATCTTGAATTTGTGGATTATTTTGAGTCATTTTGGGAGCATTTTTGGTTATCTAAATCTGTCCCTATCACATGGGAAAATATATGAATGCCATCAATTAGGCAAAACAGTAGCATATATTGGATATACTGTTCTAAATGAATATAGACATTTGGTTCATGTCCATATAGTACAGTGGTTCTGTTGCTCTGCTTGTACACTTGCGGAGAACTGAACTTCTTTTATAAAAAGTATTGGTCCCACTTTATATTAAGTGTCCCTAACTACTATGTACTTACATCAAAAAAATAAATACAATGTACTTACTGTGTTTATAATGTATTTGAAAACACTTGTATTGCTTTTGAGTTGGGATAGAGGTTGGGTTATGGACAGGTTTGGTGGCATGGATAGGTTTAAGGGTGGGTTAAGGTGTAAGGGATGGTCAACAGTGTATTTACAAATGTAATTACAAAAGTTAATTACAGATTAAAAACATACAGGTATTTAATCAAGCATAAGTACACAGTAAATACATGTATTTACACAATATGTACATTGTAACAAACTATTAATTCCTATGTAAGTACATATTAGTTAAGGCCTCTTAATATAAAGTGGGACCAAAGTATTTGTTTGCAAACGTCCCTTGGCATTTGATTTCAATTATGCTTACATAAGATGTATGTTTAAGAACTAAGGAGAAAAAAATGTAAATTCTAACTTTTCAGCTGCATCTTATGCATGATGGCTTCATTATGTGCATGTGTGTGTTACAGGAAGTACAGCGCTGCACAGCTGATATGAAGATTACAGCAGAACACTCCAATCATCCAGACAACAAGCACAAAAACAGATACATCAACATCATCGCCTGTAAGTCTTTTAATGTTTATACATGTACAGTTGAAGTCAGAATTATTAGCCCCCCCTGTTTATTTTTTCCACAATTTCTGTTTAACAGAGAGATTTTCTCAACACATTTCTAAACATAATAGTTTTAATAACTCATCTCTAATAACTGATTTATTTTGTCTTTGCCATGATGACAGTAAATAATATTTGATTAGACATTTTTCAAGACACTTCTATACAGCCTAAAGTGGCATTCAAAGGCTTAACTAGGTTAATTAGGTTAGCTAGGCAGGTTAGGGGAATTAGGCAAGTTATTGTATAATGATGTTTTGTTCTGTAGTCAATCTGAAAAAAAGTTGCTTAAAGGGGCTAATAATTTTGACCATAAAATGGTGTTTAAAAAATTAAAAACTGCTTTTATTCTAGCTGAAATAAAACATATAAGACTTTCCCCAGAAGAAAAAAATATAATCAGACATACTGTAAACAATTCATTACTCTGTTAAACATTATTTGGAAAATATTTAAAAAAGAAAAATAAATTCAAAGGAGGGCTAATAATTCTGGCTTCAAGTGTATATATATCCAAAGCTGAAGTCATTATTATTAGGGCTCCTGTGAAATGTTAATACATCTTTAAATTTCTTTTAAAAATATTTTAGCTTGCGTTTTACAGAGCAAACAAATTTTCACAGTATTTCCTATAATATTTTTAGTTTTACTTTGAATTTTAAAAATGTTAAAAAATTGTTAAACATTTTAAGGTCAATATCATTATCTTTCTTGGGAAATATATATTTTTCGATTGTCTACAGAACAAACCACTGTTATCTAAAACTTGCCTAATTATCCTAACTTTCCTAGTAAATACAATAAGCTAGTTCGGTGTTTAAACTGCACTATTTCTTCATTTCTTTCTACTACTATTTCTTTTCTCTACTAAAAATAACAGCTTGCAGTACTAAGATTCATTCATTCATTTTCTTGTTGCCATTATCTAACCAGCAACCCAGCGACCTTCTTGCTGTGAGGCGACAGCACTACCTACTTTGCCACTGCTTCGCCCAGTACTAATATTTTTTAGCTAAGACATTTTTATTCCACAAATAATATGTTTTTGTATTGTTTTAAACAGTAGATTTTCTTTTAAACCTTCTATTAATCAAGGAGTCTAGAAATAAAAGTGATGATAATCATGTTTTATGAACACCAAATGTGCATATTTGAACAATTTCTGAAGGATCGTTTTACATTTAGGAGTGGAGTAACGCTCAGTTCACACGGGGCTACAGCATCAACGCTTGACGGACAACGTGTCTGAAGTTGGGCTGACGCGATCGTCATAGCAGCATCAGCCAATAAAATTAGTCCGCAATTGGCTACTTTCTGAGCTGGGGTATTCGCGTAAAAAAAGTTCTGATTGGCTGACGCTTTCGTTGGCGCTTAAAAAGTTGAGAATTTTCCAATGTATGCAGCCATAGATATATACACTAGATATCGCATATGAACCCTGGGCATGCGTCAATACCGCCGCCATATTTGTACAGTGCTCCCAGAACAAATGTCATTCAACCGCATTTAGTCAAGACTAAAGCCAATCTGAAGATGCTGGACTTTTGCGCTGCGTACAGGTATAGTAACAAGCTAACAAAGAAAACAAAGCACGAAGACAGAACATTTCATAAGATTTAGTTTTTTATGATTTTGTATGTTATGTACTTTTGTGCTCAACAAGTAACGTTATTAATGATAATACAGTCTCTTACTGCACTAACCATAAGGCAAAAGTAGCACCAACTTGCACTTAATAATAGCCTTATGCTAGTTTTGTTGAATAAAAACAGCAAACTATGTAAATTTAATATGACAACAAGTCGCTGATAGCAGGAGCTTGTATTATTGTCGGCTAAGTGAAGTAACTGCTAGTAATTTATAAGGCTGTCCGATAACATAACAGTACCTGCGCCTAAATGTGCATACTGTAAACCCTAAATAATTGAATATTACAAATGTTATGTACCATTTAACTCAGAAAGGTGGATATGCACATTAAGATGCAGAGATATCGATGGTCCACACGAGTCGTTCATAACGTAGATTTATTAACAAACAAGTTGCTCCCTCCATTAGAATTAGAAGTTAAATATTTGCGTACTGACCACTGGGAAAACTCCCAATCATAGATATAGGGATAAATGTTTACATATCTATAGCTCCGAATGGCCAGTCCTCCACTGCACCTTGTTCCCTCATTCATTTCAAAGGAGTACTGCCCTGTACTAAAATGGCGGCTCTGTTGACGCATTCCTTACAACAGCATAGGCATGTAATATATAATTTCAGTGTTAAACTACATATTTAGCCTGTGTTCTCTTCCATGTCTCTAAGCATCCATCTCTCTTTGTTCCCCCAGATGACCACAGTCGAGTAAAGCTCAGGCCTCTGGCAGGCAAAGACTCCAAACACAGTGACTACATCAATGCCAACTATGTGGATGTGAGTGAAATCTGTTGACTGGCTTTTCTTTTCTCATAATGACCTGACTGTGTGTGTGTGTGTTTTTATGATGTATATCTCCTGTGTTTCTCTCCTCCACAGGGCTATAATAAACCCAAGGCCTACATCGCAGCTCAGGGCCCTCTCAAGTCCACGTTCGAGGACTTCTGGCGGATGGTGTGGGAGCAGAACACTGGCATTATAGTCATGATCACTAACCTTGTGGAGAAAGGCAGAGTGAGTTAGCACAGCCACTACATTTTCTCAATCATCTGATAATCTTATGTCTGCTCTCAACTTTTTTATTATGGTGTTCTGCAGAGAAAATGTGACCAGTACTGGCCGTCAGAGAACAGTGAGGAGTATGGGAATATTGTGGTGACGCTGAAGAGAACCAAAGTAATGGCGTGCTACACACTCCGCATCTTCACTATCAGAAACACCAAAGTAAAGAAGGTACACAATGTTTTTATCTCTCTATATTTCTCTCATTCTCATACCAAAAAGATTTAGCAAAAATGGTAACTTTTAAAATTCCTGAATAAGAAACAAACATGTCCGATTATATTTAGCTCTTTCCCTGCCAGTGTTGTTTTTTTTTTAAGTTGTCAGCCACTGTCAGCATTTTTGAAGATTTTCACCTGTGTTTGACGGCCCTCAGAAACTTTTTTGTAAATTTTACAAACAAGAAACATCAAGTCGAAAATTGTTTTGCAAAATGTAGTCAAATATTTGTACACAGCGGAATGAACCGCCAACTTATCCAGCGTGTTTTTACGCAGCGGATGCCCTTCCAGCCGCAACCCATCTCTGGGAAACATCCACACACAGAAATACACACATACACTCGTACACTATAGACAATTTAGCCTACTCAATTCACCTGTACCGCATGTCTTTGGACTGTGGGGGAATCCGGAGCACCCGGAGGAAACCCACGTGAACGCAGGGAGAACATGCAAACTCCACACAGAAACGCCAACTGAGCCGAGGATCTAACCAGCAACCCAGCGACCTTCTTGCTGTGAGGCGACAGCACTGCCTACTTTGCCACTGCTTCGCCCAGTACTAATATTTTTTAGCTATTTATTCCACAAATAATATGTTTTTGTATTGTTTTAAACAGTAGATTTTCTTTTAAACCTTCTATTAATCAAGGAGTCTAGAAATAAAAGTGATGATAATCATGTTTTATGAACACCAAATGTGCATATTTGAACAATTTCTGAAGGATCGTTTTACATTTAGGAGTGGAGTAACGCTCAGTTCACACGAGGCTACAGCATTAACGCTTGACGGACAACGTGTCTGAAGTTGGGCTGACGCGATCGTCATAGCAGCATCAGCCAATAAAATTAGTCCGCAATTGGCTACTTTCTGAGCTGGGGTATTCGCGTAAAAAAAGTTCTGATTGGCTGACGCTTTCGTTGGCGCTTAAAAAGTTGAGAATTTTCCAATGTATGCCGCCATAGATATATACACTAGATCAAATAGTCAAATATTTGTATTTTCATTTTAAAAGTAAGTTTTAATATTGTGTAGACATTTTATAAACATATTTTTTTAAGTTTCTATAAATATTTTTGCATATTACCCTGTTTAATAGTTTTTTTCTTTTTTTTTTGACAAAACCACAATGAATTAATTTATATATACACTACCTGACAATAGTCTTGTCATCGATCCCAGTTTAGTAAAAGCAACAAGTAATAACTTGACTTCTAGTTGATCATATGCAAAAGTAGCAGAAGGTTGATTTTTTTCAGATGAATCATCTGTTGAACTGCATCCCAAATACTGCAGAAGACCACATAAACTCAAGATTCTTAGAGAAATTTTTGGTGTTTGGTGAATGGTTTCACCATGGTTTGGGGTTACATTCAGTATGGGGGCCTGTGAGAGATCTGCAGAGTGGATGACAACATCAACAGCCTGAGGTATCAAGATATTGGTGCTGCCCACTATATTACAAACCAGAAGCTCCTTCTCATACTTCAGCCTCCACATCAAAGCTCCTGAAAGCAAAGAAGGTCAAGGTGCTCCAGGATTGGCCAGCCCTGTCACCAGAAATGAACATTATTGAGCATGTCTGGGGTAAAATGGAGAAGGCATTGAAAATGAATCCAAAGAATCTAGGTGAACTCTGGGAGTTCTGCAAGAATGCTTTCTTTGCCATTCCAGATGACTTTATTAATAAGTGATTTGAGTCATTGCAGAGATGTATGGATGCAGTCCTCCAAGCTCATGGGAGTCAGACACAATATTAACTCTTTTTCCACTGCAACATGACTTTATATTCTATACTGGACATTATTTCTGTTCAGTGACAAAGACTCTTTTCTATGCAAAGTCATACCTTACTGTCCTAACTAAATAATTAAAAATCATAGCTTGATTATATTTGATTTTGGTAAAATAATTGTAATCTTGAGGTCTTTGCCTTTCATATAAGCCACTTCTGATACCAAATGATAAACTAGTCAAGTTTTTATTTGTTTTTCCTAGAACTTGGATAGGCGACGAGACTTTTGTCAGGTAGTGTATATATCATAAACAAAGAACCAGGCCTCTGCTTTCAAACAAAATAGGCATTTTTTAACTTTTTGTGTTCATTTTTTATCCTCACTTGAATGTAAAAATGCAACATTTCTGACAAAAAAACAAAGGAGTCTATTTCCAACCCTAATTTTCCCGTTTTGTGACATGTTGTAAAGAGCAAATCTTTGTGCACCTTAAACGCTTACACATGGCTTAATACACACAGCAATTAGCAAATATCTTTACAAATTAAGAAGAATTAAAGGATTAAAATATTGCAAAAATACATTATTTTCCACATAAATATAAAACCACTGCCTCCATGCCTTCTTCATCACGGGGGGCTTTTTTCAGTTTATTCATGACAGTTTGCATTTGTTTATTGTTATTATTATTATTATTATTATTATTATTATTATTATCAGTATTATTTATTATATGCGTATTTATATTTGTTTTAATAAAAACAAGTTTAGATTTTACATTGTCTTGTAAAGTATAGTCACATGTTTCATTTTATTTGCAAACAAGAATGTTATGTGTAGATGTTAATTGATATTATGTATTATTAAATCCACTTATCTTTCTTTTGGTTTGTTATATTTGTCAGATGTGTAGATTTTAAAACCTTTACAAGATTTTTGTATGATAAACAAGACTTTTTGAACAAATATTAACATTCTCTTGCTAAGAAGCACGGTATAATTTCACAAATTTTAACTGCGTGAAATTAATCATTTTTGTTCGTTTTACTTGTATGGGGTATGATCTCAAGTGATATGAAAAAACAGACAGATTAACAGTTGTGCAGATTATTTGCTGCTTATTCTGACTATTTATAAGCATTTATTTTAAAAATGACCTGATGGAACTGGAAAAGGCACTTTTCTTGGAATGATCAAAGTAGCCATTATGCACAGTTTGACCTGCTTTTTTCTCTACCTGTGAGAAGGATTTTGTCAGGGCTGAGCATTAAAAGCCAGAGGAAAATGTCTTAAGAAGCTTATGCGAGGTCCTGGCCTTCACAGCGTCAGTGAGAGTGATCTGCTCTCTCCGTAAATCTCTTTCATAATGCACACCGAGGCCACTGGCAGCAAAGGAAGAAGCTACTTTTATAGCAGCCGCTTAGATTTGAGTTAAGCTGCCACTATTTTCAGTAAATGAAAATGCCTTAATGGTATATGGTGATTTTATGTATATTGTTATTTATTTTAAGATGGCACATTTCTATATTTCTTGGTTTTCATTTTGAATTTCAAGAGCTGGTGCTGGTTATGTATATTATTATTGTCAGTGTTGAGGGTTAGGCATTACAAGTAATGCAAGTTACATAATAATATTACTTTAAGTAACTAGTAAAATTTACTTAAAAGTAATGCTAGTAACAAAATAAATTGCTGAATCAAAATTAACATAGTCACATTAAATCATGCACACAATAGCCGCATTTCCACTATCGCGCCTATAGCGAGTTAGCCAGGGCAAGTTAGGGCCAGTCAAGTTTCCATTGTCACTTCCGGGGCCTGATCAGGTCAAACCGGGGCTTCCTTGGGCCAGCGTCCAGCCTTTTTCCGGCCCGCCAAGTTCCTTGGGCCAAAGAAGGCCAGCTGGGGCTTCAGGGCGGAGTGAAAAGAGAGGCAGAGTTTGCCCGAGTCTGGTAGAAATGGCATGCCACCTTTACACTAGTTTTTCGATCGCACACAAGTATGCGGTAAAATAAATAAATAAATAAGGGGAAAAATATAGCTGGTCAATTTAAGATAGGATATTCCATAAAACACCTTATAGGCTAGAGGTCTTTTTGATTATGATTGCCCTTATGTTTCCCTTTTAAGTGTAAGGCTGTTGATAAGGCTGAAGTGATATTTCTTTGCTGCATCTTCCGTTGTGTTTCAATAACGCATAACAATCTTTACACCATATTAAAGACCCTGAAGCCAGTAACTCTCAGCTGTCATGAGTTTTTGTTTAAATGTTAAAATGGTGTGTTTGTGCATGAAACGTGCATGTTTAGATGGCATGTGTGAGAGACCGGGGGAAAGAGTGTTCGCTTGACAGCTCTGTTGATGGGTTTCTTTCTTTCTTTCTTTCTTTCTTTCTTTCTTTATTAATTTATTTATTTTGGAGATAATACAAAATATGAATACAACAGAAAGACATAAAACTTCGACCCCTGACTAATAAAGGGACTAAGCTGAAAATAGAATGAATGAATGAATGAATGAATGGATGGATGGATGGATGCATTGGTTGATTGATTGATTGATTGATTGATTGATTGATTGATTGATTGATTGATTGATTGATTGATTGATTGATTGATTGATTGATTGATTGATTGATTGATTGATTGATTGATTGATTGATTGATTGATTGATTGATTGATTGATTGATTGATTGATTGTGTTGGGACAACATGAATAAATGTGTGTAACCCTGCATTTATTAACAGTGTAGTTACCTAGCTGGGGATCTGATTCAAAGATTTATGCTAAGCTAAGCTAAAAGTGTTCTCGCTAGGCTTGGAGATCAGCTAGTTATGGATTCAAAAAATGGTAAAACTCTGCAGTTTAACTTTAGGGAAGCTGTACAATGAGCCAAATTTTCCTCCAAAAAAAGGTGAAGTGTTCCTTAATGGAAAGATATATAAAAAATATATATTTAGAATATATATATATATATATATATATATATATATATATATATATATATATATATATATATATATATATATATATATATATATATATAAAATATATAGTATATAAATATATTTGTTATATTGAAGAACATTTGGATGTTCAAGGGTCATGTGGTTTGTTTGTTTGCAGGGTCAAAAGGGGAACACTAAGGGCCGTCAGAGTGAGAGAACGGTTCTGCAGTATCACTACACCCAGTGGCCGGACATGGGTGTCCCAGAATACACTTTACCCGTGCTCACATTCGTCAGGAAGTCTTCTGCCGCACAGACCCCAGACATGGGCCCCATGCTTGTACACTGCAGGTAAAACCCACACACATTTGAGTATTGTTTATAGTTTACATTTGTATTTTATTTTTGTATCTTTATTGGAATGACATCTGGTTAGGGGACCACCAATGAAAACTTGTCTTTGGGATATTTGGCTATATTTACCTTCTTGGAGAATGCTGATTAGAGTATACTGTCCTTTGTTGTGAAATCAAATAAGCAAACATTCCTACATCTGATTTAATGGCTGAACAGAGTAATAAATGCACTGACTCGTATGATATCCATGTGTTTTTTTTTTCCTCAGTGCCGGTGTGGGAAGAACAGGAACATACATTGTGATTGACAGCATGCTACAGCAGCTAAAGGATAAAGGCGCTGTCAATGTGCTCGGCTTCCTCAAACATATACGAACTCAGAGAAACTACCTGGTCCAAACGGAGGTGAGTCAGCTGACATGGGGTCTGATTTATACAATTTGAGTAGAAATTGAACGTATACCAGAACGTATTTACATTTCTTGATTATTGATCGTTTGTTGAAAATGCTTGGCTCATTTGATGATTTCAAGTCTTTCAAGTCAAGATGTCCAAAATCTTTACACACATTGACCCAGAGGCTGTTTAGATGCATGCCACTGATGAGAAGATGACCAATGTTTACTGTATGATGACCGAAATGGCCTTATACACCCAGCAGGCACAAGAGGTCAACGTGACGTCAGATTGACGTTGTACCCTAACGTTGTGGGGATGTTGCATGTTGTTTTGAAATAAAAATCAGGTTGATGTCAGAACCCAACGTCAGGCCGACATCAGTGTCCAATGTCCAACCTAAAATAAACCAAATATCAACATCTAATGATGTTACAGCTTGACGTTGTGTGAACGTTACCACTATGATATCTATCAGATGTTGGATTTTAGTTGTAATACTTGTCCAATAAACATCAGTATTTGATGTAAATTTTGGCCGATTTTGGTCACTCTCTAATAGAGATCTTTGCGGGACTAAATTTTGAATCCCGCTCCCGCCCGCACCTGCCAGGTTTTAGCCCGAACCTGACCGCTCCCTCTTACATTCAGCATTTGTTGTCCCGCTGCCTGACCTGCCCAGTTTTCTACCCGCCGCGCCCGATCCTGCTAAAGAGCGGGGGGAGAACAAAACTGAAAACCACCCAGCTATACAGTCCAGACAGCCTATAACAAGCTGTCTGTATAAACACACACACACACACATAAGCACCAAGCACACACACAGACAAAGCTCTCTCTCTCTCTCTCATTCGCTCTCGCACTAATACACACAAACACACACGTAAGCACCAAGCACACACATAGGCAAAGCTCTCTCTCTCATTTGCGCGCACACACACACACACACACCTCTCATTCACGCGTGCACACACACACACACACACACACATACACATACACACACAGGAACAAACAAGCTAAACACAGCATCGCGCTATTTCATTTCATTTACACACATACATACTCGTGCTCGCTCCGGCGCTTTATTCGGAAATTTATTCCAGGAATAAAGGAAAAACAGACCTTTACTCTCTAACAACCTAAAATCAACCAAATATCAGTGTCATTTGACGTCGTTATTGGACGTCAAAATAACGTTTTCCCTAGATGCTGGCTAGACATTGATTTTCAACTGACATCACAAACTAAATCTAACCTAATATTAATGTCTTATGACGTTTTTGTGCCTGCTGGGCAATAACTGAATTAAATTGCACTACAGAATGTTACGTTAACACACCATCATTTTTTTTAACTGCGTAATACTCACAACTCACTTCTCTTGAGTACTTTTAAAAGGTCTACTTTTTACTCATCCTTTGAGTAATATTTACAACAGATACTTTTACTCTCACTACACTTTTAGGCAAGTAATGGTACTTTTACTTAAGTATGATTTTTCAGTACTCTTTCCACCACTGATAATAACACATACAAAACAAAAACATTTTCAAAGGGGTGGTCCAATGCTCTTTCAAGCATTCAGAGTTATTTACACTGTTAAAAGGGGTAAATGAGGGCAAGTTGTCACATTGTCGCCCTTAGTGTTAAACGTCAATGAAAAATGCTAGCAAAAAGAACTGCAGTGTGAACTAGACTGAGTGTGAGTCTGGATTATATATGTTTGGCTGGATCTGATTGGTTCATTTAAGACTACAAAGCTTGTTTACATTTTATTTATAGCGATATCACAGGTTGCAGTCAATTGTAGAAAGACAGTTGCGACTCATTAGCCCAGCACCCGCCTCCATTAGCACTGCTTTTATCCAGAAAGAATCGTAGAGCTGAATCTTCATTCATTCAATCATTTTCTTGGCTTAGTCCCTTTATTAATTCGGGGTCGCCACAGCGGAATGAACCGCCAACTCATCCAGCACGTTTTTACGCAGCGGATGCCCTTCCAGCCGCAACCCATCTCTGGGAATCATCCACAGACCCTAACCCTAACACACACATACACTTATACACTACGGACAATTTAGCCTACCCAATTCACCTGTACCGCATGTCTTTGGACTGTGGGGGAAACTGGAGCACCCGGAGGAACCCCACGTGAATGCAGGGAGAACATGCAAACTTCACACAGAAACACCAACTGAGCCGAGGTTCGACCTAGCGACCTTCTTGCTGTGAGGCGACAGCACTACCTACTGCACCACTGCATCGCCAGAGCTGAATCTTTCCTTCATAAATTGTGTAAGACTGTTCGGTAAAACTTATCAGTGATACGAAGGATGCTGTAGTACTCTATCCCCTGGTTTCACAGACATAGCTTAAGCCTAGTCCTAGACTAAAATGTAAGTCTGAGCTGTTTCAACAGAAATAAAATTGCACTGATTGATTTTTAAATAAGAGGTGCCTTTGTTTTGTTTCAAGATGCACACCAGTAATGTTTTTTTTTCTAAGCATGTTTGTAAAATTTACTTAAATGTCCTAGTTAAACTATGGCCTAATCCTGGCTAGTCTAAGCCCTGTCTGTGAAACCAGGCCTACATGTACTTAAGGTTAACATGGGATCAGCCAAAACTGGGTGTATTTGCTCACATTTAATTAAAAAACACATAATATTATTAAGGGCGAAGCAGTGGTGCAGTAGGTAGTGCTGTTGCCTCACAGCAAGAAGGTCGCTGGTTCGAGCCTCGGCTCAGTTGGTGTTTCTGTGTGGAGTTTGCATGTTCTCCCTGCATTTGTGTGGGGTTCCTCCGGGTGCTCCGGTTTCCCCCACAGTCCAAAGACATGCGGTACAGGTGAATTGGGTTGGCTAAATTGTCCGTAGTGTATGAGTGTGTGTGTGGATGTTTCCCAGAGATGTGTTGCGGCTGGAAGGGCATCCGCTGTGTAAAAACTTGCTGGATAAGTTGGCGGTTCATTCCGCTGTGGCGACCCCGAATTAATAAAGGGACTAAGCCAAAAAAATGAATGAATGAATAATATTATTAAGTGACGTAATTGCATAGGAAATATTCAGCAGTAGCTAATTAGACGTATTACAGTACTTCTGAATAAACAAGGCCTCTGCCTTTGTGCATTTAGGAGCAGTATATCTTCATCCACGATGCCTTGATGGAAGCCATTCTTGGGAAAGAAACAGAGGTGCCCTCGAGTCAGCTGCACAGTTACGTCAACAGCATCCTGACGCCGGGCCCAGGGGGCAAAACACGACTAGAGAAGCAGTTCAAGGTGGGCACCGTCTCTTTCTTTATGCAAAGTATATTCAACAAGCAATTTATCGGTGGAAACTGTTTGCAGAACTGCCCTGCATGACATACACTTAGCATATCACAACACTCATGCTCACACGCAGTTCATTTTTAATGCATATTTATGCTGGTCGGAATTTTGCTTTTATCACTTCATACTTTATCGTTTCACACCTGCGACTTACAAGCCAAGCCTGACAGGTTCTGTGCGGGTAAAATGTGTGATATGTGGTTTGCTGGAGTTTCATGAGTTCATGAAATGTTTTATTAGGCCAGATAGTCCAGCTTTTTAGAGTCCCTTTTGGTTCAGTCTCAGTGGCTGAATATAAATCACATTTTATTTGGGATGCTACATATCAAGACAAAGGTTGGAGTGGCAGTGCCTAATATAATTTTCGCATATGCGCCCGAAAATTAATCTATGCGACCTCACAATATATCTGGGAGCATTAGTGCGACTGCAGATAATGATTGTAGTGCGACCTGTTTTGATTTTTTTCTAAAAACGTGCTGAATTGCTCTTCCCTGCCGCTATATTGGTTCATATTAGCTGTCAAGGCTTTCCGCTGTTAGGTGACAGGGAATGAGCTTTTATGACCACGGGAAATGCAAACGGCTGAAGAGTGAAAACTTAAAGCACGCAGGTTTGCAAACCCCACCTAAAGTTGAGGCGCAGATGGGAGCGATCATGACATGTGGTGAATATTGATCCGCCAGCTGAGATTAATCGAGTACGTGCTTTTCGGAGGAAGCGCCCGAATCTCCATGCGTTTCATTCACTGCGTGTTCAGCGCAAATGTCAGCTAAAAGTCAAATCTAATACTGTACATATCATCGCCAAAGAAGCTCGTCTTTACTAAGTTTACACTGAAACTGCGGCTCATAACAAAACAGCGGTATAGAGCCGGTGGTCATTGCAAGAATCCTGCTCTGCCTGCTCATAAATTGGGTCGGCTGACTCGACTGCTTTTCCACTAACACAGAAAAATGAAAATCAGCTCAGACTGAACATTTAAATTGACACAAACTGAAACCAAAACTTTTAAAGAGTGATAAAAGTGAGACTTAATTTCTTTTGTCTATTCTTTCTTGAGGTGTATATTATTATTATTTTTTTATTTACTTACTGATGACTGTTTTGCAGCTTTTAGCCTTGAATTTAATTACTTATTATAATCTTTTGTTTGTTTTGTAGCAGAAATATTATTTATTAAACTGACATGCATAAACAGCAGAACAAAATATATATTTCTTACTGCAATGCTTCATTTTTGTTTGATGCAAACTATACATTTCATAAAGTAACAGACTTTTATAGCAGATAACTTGCATTTACGCACATTCAATGCAGCATGATGATGAGAAATGTATTCCATTGTTTCTATTATTGTCATTTTCATCATCATTAATATTTAATAATTATTCGACATTCATTTTGGAACTATTGCACACAAATATCAATGTCATCTCAGCATTAGTTAGATAGTTGTTTCTGGTTTTTATTCGTCCTAAATGATGTTGTTTTAAAATACAATAAATCCCTTAAAATACAATTTGCAGCGGTGCTCATTCATTTTTGGTGGGTGCTCCTAAATTTTTTCTGGTGCTCCTAAATTTTTGAAGTTGGGAGCACCGGTGCTACCAAGTAAAAAATATTAATTTCGAGCCCTGTAATGCATCTTTTTATTGTTTACTTAAATAAGGAGTCAACTTAAACAGTTTTGATAGTTGTTTATTTGTTTGATTATTTGACTCCTGAAATTATCGCCAATTATTGTTCTTATACTGGACATTTAACCTTCCTGTTGAGTTCAAATGGTTAGCGTGGTCTTATATGAGAGATTTACTCTACTTTTCATTTGAAAAATTCAATAATTATTTGTCTTTTATCAACAGTTGGTGACTCAGTGCAATGCAAGATTTGTCGAGTGTTTCAGTGCTCAGAAAGACTGCAACAAGGAGAAGAACCGCAACTCTTCTGTTGTACCATGTGAGTACTATAAACCAAAATATAAAACAATGGTCAATTAAATAGTTTGCCCACATTCAGGTCATCCCAAAGACTTCTGTTCATCTTCAGAGCTGAAATCAAGATAAAAAAACATTCATCTATATTCATCCAAAAGAGCGAAGATTCAAAATTTTTATTCATTCATTCATTCATTCATTCAGCTTAGTCCCTTTTATTCGTCAGGAGTCGCAACAGCGAAATGAACCGCCGGATGCCTTTTCCGGTACTGGGAAACACCAATACACTCAAATGCACACACCTAACCTACGGCCAATTTAGTTTGTTCAGTTCACCTATAGCGCATGTCTTTGGACTGTGGGGGAAACCCGAGCACCCGGAGTAAGCCCACGCGAACAAGGGGAGAACAAGCAAACTCCACACAGAAACACCAACTGACCCACCCGAGGCTTGAACCAGCGACCTTCTTGCTGTGAGACGATCGTGCTGCTCACTGCGCCACTGCGCAGCCCTATTATGTTTCCGTTTTTTATTATTCAAATGGCCAAATTCTGAGGAAAGTTGAATGTGCTGGTCAGTTTGTTATTTGCTTAATAAATGACACTAGGCTAACTTTTTTTCTAATGATATATGATGTAAAAAAACATCTATTTTAAAAACAAATATTTGTCATATTTCTTTATTCTAAATATTTGGGAAATTATTTTGGTACAACAGAAAGTGTAGTTATGATGATCATCTGACAAGCTAATTAATTCAATAAATTCAGCTAAAAATAGTGCTTAAAATGTCACCTAAATTCAGTATTTAAACCTCATAATTAAATACAAAATGAGGCGAATAACTGCAAAAAGATCCACTTTTTGAGGAAAAAAGAATCACCCCTTTCACCAGCTTGACTACGGGCCTGCTACTATTGGTTTTCCAGCATCCATCAAGCATGGTTAAGCTTTTGTGACCAAATTTGAATGCTATAAACATTATAGCAAGGGATTTATTTGTCCTCTTTGTTGAATAGTTTTGGGTGAAAAAGTTGTTAGTGGAGTGACAAACATACCTGACAATATTCATTTAATTTCATTTTTTTGTCGGCTTAGTCCCTTTATTAATCCATGGTCGCCACAGCGGAATGAACCGCCAACTTATCCAGCAAGTTTTTACGCAGCGGTGGCCCTTTTAGCTGGGAAACATCCACACACACCCTCATACACTATGGACAATTTAGCCTTCCCAATTCACCTGTATCCGGAGCACCCGGAGGAAACCCACACGAACGCAGGGAGAACATACAAACTCCACACAGAAACGCCAACTGAGCCGAGGCTTGAACCAGCAACCCAGCGACCTTTTTGCTGTGAGACGACAGCACTACCTACTGCGCCACTGCTTCGCCCACCTGACAATATACCTGCATTAATGTTTCAAAGATGAACGCATTTCTTATGGGTTTGGAGTGACATGGGCATGAGTGAACAATGACGTCATTTTATTTTGTGAACTCTTTAAGGATTATCAGCACTAAAGGATCTGTCCTCACTAAAATGTCAAAATAATAGTAATGTATTACACAACAAATGTATGTATTGTGTACTGCAGAGTATTTACTTTGTCTTTTGCACACACATATGTTATTTAGTGGAACTGCTGTTCTAGTATCTAAACTGTAACAAAAATGATCTTGCATCACTGTTTGAGCTCTCGCTCTCTCATTCCGCCATCCTGATTGGCTGTTTTTGTTCCTCTCAGCGGAAAGAGCACGTGTTGGTCTCGCACCGTTGCCTGGGATGAAGGGCACTGATTACATCAATGCATCTTACATAATGGTGAGTCCCCAACACCCCCACTGCAGTAAAACATTAACCAATGCTGTAATTTAAAACAAACATTCAGTGTTCTGAAGAGAGCCGATCTGTTTTACAGTCACAAGCCTGAACATTTGCTGAAATGTTGGCTTTGTAGCACCTGTGCACCATGTTTTGAAACGGTACAAAAGTAAAAAAAAAAAAAAGACAGGTCAACAAGAAAACAGGCTTCAACTTAAGGAATTCAGTCTTTTAACTAATACTTCAAGAGTTCACACTTATCTGATGATTGATTATAAAGCTTGTTTGGCATGCTGTCCTGGGAGAGAGCCCTGAGCTCATAAGATCCTCGAGCTCAGGGATCCCTCTCGTTTGCAAGGCGAAAGGGGAGTTTGAGCTCAGGTAGATCTCGAGAACTCCCCTGCTGTAGTAGCTAATGAACAGATAGTGATTGCTCTTAAGAGATAACTACCTATGTACATATACAATGACTGTAAAAAATATGGACGACGCGACAGCCCTTTTTCCCATTGAACGCCTTGAGGGCAAAACGCCTGCTTGACGGGCACAAACTGTCGCAAAAGACTGCTGAAATTGGAGCCAGACATGCGCAGAAGGATTGTCTGATGGAGCCAGAGGAGGAGCCGCGAAAATGAGCAGAGTCGAGCTTCCAATCAAACGCTTTATGTAAAATCAACTACGCCCCCCGAACTTCTCAGCATGCGTTTGCTGTCATATCAACACAAATGGATGTAATACGTTAACAAATATGAGGGTTTTATATATTCAATCGCGCCAGCTCCAGGCCGCAACACATAACTTACTCGCGGCGTCGCGGGCTGATTCCGGCTCGCATGCGGCAGCGCCTGCTCGCTCGGCCGCCGCATCTGGCTCGATTGACTCGGGCTGGAATTGGGTAGTGAGTCCAGGCATCCGGAGTAGGTCCAGCAGAGGTAACATTAGTCAGTCTGAGCTCTAAGAGATAAGTCTCCGGCAGGCGAGAATCTAGCCGGAACTGTATTTTGCTATCTGGGTGGCTAGGCGTGTATCAGCAAACTAATAAAGCCCGAAAAAAGCCCTGAACTTAGCGAATAAACAGTGTTCCACCAGGATCATGTATGTCAGAAACTATAGTTTACTGCTGAACTCATTTTGTCATGGTAAAATAACACAGAAATCGAATAATAACATTTCAGTCTACTTCAGTCTCCTGCCGAAGCTCAGACGCCGCGCTTTGAGAAACTGTCAATCACAGCTGTCAATCGCGATGACACGCATTAAATTACTGCTAAAAACAAACTGTTTACAAAAATGAAGATCTGCACCTATTTCAGCACAATAACCAGTGCCTTAATCGACCAGAACTATCTTTCAGGACATTTTATTGCAAGTGTAATATTTTTTTTTATTTGGGCTCAAGTCTCCTTCATTAACACGGAGGAGGCGGGCTTTATGACTTGTACTGCAGCCAGCCCCCAGGGGGCGATCTAACGGCCAAAACCTTCACTCAAACGTAGGCTTGCGGCACACTTGGTCAAATAGCTTAACTTGCATGTGTTTGGACGGTGGGAGGAAACCAGGGAGCTCGGGGGAAACCAACGTGAGATGGGAAGAACGTGTAAACTGTACAGAAACGTTGGCTGGCTTGGTAAGGACTAGAACAAGGGACGATCGTGCTGTGAGGCAACAGTGCTAACCACTGGGCCACCGTGCCACCCATCTAGGAAAGGAGGAGGAGTAGGGGTGGAAGGGGGGATTCTTCTAAATGAAGATGGCTGTTATATGGAACTTAGGGTAATTATAGTGGCTTAGGAATCGTCTGATTGGTGAATCATAAATTGGATAATGTGAGACCAGCCGAAAGCAATCATAAGCATGTGATCCTCTCGAAGTTAGTTTATAAATAGACTTCACTAAGTTGTAACTCTATAGGGTGTGTAAATTAGGACACTTTTTAACACTTGAATTTGTCTGTACTAACTCTAACAGGGCTACTACCGCAGCAATGAGTTCATCATTACCCAGCATCCCCTGCCTCACACCACTAAAGATTTCTGGAGGATGATCTGGGACCACAACGCTCAAATCATCGTCATGTTACCAGACAACCAGGGCCTGGTGGGTATTCAGGACTATCTGTATGTCTCTTGTTTGTCTTGTGTGATGAGGGAAACTCTAGTTAAAGGTGGCATAGTGTGCATTGATGAAACATGTTAAACTGATCTCTTATATCTACAGTACATAGTATGTGGCTTAGGTAATTCATATTTATTCAGTTTTTAAATAAATTTCAGTATTGCTATTGACTAATATGAAAATATTTATGATTTATTTACTATAGTTTAATGTAGTTTGTACAGTAACATTTTCTGTCTTTTAGTAGATGTATTATATGAGAGACAGTGGTTCTCAAACTGTGGTACGTTTACCACTAGTGGTACGCGGGTTTCCTTCTAGTGGTACGCGGAGATAAAATAAATAATAAAAAAAATATATATATACACTTTTAAGCCTTTGACGCAAACGATAACACTGTGATCAGCACCGACTGTTCCCTGAAGCGTATGGTCACATCTGTGTGCTTAGAATGTTTACTCCAGTGCATCACGTCATCAGGTGCTAAAAATCCACCCGATTTGTCGCAGAGCCAGAGAATGTGTGCGGCGAGTGCGGAGCAGATCCGCACTAGAGAAGCGCTTTTGCAGACCAGGGGCCTCATGTATCAACGCTGCGTACGCACAAAAACTTTGCGTACGCCAGGTTTCACGCTCAGAATCGCTCACGTTTGGATTTACTAACGATGAACTGAACGTGGGAATGTGCGCAGCTCCATGCCAGCTTTATGGCTGGCGTACACACATTTCTTGTGCGTGTCTGTTTTATTTCCATTGGCGACTCCTAGAGGCAGTTGTGTTAAATTGCACTCTACAAAGTGTCATTAAGCTGTGCATTGACAGCTGTATGAGACGGGTTCATCTAGCAGGTATATAAGGTTTCCATACATACAGTTGACCAGCCGAACATTAAAGCGCAACTTGCAGCGGTCGCCTGTTTTCCCAATGTAATGGGAGCGATCAACTGCACGCACATTGCTATAAAGACACGATCTGAAGATGAATTTGCATACGTGAGTCAGAAACATTTCCATTCAATAAATATGCAAATAAAATATCATGCACAAACCTATTAATGATTCCTACTTGTCTTCTTCGTGATAAATAGTAGGCAAAATCTGATATGCAGTGGGGGGGAGAAAGGAAAATGAGTTCACCAGACGCTGGATTCGAACTGAGTTCATGCTCAAACGTGTCAAAACATAATGACATGCGTTTTACGAGCTGCGCCACAGACTGTTAAGGTAACTGAAATATTTTACACATATAAATCACACTATTTCCTGTTTACTCCACTCAGTGGAGTATTTAACTGTGTTGACCGCATCAGCTAAACTCTCCCACTCAATTTTTTCTTTTGTTGTTAATTCCGGTGGACAAACTTGCAAATAACACCGTTTTTCTCTGGTCTACCTCCAAAAGCAGCACCTCTAATTCACATTCTGTTCAAAGTTTCTCTTTTTGCTTGCTTTTGCCATGGCTTTTTTGTTGGGTTTTGCCAAAGTAGAGTCATTAGCATATTCATACGGGGGAGGAGGCAGGGAGGGGTTTTGCGCTCGTGCATGTTGCCCTCAGTTTCACGTTCATTCTGATGTACAAAAGAATATGCGTGGGATTCAGCATACGCAGTGATTCATACATCTGAATTTTTTTCTGCGTACGCACATTTACAGCTTTGTGCGTACGCAACGTTTTAGTAAGATTTCCACACAAGTCTTCGTACATGAGGCCCCAGTACTGTTGTGTTGGCATTTCAGTTACTACAACCTCAGGAATCTTCCAATGCTGCTTCATCGGTAGAATAATTCTCAGAAATGTGTTAAAGAAATTTGTGTTCGTAGTTGTGTAAAATAATGCATGTTTTCGATATGTTATTTGTTTTGTAAAGCGTTAGTTTTGTAAAGTTTGTTTTGTTAACCAAAGTTGGCTTTCGGTTAATTTGTTACCTCAGATTTAGGCTGATTAATCTGGATGTGATTCAAATGTCTCGGGACACAAATCAAGCAACTTTGCCATGCTTAAAGCTTGGAGCTAGAATAATTAAAGTTAGTCTCTGTATACGGTTAACACAAACTCCATTAATTAATCTGCTTCCTCATTATGGTGGTACTTGGAGAGTAATTTATTTCCGAGGTGGTACTTGATAAAAAACATTTGAGAACCACTGGTTTACTTAATAAAGAAGATCTAATTGGATTTGCGTTGTAAACATTAAATACAAGTTAAAAATGTATTACTTTTTATTTAATATATTAAGGTTTTAGTTATAATACTCCCAAAATCATTCCGCACAAATCCGAAGATTTTTACCAAAATTCTGCTTAGAAACAGCCAAAAATTTCAGCAGATTCCGTCTGGCCCTAGACATGATGCTTAAAAATGCATCAAACTCTTATATTCAGCCGTTTACATATATCTGTTGCCCCATTTCAAACATCATTATACAATAGACATGTTAAACTAACAAAGAAATACATTTATGCAGACCTAATGCCTATTTGGGGTGATGCTGAATAGATTTATTAACCATATTTCTGACACTGCATGAACAGATGAGCTGCTTGTTTCACACTCACAGAACAGCTTTATCTTTCCTAAAGCCTCTGTCATTTTCAAAATAATTCCCACACACAAAGTACATTAATACAAGCTTAAATAAATGTAAAACATTAGGGGAAAATATTGTTGTAATCTCATTAGAATACGTTGAGGCCAATCAAACTGCTAGGGGCGTGCATATATTAATGATCCCTTGTGCATGGTAACAGTCTGTAAGTGGCTTGTTTGTCACTGGAACTCACAGTATTTCACGGTATATCACAGAGAACTATGTCATTTCCTTACACTGAAATCTTATTGTTCAACTATGCCAAGGTATATCCAGATTTGCATTCTATGACACCTTTAATGTTATTGGCTGAGCTCATCAAGGTCATCCGATGTGTTGTTATACTGTGAGCTGTGAATTATGGTGATGGGATAGAAGAGTGTCCGTTTTACTGTCCGTCTTTAATGAACTCCTTTACATATGTTCCTGCAGGCGGAGGATGAGTTCGTGTATTGGCCGAGTCGAGAGGAAGCCATGAACTGTGAGGCGTTTACAGTCACTCTTATCAGTAAAGACAGACTCTGTCTCTCCAATGAGGAACAGATCATCATTCATGACTTCATCCTGGAGGCCACACAGGTCTGTGGAGAAACAGCTCGCGATTGAAAGTGTTTAAAATATATCATTATTACAAGGGGCTGTATGGATTCAGAAACTCTTGTTATTAGCAATATAATTCAGACCAAGCAGTTTTGTGTTCACCGAACAGATATCCAAACATAAACCAAGTCTAAATTTGAGCTGTCAAGTGAAACTCTTAACAATAGCCTGAAGCTAGACTAGTCATCAAATAGACATTCATGTGTTGTTATTCATTCCTTTGTGTTTGATGACAGGTCTAGTTTTGAGCTATTTTTAGACATCTATTTCTCAAATTTAGCCTTGTTTTAGCCAAGACGACTATGTCAAGATGTCTATTTGACGTCCATGAGACATCTTTTCAACCTAAATGCTTGTTGGGATGGAAGAGAGCGCACAGATATCACATCCTTCTCATTTTTAATACACAACGTTCTACAAATACAATGTAAAATGTCAGGCTTGTGTAATCAACATCTGTGATAAGAATGCATATTGTTATATTTAATTGATTGGTTAGTTATATTTAAATAGTATGAATATTAATATACTTTGTATTAAATAATATACTTTAATTAATAATATAACAAATAATAAACAAATAATAACAAATACATTTCATTTGAACTTTAATTAGTAACTCTTAATATAATTTACTTTTTAAAAGTTTTGGATTTAGATTATTATGAGTAATTTTGTCTCAAATAGCCATTTAATTAAGCACATATTTAGATTTTCCTATGATGCAAAGCTGAGATTATTATGAGCCTTTAGAAATGATTCTAATATGCTGATTTGCTGTTAAAGAAATTATTTAAATTGTTCTTAATATTAATATTAATATTTTTAATATTTAATATTAAATTTGTTTAATGCATTAATATTATTATTTAATATTCGTAATATAAAAAACAGCCTATGACTTCTTGACTACACACATACACATTAAATGGTTGTTATTTTTGTGGAAATTTTGACATTGTATTAATTAAATGCATATTGAAGAGAAAGGAAAGATGAATTATATATTATATAATTATATATATTATACAAAAACATATATATATATATATATATATATATATATATATATATATATATATATATATATATATATATATATATATATATATATATATATATATATATATATACATATATACTATGAATAGATTCTTTAATTAAAATTTGAGAGTAAATATGTTGCCTTAAAAGAGATAAGTTGATTAAATCACTTGTAACTTAACACTGTTAAGTTGACTTTGCCTATTTTTTTATAACTATGCACATAGTTCTTTTACTTAAAGGTCCTGTGAAATTAAAATAAAAAAAAATTAAATATTCGTTTCAGTCTGTTAGTTTTAAGAAGGGGTGCCCAAACATTTTGGTATGAAGGGACAAACACCAAATATCATTGAGAGCCGTGGGCCGAAGATAAGCATACCAAACTATTTTAACTTAAAGTTGGTCATGGGTAATGTTCTAATTCATTTCATAATAATCATAAATAAATAAAAAACATTACTTTGAATCGTATTAGCCAATGACGCATAACGTTTTTAATTATAACTCTTTGTAGTTCAATGCTGAATACATTAGTCAAGTACGATCTGCCTTTGCCTTGATTCACTCACCAAAGTCTCTGTACTGTCCTCTATCTGTCGGGTGACAGTATGTACAATTTAAACTAAATCTGATTTATTCAAACTACTTTAATTGAAACGTTTAATTTCAGGTCGCTCTTTTGTCGCTTAATAAAACAAACAAATAAAAGGTCACTTAAAGTTTCAAATGACAATCTCTAAACCATTCCCATCATTCCCCCTCTCTCTCCTTTAGATGGAATAGTGGGCCAAATCAAAGTTGCCCAAGTTTGGGCATCTCTGGTTTTAAGGATATCTGTAAGCTAGTGTGCTCCAAAACAGTGACGAAATTTGCATTTAGAAAATATAAATCTGATATAAACCTGTTTAGTTTGTCTCTTTTACCTAAAGTTCTGTCTCTTTTTCTTCAGTTCCTTATCAAATCTTGACCAATCAAATGCTCTCTAGTATCTGACATGCCCCGCCCACTTCAAGACTCTTCTCATGTGCTTTTCAGTTGATGCGCTTGAGCTTAACTCACTCTCACTGGCAGAGCTGTGATAAACACAAAACACTATTGGATGTTTTTCTAAAGGGGAGGAACTCTTCTATGTCCTGCACTCTCTTTATTTTTTCATTTGAGATTACGTTAAGCATCAAATAAAAAAATGCACATTTCAAAGCACTTAACGGGACCTCTGATCATTTTAATGCAACAGGTTTACTTTTTTCATTTAAGTCAACTAATCACTTTTTACAGTGTATATTACACATACATAATTTGTACATTTCTGTATCAACTGCATAAATGATTTGAAATGATTGTCTCTCTCTCTTTTACTCATTAGGATGATTACGTTTTAGAAGTTCGTCATTTTCAGTGCCCAAAATGGCCAAACCCCGACGCACCCATTAGCAGCACTTTTGAGCTCATCAACGTCATCAAAGAAGAGGCCATGACCAGAGATGGACCCACTATAGTGCATGATGAGTAAGTGATGGGCTTTTATCTCTGATTTGCCTTATGGAATGTACAGTTTGACCTAAAAATAACCTGCATACTGATATACGGTATGTTGCATGTCAGAATTGGCCCATAAATGTAAACATTTTACCATGTTTTGTGACTTTAAATGTGTAATAAGTAGTGCTGGGTTAAAGATTAATCACAATTAATAGCATCCAAAATGAAGGTTTGTTTTGACATAAGAATTCAAGTTTACTTGTATAGCAATTGTACATTATTACATTACAGTCAAAATCAAAAAAGTTATTTCACAGTATTTGCTATATTTTTTCTTCTGGAGAAAGTCTTATTTCTTTTATTTTCGCTAAAATAAAAGCAGGTTCATTTTTTATCATTTTAGGGTCAATATTATTAGCATTTTTTTTCTTGATTGTCTACAAAACAAGCCATCGTTATACAATTATTTGCCTAATTTCCCTAACTTGCATAATTAACCTATTTAAGTCTTTATGGGTGCTTTCATACTAGCAGTTTTGCTCCACACTCCAGTTCTTTAATGTCAGAGTTTGGTACATTTAGCGAGTGTAAACGATGTCTTCTGGATTCGGGTGCAGACCTGTGAACCATACCCGAGTGCGCCTGAAAGAGGAGTTCTGGGGTTTGGTTTGTGTGAATTTCGGTCCGGTTCACATCTGAAATAAATTCAATCGTACCAGATAACGAAAGCGATCCGCCAAGTGTACTACATCTTTAGTTTTCATAGTGTTTATTTGTGTGTGTGTGTGTGCGTGGGTGCGTGCGTGCGTGCGTCTGTCTGTCTGTCTGTCTGTCTGTCTGTCTGTCTGTCTGTCTGTCTGTCTGTCTGTCTGTCTGTCTGTGTCTGTCTGTCTGTGTCTGTATCTGTGTATCACCTAACTTTACCTTGGCCACAAGAAAGAATGACCCAGTGCAAACACAGTGAAAATGTCTGCTAGTCTCCTTCAAAAAGACTTTGCATTGCGAAGACAACGCGTGATGTTCTGAACGTTTTTAATATTTTTGCTGCAGATAGACGCAAGTCGCTCTCTGTATGTTACCAAAACCAAAAGATTCAGTAAAAGCAGAATGATCGCGATGTGTGTACCTCTTTCCATTTTGGTGCCTTGCTCCCGTGGCTGTCCATACCTAGCAACAGCTGAACACACAACAGCAGCTTGATGACGCAAGCGTAGCAGGGTTTAAAAGAAAAAAGACAGTGTGAACACAAACCAGCTGAGAAGGTGGCAAGGCGGGAACAATCAAACTTGGGTTCAGAGCAGGCAATTGAACCAAGTGTGAAAGCGCCCTAAATAGGGTATATGCACAGCTAATGTTTCTCTCCATTCCAATAAACTTCCGGTGAACAGTTAATGTGACTTGAATTTTAAATCTTTTAACTTTATAGGGGTCATTTTACAGATGAAAAGCCATTCACATCCATGCGCCCGTCAGAATTAACAGGCTAGCTCTGAAACTCCATTGAAAATTCTGGGGTAAAATAAATTGCCTTAATTTAAAGACATGGCACAGAAAAATGTAATTTATTACAGTGCATCTTGTACATTCTGAGACCAACTTTACATCGTATATCAATCAGGCAGTGAAGATCATTGATTTTTAAAGAAACAGACCTTAAATGTGCCGATTTTGTAGCTGCATACAGTTCACTGGAAGCGTTTGACCCTTACTGAAAAATGAAAAGTCCTTCTGCTTATACCTTATTGCACTTTAAGCTGTATAGAAGTGTCTTGAAAAATATCTAGTAAATATTATGTGCTGTCATCATGGCAAAGATAAAATTAGTTATTAGAAATGAGTTATTAAAACTATTATGTTTAGAAATGTGTTGAAAAAATTTGCCATCCGTTAAACAGAAATTGGGGGAAAACTTACAGGGGGCTAATATTTCTGACTTCAACTGTACCTATACACATATATTATCACATCAAACTTTTATTTTGGTTGCGGTTAATCTTTGCCCAGCACTCGTAATAAAAATTATCAACATAATGTAAAGTTTTAGTACCTCTGAAGTATGAACACTGAACTGAGCAGAGCTCTCCAACATTCCTTCTTGATATGTCAGCGTTTTGCCCATCTTTTATGTGCAGCTCGTTCGACGAGGTTTTGGAAACAAAAGACATTCAACAGAGTGGAAACAAAAGCCTTCCATTTTAGACTACAAAGAGTTGAGAATCTAGTCAGAAGCAGATCTCCCTCTAACAACAGGGAGACGTGAGCGCAGAAATAACTCCACAGGAGAAGCAGATCGTTGCTTCTGTCAACAGGAGGAGCGTTTCTAATGAACGCCATGCTAATTAAGACAGCCATCTAATGGAAAGCTCTTAGGGTGATACCATAGTAACATTGCACATTTCCAAAAGCTCAATTAGTCCACCATGTTTATCAGATGAGGCAAGCGGGCCTCATTAGCATAATGAATAAACATGAGGGGGCCGTTGTGAATCATTTTGTGGCAAAGTGATGTCTGTTGATATTAAAGAATACTCGTTAGGGCTAATTGGATCACAGCACCTTAGGGTGTCAAACAATAGAAGCAGTAATGGATTTGATTCCCATAGACTTAAATACAGAGTTTATCGTGGGAGACGTTACACTGCTGTTAGAGAGAACAGCAAGGACACAAGATGAATGCCTACAAAGTGACTTCTGGCCTAGCACCTTCTTATCTGCACTCACTTCTGCAGATCTATGTGCCCTCCAGAAACTTGCGTTCTGTGAATGAACGTCGCCTCGTGGTTCCATCCCAAAGAGGAAAAAAATCACTTTCGCGAACGCTCACGCTCAATCTGCCCAGTTGGTGGAATGAACTCCCTAACTGCATCAGAACAGCAGAGTCACTCGCTATTTTCAAGAAACGACTAAAAACTCAACTATTTAGTCTCCACTTCACTTCCTAATCTGCAATTGCCTACTTGAATATCACACTAACTGTACAAAAAAAAAAAAAAAAAAAAAATTACTAACACTTCCCTTCTTAGACTTTACAGACCTGAAACTTGCCTTTAGTACTTATTCATTGTTGCTCTTAGTTGTGTAAATTGCTTCCTTGTCCTCATTTGTAAGTCGCTTTGGATAAAAGCGTCTGCTAAATGACTAAATGTAAATGTAAATGAATGAGAACAGATCATCCATAACGTAAAAAGAAGTCTACTCTCTGGGTGCTTTCATACCTAGCAGTTAGCGCGGTTCGTTTGGCATATGTGAAACTACCAATCACCATATCTAAAAAATGAGAACTTGTTTCAACCTCCTTAAGTGTAACTTCATAATTTGTCCCATAGGAAATTAATGTGGAATACCAAAATAAATATATATATATATATATTATTTGTCCAAGAAATCTTACCCAATGCTGATCGAACATGCCTTTTAATAATGGTCTGAGTCTGTACAACATGCTCAGTATGTGAAACGCATGCGCACACACCCCCACAAACATACAGACCCCCTAAAACGCCATTAAAGTCTGTTGTTATTTTTGATATTTTGAGGTTTTTATGCAATCATAAGCCAAACAATTTCACCAAAGTCAACCCATTTTTAGGGTTTGGATGTCTGAAATTGCTGAAATGATTTTTGTTCAACTTATGGATGACAAACATTAAATGAAGCAAAAAATATGCATATTTTACATTAAAAAGAACAAGGTCGTTTTAGGTGCAGTTGAAGTCAGAATTATTAGCCCTTGATTTTTATTTTAGTTTTTAAATATTTCCCAATTAATGTTAAACAGAGCAAGGAAATTTTCACAGTATGTCTGATAATATTTTTTCTTCTAAGAGAAAGTCTTTGTTTTATTTCAGCTAGGATAAATAGTTTTTTTTTAAAACTATTTTAAGGTCAAAATTATTAGCCCCTTTGAGCTGTATTTTTTCGGTAACACTTTACAATAAGGTTCATTAGTTAATGCATTTACTAACATGAACTAATCATGAACAACACATGTACAGCATTTATTAATCATAATTGACCATTTACTAATACATTATTAACATTCAAGTCCATGCTTGTTAACATTAGTTAATGCACCATGAGTTAACATGAACTAACAATAAACTACTGTATTTTCATTAACTAACGTTAACTAACATGAACAAATGCTGTAGTAGATGTATTGTTCATTGTTTGTTCATGTTAGTAAATGCATTAATTAACATTAACTAATGAACCTTATTGTAAAGTGTGACCATTTTTTCAATAGTCTACAAAAGAAACCATCGGTTTACAATAACTTGCTTAATTACTCCAACCTGCCTAATTAACCTAGTTACGCCTTTAAATGTCACTTTAAGCTGTGTAGTGTCTTGAAAAATATCTAGTCAAATATTATGTACTGTCATCATGGCAAAAATAAAATAAAGTAAAGAGACGAGTTATTAAAACTATGGTGTTTAGAAATGTGCTGAAAAAATCTGCTCTCCGTTAAACAGAAATTGGGGAAAAATAAACAATAATTCTGAAAAGAATTTAATATAGAAAAAGAACATTAATTGAAAGATTTTATTTGATCAAAGACAGCGATATTGTCACAATCACCAGCGTTCAAGCTTATACAGAACTACACATCTGCCACCAAATGAACTACAAATACCATGATGCTGTGTGCCAATCAACACCTGCTACAGCTGACAATAATCCGGACACTCACACACAGCTAAAACACATAATCAATGATATAACATCTGTTTGAAAATAGCTGTTTTGGCTATAGCTAGAATTCAGGGCTCCAAATATTAAATCTAAATTGACCTTTTTTTTAATGCATTTCACTGTGTTTGATTAAAATGCATAGTAAAATAGGAAATGTGAAGGGTTTTTAAACATAAGAATACAACCTGACTATTTTACTGCCTTTGTATTGTGTAAATATTATATTATTATGAGTAAGTTGACTTTGTCATTGATTGTCCTCTTTTTCAACTCTGCTATTTTAATGGTTTTATAGATGATTTAAAAAAATAAAAGTCCTGGTCTACTATTTTCTCTGATATTTTTATTATTTTTAAAGTGACATAACCAGTGATAGAAAGAGTACAGAAAAAAATTATACTCAAGTAAAAGTACCATTACTTGCCCAAAAATAAAGTGCAAGTAAAGTAAAAGGATCTGTTATAAATATTACTCAAAGTATGAAAAGTAGAACTTTTAAAAGTACTCAAGAGTAATGAGTTACACTGTGAAAGTCTTATGCATTTACATGCAATTTGGGCATGTATGTGTGTGAAAACGTAACATTCTGTAGTGCATTTGGTTATTGCTTAAGGCCATTTCAGTCATCATACATCTGTCATCCAGTTTGAACAGTCTCTGGGTTATTGCATGTGAAGATTTTGGATGTCTTCTTGGACACTTTTAATGTATTCAAATGCTAAGCTTCATTTAGATAGCACCCATGTCTTAAGGTAGTTCAGTGTGATGCAATTTACTTTGTATGTGCGATTTGATTTGACAGGAATCACAGGACTTGGAATTACAGGACTGATTTTCCTACTTTAGCCAATCCCATAAACAAGAAAAATAAAGTAGTGACTGCAGGTTGAAGGAAAGTAGTGGAGTAAAATACCAATACTGCACTAAAACTTTACTCAAGGGAATGAAAAGTACACATTTTTAAAACTACTCACTATATTACAATTTCTGAGAAGAACTACTCGATTACAGTAATTTGAGTATTTGTAATTTGGTACTTTACACCACTGGACATAACGAGTTAAAACGTGTTTTGTAGAGCGTGGAGTGTAGACAGTTGTGATATATGATGGATGTTTGTGTGTGTGTCAGGTTTGGTGCAGTGTCTGCTGGGATGTTTTGTGCTCTCACCACACTGTCCCAGCAGCTGGAGAGTGAAGGAGCTGCAGGCGTCTATCAGGTGGCCAAGATGATCAACCTCATGAGACCAGGAGTCTTTACCGACATTGTAAGTGCTTGTATTCAGCTTTATAGGTTCATTACTGGTTGTATTTTATGGTGTAGTTCACTCACACACACACACACACACAAATCATTGACTTACTCTAAAATCTTAAAGGTGCTGCTTTTAAGTTTTCCACTCTTCTGAAGCATAAAAATAATATGTTTGCAGATATTTAAGAAACATGCTAAGTAAACATTAATTTATCCAAAAAACAATGCTAAAGTCAGATATTCTGCTTTGAAAATGTGCATTATGTGCCGGACCTGTCTTTGTTATGGTTCTTTTAACCCTCCCACTGCCACTTTAGCCAATTATATTTCTGCACCCCAGGTTGCCTTGTTGGAAATACTACATTCAATTAGTCATGTAGGCTTCCATGTATAAAATGCTACCTCCGGTGGACTCCGAAATAAGACACAGATTCAGAGTTCTACATGAGGTGGTTATTAATTAGCAAATAATAGAAATATTATGAACGTAAACATTTGGTGAGCAGCCTCTCAACCACAACCTCACGCTGCTTTTTTGGTTTTGTTTTACCTGGATCCTGGAATGGTCACTAGACTTGAACCCCATTCCACGTTCTAAGTCGGCCATTGTTTTAAGTGAGCTACCAAGCAATCCAGTCACACCAGAAAAACTATATGGAATTAAGCAGTCAGCGGAACCTCCCCATAGCGTTCATTTTACACACAAATTGCAGGCATATGTACCAAAAACTACATATTTCTCGGTTCTCAAAAATGTAGCCCTGAGTACATTTTCCCAATAAGCCTGTATTTGTATTATTTCAACAGTGACAAACTCAGCAAGGGTCTCGCCTTCACTCTTGTGAGGGGCCTGTGCAGGTGGTTTACAGCACTGCATAGAAAATATCCCAGTTAAGCAGTAAAGTCTAGATTGGATACGTGTACAGCCGGAAGTGCGATATGCACATTAATATAGCAGCATTTTTTTATGACACTGTATTACAATAATTAATATTTTACAGTACTGTGATGGTTAGGTTTAGGATTGGGGTGGGGGTAGGCATTACAAATACTATTTATTGAGTAATTTAATAGATAACATAAGTAATACTCAGTACAACTACTGTTTTTACAGTGCTGTGATGGTTGGGTTTAGGGTTGGGTTGGGGGTAGACGTTAATAAAAACACAATAAATGGGAAATTTAATACATAACATAAATAATTCTCGTTAACTTCCGGCACCAACCATATCCGATCTAGCAACAACCCAGTTTAGCCTACCGACACACTGGAAACCACATAAAAAAGTATTCTTATGGAACATTTTGCACAGTTAGCAGTGTTTTGTTTGGGTTTATTTTTTATTTAGTTGTACCTATTCTAGATCCAGTTTCTGTATGTCTATACTCCATATTCTACAGTCATGTTTTCTGTCCCTCTGTTTTTCAGGAACAGTACCAGTACCTTTACAAAGCTATGCTCAGCCTGATAAGCACTAAAGAGAACGGATCCAGCCCCATGTCCCTGGACAGAAACGGCAGTATGGCCATGTCTGACGAATCAGACCCCGCCGAAAGCTTGGAGTCCCTCGTTTGAAGCCCCCCGAACAGGCGCAAGAAGAAGAGGCACTTAATCTAACTTAAAACTTCAAGGACTAAGACAGACTTTTTCTGAGGCCTTTTTTTGCCAGAACTCTTGGTTAAAAGAATAACCTGATTACTTTTTTACACTGATAAAAAGTTTTTGATATTTATTTTTTTCGCCATTTTATGTCTTAATGTTATCCTACTGAACATTTGCACCGACGTTTTTGAGTTCACAACAAACGAAACAAAACGACACACAGTTCTGTCTAGTTTGCACTATGAAAATATCAGTGTTACTGCCTACTCCACCATCTGGACCACAGTCGGCTTCTCGCTCACGTGAACTCTCGCTGTCTCAGTCACGCTCTTATGTTGACATTTCACATTAAAGCGGCTCTCAGAAGCTTTACGAATAACCGCCACAAACGAAAACGACCTCAGACGCTGGAAAAAGAGATTAATCCCATGTTCAACCTGCGAAGACCCACCTCGAAATGTCACGTCCGCCAATTAAAGACCATATTCACGAGCAATATGGATTACGTTGGTTTCGATTTGTATGTTTGCTTTGATCATTTTGCGCACCCCGAATCATATAGCTATCCATTACGCTTCTAGTTAAACCCATATTTACTTTCTCAAAAGGTGGTATTAAAACAGCTACTGTGAACTTTTGTATGATTCATATTCTGCTTTTAATATATATGACTATATCGTATATCATGATAACGTGTGCTTTTGTAAATGTTAACTGTCATTCGGAGCTCCATCGAAGGATCCGCAGAGCTCATGTCTTCTCTAGCGCCCCCTGCTGGTTTGATTTCTCCATCGCTTTATGCTGCAAAGCTGCTACTTGTGTCACTTGAGTGCAACTGAATAGGTGATGACCTTCCCTGTCAACTCATAATGTAGGAGTTAGCTATTTGCCCACTTCATTTTGTAATTTTATACTGCTCTACGGTTGATTTCTTTTATTTGTTTTTAATAGTTCTGACATAAACCGTCCCATACTCTGAGAATAATGTATACAAGTCTCTCGATGCCTTCTGTACAGTCTCATTTCATCTCAGCCCGCGCGTATGTGTGTGTATGTGTGTGCGTGTTGTGTTTGGTATTGAAACAAGTAGACTAAGTCTAAGCATTTCTTCACTGACCGACTAACAGACTTCTGTCGCTGTCATTCATTTCAGATTCAGCTAGGAAAAACAGTTACTGTAATATCGCTAACGGTTCTCTACATGCCATACAGCACAAAGGCCTTGCTAACGGAACATTAGAGTCATGTTTATAACAAACAAACATTACTTTTTACCAAAGACTACAACCGTCATTTCCTTCAGTCATGAAATGTGAGAAAGTCGTCTTATTATTATTGCTATAATCGCTGTTATTGGTTAAAGAAGTTTTCAGAAGAATGTTTTGGTAGTGTCTGGGAAAACAGGTTTGAAAATGATCCCACGATGTTTGTTTCGTTTTATGTTTAGCTTTGGTTTTCTTGTTTGTTTCTTTCAAATTGCTCTACTAAAAGATGTTTGTTTGACAATTCACTATTATTTTTAGTTTTGCTTGTTTGTTTTTTGTAGAGTTTTTTCGTTAGTTTTTTGCTTTGAATTCTATTCAGATTTCTCCACTAAAAGATGTTTGTTTGTTTTACAGGTCACTTTCATCTATGGTTTTGCTTGTTTGTTTTGTTTTTCTTGTTAATTTTATTCAAATTTCTTCGCTAAAAGATTTTTTTTTCACTTTTGTTTTTATGGGCTTTGCTTTGTTTTTTGCGTCACTTTTCTCTTTTGTTTTGCTTGTTTTTTTATAGGGGGCTTGTTTTTTTTTTCAATTTGCTTCACTAAAAGATGCGTATTTTACAGGTCACTTTTTTGTTTTGTTTTTCTTGTTTGTTTTGTTCAAATGTCTCCACTAAAAGATGTTGGTTTCACTTTAAATTTTGTGGCTTTTTTGTTTCTGTTTTAGTTTCTTGCTTTGCTATGCTCTTTGTATGACTTTTATCTTTTGTTTTGCTTGTTTGTTTTTAATGGGGTGGGGGTTGTTTTGGTTTTTGTTTTGTTTGGTTTAGTTTTTTGTTTGTTTGTTGTTTTTGCTTTGCTCCACTAAAACATGTTTGTTTAACAGGTCACTTTAATTTTGTATTTGCTTGTTTATATTTTTATGGGGGGGGTCTTTTGGTTTGTCTGTTTTTTTTTTTGTTTTTTTTTTTTTGCTTTGCTTTGCTTTGTGTTTTTTTATTTAATTTTGTTCAGTTTTCTCCACTAAAAGATGTTTATATTACTTTTAATTTTTTGTGTTTTTTGTTTTAGTGTGGGGAGCTGTTTTGATTTGGTTTGGTTTTTGTTTCGTTTTTTGCTATGTGTTTTTCTTGTTAGTTTTGTTCAAATTTCTAACTAAAAGATGTTCTAAAAGTTCCACTTAATTTTGTGGGGTTTTGCTTTTGTTTTTTGTTTTTTTGTTTTGCTTTGCTAGACTAAAAGAGCTCTTGGTTTTGCAGGTCAATTGTATATCTGGTGTTTTGCTTGTTTTGGTTTGGTTTTTGTTTTTTGTTTGTTTTTTGCTTTGTGTTTTTTGCTCATTTTACTCATACTTGACTAAAAAATACTTGTTTTACAGGTCACTTTTATCTTTTGTTTTTTTTTGTTTCGCTTTGTGCATCACTTTTATTGTTTGTTATCTTTTGTCTTTTGTTTGTTGAAAGTGAAGAAGAATGTAATCTGTTGCCGATTTCTGTATGAAGAAGAAATATGTTTAATCTTTGTTTGTCCTTTGAACCATTCAAAAACATTAGAAAGATTGAAAATGTTCCCGTTTAGATGGAGAAGACACACTGAAGGTGTTTATTCAGTTCATGCCCTGTTTCTCCTATATGAAGGAGGCTGATAAACAAAGTCACATCTCCAACATTTGGAGTAATATTCTGACTTGTGCATCATGTACGGTAATGGGAGGTGACAAACTGCATTTCTACTTTTGTGTCCTGTGGTGTCGCATTTTTTCTTGTCTTATCCTAACATTAATTGTGGGTTGCATTTGCAAACATATTTGCATTACCATGTTAAGAATTGTACATATCCTTTGTTTGCCCGATCGCTCTCTGAAAGCTTTGTATCCTTGCATATAGTCACACACTTTATATTTTCTTATAAATCAATTTTGTTTCTTTCTTTTTAGTTCTGTGTTTAGTTCTCATGTTTATGGTTAACAAAAAATTCCCTAAATTCCCCCAGAAGGTGGCTGACATCACATTCCAGACCATCATACACAAACTAAGGCAGTGATTTTGGTGTTTTTCCCCCTCTCTCTCTCTTATTTTCTCTATGAATCTCAATAAAAATCTGTTTCATTGTCCAGAAGTGCAATAGAATAGCTCTTGTAAGTCAATGAATAAGTTCTCCCATACAAAGCAGGTGGGTGTCGCCATCATATCCTCCTTTTGTAATCTGGAATAAAACGCAAAGGGTCTTTTGGTTTTATTTCTTTTCTTCTTTTTGTTCAAAGCTATATCAAAGCATTCTATTATAGTGTTATTTAATATGTAAATTGTATTGCTATACATAAAATAAAATATGAGTTTTGATGTACTTTAACGTTTATCTTCATGTTGTACATTGTGTGGAGTGAGACTAGAATGCATTCATTCAATTTCTTTCGGCTGAGTCCCTTTATTCAACAGGGGTCGCCACAGCGGGATGAACCGCCAACTATTCCAGCATATGTTTTACACAGGGGATGTCCTTCCAGCTGCAATCCAGCACTGGGAAACACCCATACACTCTAACATTCACACACATACACAACGGACAATTTAGCCTACCTATATAATTCACCTATAGCCCATGTCTTCGGACTGTGAGGGAAACCGGAGCACCCGGAGGAAACCCACACCAACACGGACAGAACATGCAAACTCTACACAAAAGCCAACTGGCCCAGCCAAGACTCAAACCAGCATCATTCTTGCTGTGAGGCGAATGTATCAAAATGCTTGTGCCACTTTTCATCATATATTTGCAGCTGTCATCATAACTGGGAGTTTTGAGGTTGGACAACAAACTACTAAAGCATAGCAGTGCCTCCCAGTGTTCATGTTGTTTTGTTTTCTGACAGGTTTATTTATATAGTTTCTCTCTCTCTCTCTCTGACAATAGTCATAATTGCTGTAATCATTTCAATGCCTGATTTAGTTTCTCACAACTATAGATTTCAATCAGAATAAATGCTGATGTCTGGGGCATAAAAACAATAATCATGTGGAGCCAGAAGCAATTACATGATGAGTTTTGTGTTGGAAGTCATAAACAGAGCAAGGGACAAAGCAAAGTTAATTACAAAATGAGGCAATACGCTGTAGAAAGAACAGTCAGATTGCGTACTTTGCAATGTCCTGTTATAAACATTAATGAGGATATCCCAAAATCCTCCAATTTATGTAGGGACTTGTGTAAGTCTTGTGTTTTTGTATAAGTTTTTATGTGACAGGAAATATACACAGTTGATGTCAGAATTATTAGCCCCCCTGTTTATTTTTGCCCCAATATCTTTTTAACAGAGAGAATATTTTTTAACACGTTTCTAAACATAATAGTTTTACTAACTCATTTTTAATAACTGATTTATTTTTATCTTTGCCATGATGATCAGTAAATAATATTTGGCTAGATATTTTTTCAAGACACTTATTTAAAGGCTTAACTTGGTTAATTGGGTTAACGAGGCAGGACAGAGTAATTGGGCAAGTTATTTGGGAAAAAATAGCTTAAAGGGGCTAATAATTAAAAATGTTTTTAAAAAAATTAAAAACTGCTTTTATTCTAGCCAAAATAAAACAAAGAAGACTTTCTGCAAAAGAAAAAATATTATCAGACACACTGTAAAAAATTTCCTTTCTCTGTTAAACATCATTTGGGAAATAATTAAAAATGAAAAAACAAATCAATGGAGGGCTAATAATTCTGACTTCAACTGTATATTTTTATATATAAAGCATCTTTTATAGAGATTTTATGTTGTTCTATTTAAAAGAAGTTCTGTTTAATCATGAGTTATTATAAAATATACTAATTAATTAAATTATTTCATGAGCATATAGGCTATAATTACCATTCAATTATACAATTGCTTCAAAATGAATTAATAATAAATTAAAAAGATAAACAATTTGAATTATGACCACACATAAAGCTGGCACCTATATTAATACTAAGAACTTGCTCATAACAATATGGTTTTAGCTGAAATATAAAGTCTAATAAAAGGAAAATGAGATCATATAATCATCTCACAATGAAAATGAGCGTCAATTGTATTTCTCATGAATTTCCCATGTAATATCACCGCTGAAACTGTTCACGCTTCTAACCTCATCCATCTCTGCTGCAAGTCCCCATAACACACACAAGATGGCGGTATATAACATCTGCGCCACCATCCACTGCTTGTGCTGCATTAGGGCGCATGTGCGGAGTCGTGACCGCGCACTTGTGTGAGACGTTTGAAAGTTCTCGCCGGTGATTAGCACAGCACTGCAACCTACAGCTAACGGTAAGGCCCTTCACACGCCTTTCTATTTTCACTATTCATATATCGACTTTCTATTATTTACCGTGCATTTGTTAACAGTTAGTCCCAGAAAGAAATGGTTTGAATGATAACACACGCCGCGCGCGCTATTAAAGTAAGCTCGACAGTTAGCTGTGAACTAAACACACACTGACGGATTACTTTAATAACGTTGCTACATTTTTCAATCTTATTTAAACTAAGTAAATCAAATGTCGACATTAATTAAGCCTTATTTATGTTAGTAACATGGCTTATTTTACGCTGAAATAATGGATTGTCACTAGCAATATGATGACTAACTTAGCAGTATGCTAGCTACTTTAGCACGTGAATCATGGCCGAGTTTCTGTAATACAACTAACGTTTTCTCAAAAATGTGTAATATTTGAGTCATAAAACAGCTGACTAAGCCTCACGCGTTATTTTGTTGTGTTTATTCATTTATACAAGGGAAGTATCTGCCAGGCCTTGATAGTAAGCTTAAGTCACAGCAGGCCAAGCGTGTGTTACTAACTGTCAAAAGTATATAAGTTATAGAGAATGTATTAACTGTTTTGCTAACGTTATCTAGTTACGATATACGTTTAATAAATGTTTATCGCTTAGAGTTTAATAAAGGTGCTGAATGCGTTCATTGAATACACACGCATGTTCTCTCCGACACAATTATGCGATTTCATTCAACAGTAATGTGTGAAATGTAAACGTAATAAAGAGTATGCAGACTGCTTGCTGTTGTTGAAACTTTTCTGTAAATTGAAGTTTGTTGTAATTATGCATCGGGTTTTATACATGTTTGTATTACTGCAGCAATCATGGAGCTCAATGATGGAAATCTCCAAACCCTTACCGAGTACTTGCAGAAAACACTAAGCGCTGATCCAGCTGTGAGGAGGCCAGGTAACATTTACATATCAGAAAACTATTTCATTTTCTCTGGACTTCTGATTTTTTTTTTTTTGATATTCATGCATACGTACACTTGCAAGGATGTATATATATATATGTGAGCAATTCCAGCGTTATGGATGTGATATTTGCAATAAAAACTCCATACATTAATTCATATAGAAAGTTGAAACAAAATTGAAACATTGGTATAAATTTTCCAAAACAACTGACCATAGAGTTAATGGACCAGAAAAAATCAATCTGTAACCATGTTTTGTACTTTAAATGAGAAAAGTAAACATGCGTTATGGATGTGATGGAAAAAAGTCTGCAGGTTTACAGTATACAACATACTTTGTGGAAATTCTGGAAATTAAACTGCACAACCCAAAAGAAATATTGATAATTAACAGGATAAAATGTGTCTCTCTAGAACAAAAATGATTGACTTTTTATTTTATTTGTCATTTTTCCATTTATAAGGAAAAAGTGTCGTTACGGATGTGACATCTCTCCGTTATGGATGTGACAGATGTGAAATTTCCGTTCGTGTGACTTTGGAAAATCAAGTATAATAGTTTGAAAACATTGACACAGAAATTGTGTATTTCTAAAGTGCTGTTAAATACAAGAAAACACAAACATAGAATTGGTTTCCATATTTTGGTGAAATCTTTCAATGTAAGATTGACTTTTGCATGGAATTGCTCATATGGAAGTCACAATTATTCGCCCCTCTTTGAATTTTTTTTTTTATATTTCCCAAATGATGTTTAACAGAGCAAGGATTTTCACAGTATGTCTGATAAGACTTTCTCCAGAAGATAAAATATTATTTGTTTTATTTTGGCTAGAATAAAATCAGTCTTTAATTTTTTTTAAAACATTAAGGACAAAATTATTAGCCCTTTTAAGCACTTTTTTTTCGATAGTTTACAGAACAAACTATCGTTATACAATAACTTGCCTAATTACCCTAACCTGCCTAGTCAACCTAATTAACCTAGTTAAGCTTTTAAATGTCACTTTAAGCTGTATAGAAGTGTCTTGAAAAATATTTAGCCAAATATTATTTACTGTCTTCATGGCAAAGATAAAATAATCAGTTATTAGAAATCTGTTAAGTAGAAATTGGGGAGTAAAAAAAAAAAACAGCGGGGCTAATAATTCTTGCTTCAACTGTATAAGTATGTATGTATGTGTGTATATATATATATATATATATATATATATATATATATATATATATATATATATATATAGTATACATTTAATTCGGTTCAGTCAGATTTCTGTGTGGTTCTCTGCATCAAATTAAATTTACAAAAGTGATTTCATATTAATCAGATGAATGTGATAATCTAAAAGTGTCTTTTATTCTTTGAAATGACTTCCATGTCAAATTGTGATAGTAATAGTTCATTTTTAACACATTTTTGAAATATCAGACTTTATTCTGTTTCCGTCAGTCCTGTCGCTAGGGTTGGGTATCAGGGTTTTAACGGACAGTACTTTAACGGTTCTCTGACCGGTATTTTTTTGTTGTGTTTTATGAAAGAAAAAAACAAATCAAACAATTAACAACACTTCTTGTTTTATTATTACGTTTTTAACATAATACTAATGCTAAACCAATAATTGTAAAACAAATAAAAAAAAATTCCTGTAAAAGAATGTTCAATGGTTTGAAGGAAACTGACTCTGTTTTTCTACAATTCTTCTGGATAAAAATCAACATGTTTGCCTTTTCTGGCAGAAGTCGAGATCTTTCTTGCTGTCAGCAGTGCTGTCTGCAGTTCAAAATACCCTCTTTGAGCATCAAAAATGCAGTTAAATGAGATTGTTTATGATTTTTCATTAACACATTCACATAAATGAGTTAAGTGTTTTGGGAGTTAACTGTGTTTTTAATACAGCTTTGGAGCATCTTGCAATGTAAAAATAAGCAGTTTTTTTAAATATAATTTCTTAAAAAGCATTAAGTTTATTACTAGGCTATTCATAGGCTATATTTATAAATACAGCTGATGCAAAAGCATTTTTAATGTTAAAGATTTATTTAGGCTACTGCAGGAAAAAACAACTGGTTGCAACAGACATTGTTGCTGTCCACTTGTGAAATACAACCTGTTTGGTTCACTCCGCAAACTTAGGAGCTGTGTGTGCGCGAGTCTGTCGCAAGCTATGTGTGTGTGCTTTGCATGAGCCTCCTGAGTGTGCCCGCACAGCTGAGAACTGTGAAGACTTTTATATTTGCCTCGCTCATCAGAAACACCAGCATTTCCCATGTGAGATTACCAACTTTGCATACAAATATCAAATATTGTAAATTTTAAAAAGTTGGTCAGTTAATTATGCTACTGTAAGTACTGTTTATACAGCAATAATTCTCCAGTACCAATAGCAGCACCGTTAACGTCAGAGCTTATTAATACTTCTGTATTTTATAATGTAGCACCAAAACCGAGTTTTAGGACCCATGCCTACCTGTCATATTTACGATAAATTTAACATAAATACTTCTTTAAGGCTATGACTCAGAGGAAGTGACATTTTATTTGAAGGATAGAAGCTGGCAGTGATCAAGCATCAAAGCATGCATGCTAACTTCTGTCACTGAATTGTATGTAGTGTAAATGTACGTTTCTGGTAGAATGCCCTATGTAGGAAAGAATAAATGATCATGCAAAATTAATTGCATGGCAATAAAATCTGAATGTCTTTCACGCCAGTATTAATTATTGAGCCCTGATTTATGTCATACCTGGTATTAAATGATAAAATGTTCTTATTGTCTTCATCAGCCGAGAAGTTTCTGGAGTCGGTGGAGGGAAACCAGAACTATCCCATTTTACTGCTCGCAGTACTGGAAAAGTCCCAGAATGAGGTCATCCGTGTGTGTTCAGCCGTCACTTTCAAGAACTACATCAAGAGGAACTGGCGCATAGTTAGTGTCCTGTTCAATATGACTAAAGCTGTCTGATGTGAAGCGTAGATGCTTCCTTCATTGATTTATTCGCTTTATTTGAATCTATCAATTGTTTGTTATTTTATCTTTAGGTTGAGGATGAACCCAACAAAATCTCTGATCCTGATCGGACTGCTATTAAGGCCAACATTGTAAATTTGATGTTGACCAGCCCGGAGCAAATCCAAAAACAGGTACCCATTCAGATAACAAACACAATACAGGAAATAGAATAAATGAACTTTTTGTCTTCAGTAATCTTCTGTCATGTGGATTGAGGTCTTCTGCTATAATTGTCATTACAGAGGTTTTAACAAACATTTTTAGATTCACTTTGATCAATGTTTCTCAAAAAGGAGGCCTGGAGCTTTATACACACAATATTACCACTAGGAATTCTCCTAAATGGCAGTGAAAAATTAAATTGTAGTGTCTTAATCTGTTTACAAAGCTGTTGAGACGACACATTTTAATAAGGAATAGAAAGAAGTCTTCAGCTTGGGACAAGAACTAGTGGTGACAAAAAAAAAGACTTGTTGTTTTCTTGCACCAGCTGCATCTGGTCACCCAAACAGATGATGACCAATGTCTGAAACTGAAGTCTATAGGGTATAAGCCGAATCATGCTAATAGGACTTTTAATTTGCCAGTAATCTGGGTTAAGCTCTTCTGCCGAACTGTATGCCAATGCAAAAACCGCCGCATTTAGGGTCAGTTTTCTTTAAAAATCAGCGTTCTCCACTAGCTGAGTGATATCCGATATAAAGTGGGTTTCAGATTGTACAAGAAGCACTGCATTAAATGACATTTTCCCCTGCCATGTCTTTATAATATGAGTATTTATTTTACCCCAGTATATTCAATGGAGCTTGTGCGTGTAAACGGCTTTTTGTCTCGTTTTACGCTTGAGCAACTAAATGAATGCCAAAGTTTATTTAACTGAATGTATTTTAATTACATTACAACATCAATGCTGTAAAAGGAACCGTATAAAATGGAAAAAAAAGTTCACAATAATAGGTCACCGGAAGTTTAAAAGTATGGGAAAAACACTAGCTCGGCATATACCCTATTCTGCGCCTGCGAGAGAGGATTTACCTTTCCTTGCCTGCAGGTGGCAGCAGTCTGTTGTCATTCCACAATGGGAACTTGTACACTGTAGCACTTGTAACAACACAGAAAGCATCATTTACATACCATTTTCGCAGTACTTTGTCGATGACTACAGGGATTTACTTGTGCAAATACATCTGATGATCCTTATCATTTGCAAATATTTAAGAAATGGAAAATTGATGTTTTAGGGTAGTTTGTTAATTGGGTCTTAGTGACATGAGAGTCCTCATCAATACTTCTCAGCTTTGCTGATTTAGGAGTTTGATTTTAGTGCTCAATAGCTTTGTGAAATAATCTGTGAAAAATCAAAAAGTCATGTATCATTAGTTGTCCTCAGCAAACTTCCAAGGTAGTGTTTAGACACAAAGCTTTGCTAATGTAAAATTGACTATTGTTATTTAAAAATTGTGGTTTTACTATTGAAAATAGTTGATTTATCTGGCCTTGAAGATTAAGTGTCTCCAGCAAGAGGGCTGGCAAACACCTCATTAGTGTTTACTGTGCCTTAGATATGTGTTTTTCTCTGTGCAGCTGAGTGACGCTATCAGCATTATCGGGCGGGAAGACTTCCCTTTGAAATGGCCAGATCTCTTGACTGAGATGGTGAACCGTTTTCAGAGTGGAGACTTCCACATCATTAATGGTGTTCTTCGCACGGCACATTCCCTTTTTAAACGGTATGTGAGGTTCATTTGAATAAAATCAATGCAGTGTTGCTGTTCTTTTGATTGCGATTATCATTTAGTTGATGTACCATTTTTGTTCTATACTTGATCTAAAGTTTAGTTTCATGACTTTTAAGAACTGTCTGTGTTGTCTTTCAGATACCGGCATGAGTTTAAGTCTAATGAGCTGTGGTCAGAGATCAAGCTGGTACTGGACACGTTTGCACAGCCTCTTACTGAACTTTTTAAGGTGATGTCAAAAAGTCATTGTCCGTCTTGATTTGAAACGTTATTAGTCATTACCTTATAATTCATCGTTTTAAACTGTGGTTTGCTTGTTTTTCTTTTAGGCTACAATTGAATTGTGTCAAACACATGCAACAGATATCAACGCCTTGAAAGTGCTCTTCTCTTCTCTAACACTTATTTCAAAACTTTTCTACAGCCTTAACTTCCAGGTAAATTTCTACTCTCTCATCTCATGCCAGCATTGTAGCTTTAGTGTAGTTTTTGTCTTCATCAGGAGTTTTCTAACTTGGTCCTGGAGGGCCAGTGTCCTCCAGATTTTAGCTCCAACTTGCATCAACACACTTGCAATGTTTCTAGAAAGCCTAGTTAATCTGTGGTCACACTGGACTTTTCTCCCCATAGTCTTCCATTCATAAACGCGAATACTTCAGACCGGAAACATAAGCTCATGCGAAAAGTTTTGCAATTTGCTGCATTGCGAAGTTCAAGCTTATAAGCTTGATTAGCTAGCCCAGGTTTGTCTGATTCGAGTTGGAACTAAACTTTGCAGGACACTCACTCTCCAGTGATGAGTTTGAGAACCCCTGGTAAATAAGAATGCATTATGATCAATGTAATTAAGTCACTGAAAATAAATACAAATGAGAGAATATTTGCAAAGTTTTCACTACATTAAAACTTTCTTCATGAATTTTTTTGTTAAGGTAAACTAAGTGATTTTTTTTCCCTCATAGCACGGTGTGTAAATCTGAATGTGATAGATTTTTTTTTTTTGAACAGTTCAGTAAAAAAGTTCATTTGTATTAAGTTGCATTTTAAAGCACTTTTTAACCCACAGTAATTGAAGCAACCTGCAGTCTTGGTTTGACACAAAACTGACTGTTTTTGTTTTTTGTAACTGGGTTAATGTATTTTATTAAATTATCTGAGTTAACTAAATCCAGTGATTCATTTGTAAAATCACTTTTTTCGTTATCAATTACCAATTTGTGTAAATGATTGAATTCATTTCTAATCTGGGGACACCTATTGCCATATTCAAGACTGGTTTATACTTCTGTGTCTAGTGATTGTCTTGACCCATGGGTCCTGCCTTGCGCATAGCCATGCTTTAATGCTTCTGCGTGATGTGTGTTGCTCTGCAATAACACTTCCGAAACACTAGCTGGCAGTAGATTTTTATGTTCCTCTGTGTCGCGTTTTTTATGCTAATGTTGTTTTTTCTGAACACTTACTTAATGTACAAGCAGTTTAAACTCGCTCATTTAGAGGCAGAAAACCGATAGATGTGCAGCTTCAATCATAAGGTACACACAAAACAAAAGTTTCAATCTGGAGCTCCTTCACGGGGACTCAACACTTATAAACAATCGCTCTAAGCTCGCAGCTCTCAGCACCGCACCACACCCTCAGTGCTACTAGCCAACCAATCACAAAGCCTGCGCTATGCATTGTTGCAACGTGTAGTTACAATTTTTTTGAGAGCTGCGGGTCACCTTCAGCGTCGACCATAGCGAGGGCTTGTGTGACAGCACAAAGGCTGCGCTGCACCATACAAGTGTGCTTGACACAGAAGTATAAATCAGCCATTAGTGTCAATATTGTCCATGACAGGCTGCAATGAACCAGTAGATCCAATTAAAAACACTCAGCAATAAATGAATTATTATTATCATGGAAAAAAAGGAGAGTGTAGTAGACGCACTATTGTCTATTTGTCCTGCTAACAGTTTGATTTTTCACTTTTCCAGGATCTCCCTGAGTTCTTTGAGGATAACATGGAGACTTGGATGACAAATTTTCACAACTTGTTGACCCTGGACAACAAGCTGTTGCAAACAGATGTGAGATACTGCTCACAAAAACTCCCAAAAATTCTCTATCTTTGAATTCAGTTTACCATTTAGTTTTATTTATTATTTTTTGCTTTAGGATGAGGAGGAGGCTGGTCTGCTGGAGCTGTTGAAGTCTCAAATCTGTGATAACGCAGCACTTTATGCTCAAAAATATGATGAAGAGTTCCAGCCCTACTTGCCTCGCTTTGTTACAGCTATTTGGAATCTGCTGGTCACAACTGGTCAAGAGGTCAAATATGATTTGGTAAGTAGATTGCCTTTAGTTTCCATGTATTGATGTAGGTTTTTAAAAAAGACTATTTTGTGACAGTTTTGTTGGATTAATTGTGTCCGGGAACATTGCTTTTGTAGCTTGTGAGCAATGCAATCCAGTTTTTGGCATCTGTGTGTGAGCGACCACACTATAAGCATCTCTTTGAGGACCAGAATGTTCTCACCAGCATCTGTGAGAAGGTCATCGTACCCAACATGGAGTTCAGAAGTAGGTGCTGATTTATACATCTTGTATTTCAGTTATTAAACAGAAACCAGCTGAAGAAGTGGTACAGGGAGTTCTGACATGTAACTTGTATGTGAACAGGTGCAGATGAAGAGGCTTTTGAAGATAACTCAGAGGAGTACATCATCAGAGATCTTGAAGGCTCAGGTTTGTTGACACTTCTCTGTATTGTTCAGACGCTTGGTTTTTGTGATGTTTGTACTGAATGGTCTCTTCTGTTCTCAAAGACATCGACACAAGACGCAGAGCAGCCTGTGATTTGGTGCGAGGCCTTTGTAAGTTTTTCGAGGGCCCGGTGACGGGTATCTTCTCTGGATATGTGAACTCAATGTTGGCAGAGTACGCCAAAAACCCTGGTGTGAACTGGAAGCACAAAGATGCCGCCATCTACTTGGTTACATCTCTAGCATCCAAAGCTCAGACACAAAAGGTGAGATGGTCTTTGTTGATGATAACTCCGTAAGCAGAGTACTGATTTCGTTTCACTTTACTATGAACTCTTTCAACTCTTTAAATGAACTCATTTTAAAGCATTTTTAAATATATTTATTATCTATTTTAATGTTAACATAAATCTGCAGTAAGAAAATGATTAAACTAAATCTCAATTTTTACACCAAAAAAAAACATTTTTATTTAGTCCTTTGAATTATTGGCCACGTAACTGGGAGCAGTTTTAGTTATACAGTAGGTGACCATCCAAAAGACATGTTGCCATTGTCTGTAATACTGCTGCATAAATCCAGCCCAATGCAGTCACATTTTGCTTATGCATAATTTCCACAAGGGGGCGTAAAATGGCTTTGACACCCAATGCTCAGCAATGCATGGAATTGACATTTACACTCACAAATAAAGATTGAATTATGAAATAAATTACTGGCAATAATAATCATTTGTTGTTTATTGATGACTGTCAGTATTGTGACCACATTCATTTAGTATATTCAAATGCAACATTTGGGATTTAAATTGAATAATTCTCTGATATTTCAATAGGTTTACATTTTAGTATTCTCTCTCCCTTAAATAATTGTGATGAATGGAATATGTTTGTTTTTCATAATTGCTCTTTGTAATTGGCTTTTTTACATTCAGAGCTTGTTCATCCTGAATAATTCTTTAATAAAATCTAATATTTTTAAGATGAAAGAACTGTCGTACAGAGATTTAAATTATTAAGCAAAAGCCTAGAAACTGTACTACTTTGCATTTTAATGAGAATTAAAGATGTAAATGGACACCAGAGGAAATGGAAAAATATCAGCCAAGATTTGTTTTGGAATCGGATTGTGACCCCTGGAATCAGATTAGATTGTGAGGTCGCTATTGATTCTAACCAATTATACTTCTAAATAAGTTAAATGTAGTGACCATTCTGCTTTAACAATAAAAGAAAACACAGGATGAAGTCCACATGCTTCAGCTAAAGCAAATGATGGTTATTTATGTACGAGTTAATATATTTCTCTCCTCATTTCACTTTTATTTGGACCTTTTCTTACAGAATGAGTTTTTGCAGGCTCTCTTGCAGATGGTTGTAATATGATCATAGTTGGCCCATTTTTTTTTATTGGCCATTTATTGAAGTACTTTTTGATATTGACTAAAGTCAGGGCACGAAGGTCAGATATGGTCAAATTTCTCTGAATATCGCAGAGAACAATATTTACAGAGTTTCCAATTTTAAAGACTGTTTCCAAACAGAGTTAAGATGCAGTTTAACCTTCCAGGGTATGCTTGAGGCTTTTTATGCTCACTTTTTTGTTAGAGACCTTAAAAAGTAAGATTTTTGGTCAATAAGCTCTAAGTTTTAGGTCTTCTCGGATTAAATTTATGCTTCTCTTTTGCAGCATGGAATAACACAAGCAAATGAGCTGGTGAACCTGTCAGAGTTCTTTTTAAACCATATTCTCATAGATCTGAAATCCCCTAACGGTAATTGACTTTTCTCATTTAATGCTTGAATGTTTATTATTATTATTATAGTATTAGCTGAAACAGCAATGTTGTTTCTGTCCCTCAGTGAACGAGTTTCCAGTTTTAAAATCAGACGCCATCAAGTATGTTATGACCTTCAGAAGTCAAGTAAGCATTTTATTTTCAGTCCAAATATGCTTTATTATAGCACTAGTGGTTTAGTGTTTGTAACTGTGTGGCTTTTGCTTTGTTCTCCAGCTTCCTAAAGAGCAGCTGTTGCAGGCCGTTCCTCTACTCGTGTCCCACCTGCAGGCGGAGAGCATTGTTCAGCACACCTATGCTGCACATGCACTTGAGAGACTCTTCACCATGAGAGGAGGCAACAACACCACCCTGTGAGTTCACTCAGTACAAACAACTGAACGGTCATTTGCCTAAAATTCTAAATAAAATAGCAAATAAAACTGAATTTTGTGTTTCAGCATCACCCCGACTGAAATGGCACCCTTCACAGAACAGTTACTCAACCATTTGTTTAAAGCTTTAGCAATTCCTGGATCATCTGAGAACGAGTACATTATGAAAGGTAATGATCATCTCTTCCACTGTTGGACGAGTTCAAGCAGCAAGGCCAAAATCAAGCTGTCAGACTAGTGGCCACACAGCTCTGCTGTAAAACCTTCTCTCAACACACAACTCAGTGCAATGGCTTGTAACACTTTATTTTGATGGTCCATTTGAGAATTAGTGGACTGTCTGCTTAATATCTGTTGATACTGTTCCTTCTGAAGACATTTAACTGACTATAAGAAACTTTGCAAGTACATGACAACTTACACTAACCCCAACCCCAACTCATACTTACAGTCTAATGAGAACTAGTTGGCATGTAGATGCAATGTAACTAAATTCAACAAACGGACCATCAAAATAAAGTGTGAACCAACGGCTTCATTCCTCAAGCAGTTTCTACTAGCATAATGTCTATCATGGAAAATGTTAGCATTTCGTATAATTTAATAAATCTGTTATATTCTACTTTATAGATTGCAATGCAACTGCATTTTGTTGCATTGTACTTGTACATGTGTAATGACAATAAAGTTGAATCTAATCTTTTTGTGTTTCAGCACATTTCTAAGCATAATAGTTTTAATAACTCATTTCTAATAACTGATTTATTTCATCTTTGTCATGATGACAGTAAATAATAATTTACTAGATATTTTTCAAGACACTTCTGTACAGCTTAAAGTGACATTTAAAGGCTTAACTGGTTTAATTAGCTTAACTAGGTAGGTTAGGGTAATTAGGAAAGTTATTGTATATCGATGGTTTGTTCTGTCGACTATCGAAAAAAATAGCTTAAAGGGGCTAATAATTCTGTCCTAAAATTGTTTTTTTTTTAAATCAAAAACTGCTTTTATTCTAGCCGAAATAAAACAAATAAGACTTTCTCCAGAAGAAAAAATATTGTCAGACATACTGTGAAAATTTCTAGCTCTGTTAAACATAATTTGGGAAATATTAAAAAAAGAAAAAAAATCAAAAGGGGGCTAATAATTCTGACTTCAACTGTATAACTTCTCAATTTTTTTAGAAGTAATATCCAATTGTAAATCACTTCATTTAGACAACTTTAAAAGTGATTTTTTATTTTATTATTTATTTTTATTATCTTTTATTGTACAGGACTGGACATTAATTGGATTAGGAGGTGATTTATTGGATAACAACAGTAAAGTGAAAATCTGGAATCGGAAGGTGCAAAAAAAATCTAATATTTATACTTTTGCACCTTCAGATTCAAGATTCTCAAATAGAACAATGTTTGAAGAACATAAAACATACTAGCTTAACAACATAAAATGGAAAGGCTTTTTATTCAGCCTTCAGATGCTTTATAAATCTCAACGTCAAAAGTGACCCATGCTACTGGTTTTGTTACCCAGGTCACAAATGGTAATCAGACTCCACATTGGATCAGTCTGGTGTCAGTCATTTTCCGCTGTCTGCTTGAGCTGAATTCATTATTGATAAAGACACGTGTCTTTATCATCATCATGTTGATGTTATCTGTTAGACCAGGGGTCACCAAACTTGTTCCTGGAGGGCCGGTGTCCTGCAGATTTTAGCTACAACCCTAATCACTCCAACCCTAATCAAACACACCTGAACAAGCTAATCAAGGTCTTACAAGGTATACTTGAAACAACCAGGCAGGTTGTGTTAAGACAAGTTGGAGCTAAACCCTGCGGGGACACCAGCCCTCCAGGACCGTGATTGGTGACCCCTGTGTTAGACGGATATAACAATATGTGTAATGAGCTGCAGTGCTGACCATCAGCTCTGGTAAACTCTTGTTCATGATGTCTCTTCAAGCCCTAGCTGGTCTTCTTTGACCCAAGGTTTTTGGTTGGCAGAAAAAAACAAGCATTGGCCTCAAGGAAGCCATGATGAGGCTTGATTGAGCTCTAGAAGTGATGGTGGAAAACACAACTGGTCATGGCATGCATGCTTTAGGCCCAAAAGTGGAAATGCAGTTAAACTTTAAATTTTACTTGGTTTTAATAAATCTTTTATCAATATTTTGTTCAAATTAATAGTCTTTTTCACTCCTTGACCTTTTCTGTTTGTCTCCTCCGCAGCCATCATGAGGAGTTTCTCCCTCTTGCAGGAAGCCATCGTGCCCTACATTCCCACTCTCATTGGCCAACTCACACACAAGCTCCTCCTCGTCAGCAAGGTCAGCTAATCAATAAAGACAGTTCAAGAGTTGTCCAGTCATGTGATCCTCGTCTCAGTCTATGACATTGGAATCACTGGCAGGACATACAGAAATATCCGTCCAGTATAGGGGGCATTTCCCAAGAAGTAGGACTTGATCCTAAAGGCAGGACGGAACATCTGTTTCACACACAGCTCACTGAATAAAATTTGTAACTTAAAAGGTTTAAATCCAATAAATGTTCATTAAAACTTTTTTCATAAGAGGATGATTCAAACAGCCACCAATTACTGCTCTTTCCGTTTGTAGGTACAGTATTGTTCTAGATATGCTTTTCTTTTTGTCTACAGAATCCCAGTAAACCACATTTCAACCATTACCTGTTTGAGTCGCTGTGCCTGTCCATCAGGATCACCTGCAAGGCCAATCCAGACACCGTGAGCAGCTTTGAAGAAGCCCTGTTTCCTGTGTTTACAGAGATCCTCCAGAATGACGTGCAGGGTATGGTGCTGGTATAAAGTTCTTACACTCCTTCTTTCCTCTAGGGGTTTCTAATTATTTAAAAACTATGAAACACTACTTGAATTTGACTTTGTCACTACACTAACTGCAAAAAAACGTACATATGACAAATTAATTTGTTATCTGCCAGTGTGCTAAGATAATTAGCCCAAGTAGTTTTTCTTATTTCAAATAATCTTACAAAAGATAAAGAAAAAAAGCCTTAATTATTATAGTAACACCTATTCTAAAAAAATCTATTTAGTCTGATTATCTTAACTAGCTTAATAACTTTTTAAATTTTACATTTTACTTTTTTTTTTCTCTCTCTCTTTTTGAAAGTTTTTAACTAGTTACTGAACAGGAGAATTCCTCTTAATTAGTGACTTGTCAATGTATATTTTGTTTTAAATTAAACCAAAGCATTTAAACATAAAACAAGATTGTGTAAACCAAATCAGGATCACGCATGCATGCATATTGTCCACAATTTATTTGATTTAAATTAAAATATGACCGTAGTTACATGGCAAAAATATTTTTTGTTGCTTTTTAAAATATACTGAAACTTGTTGCCACAAAACATGACAAAGTCTTGTCACAAACAAATATGAAGTGTGATTTGAGCTTTTTTATGGGCAAACTTAAAACAACTTACTACAGCTAAAATAAAAATATGTGTGATTAAACCTTTTTAATATGGCATTATTACAGCTAAAATTTAATCTTAAAAATACAAGCCTGGCTTGACTATATCTCTGTATTTTAATTGAGCTAAATTTGCAGTTAAAATACCTTTAACCTTTTAGGGGCAGACTGAAATGCTCAGGCCAGTCCCTTGGAGCACAGAGCCTATTAGCCACCTCTGTACACACTCCTCTCTGGTTGAGGAAATGCTTTCCTCTCCACTACAGCCATCTCAGTCCCCAGTGAAATAGTTTTTCATCAGCAGGGGACATTGTAAAATGTGCGAAGATCTCAGCCCGTGTCAGAAAACATGGATATTCTGATATTTCTTTAAAAAAATAAAAATGTAAAATCCCAGCACAGTAAAAGTTTTAGTTTGTTTATATTAAAGAGGCTTTAGTTTGTGTTATTCACTTTTTTTGTTTGGATATCGTTTTAAAATTCTAATTTAGTTTGTTATTGCAGAAAATATTTTACTTTGAGAAAATGTTCAGTATTTAAGAAACAATAAATAAAAATTCAAGAAAGCATTTAAGAAAAAGCATTTAAGTGCATTTAGGGGGGGAAAAAATCTTTTTCACCTTAAATTAGTATCAAATGATTTTGTTAAAAAAAAAAGTCATGACTAAATTGTGAATTGCACTGTAAGGTGAATTGGTACATCCCTATAAAACAATTATAATAATCTTACACAATCTGATCTTGCATAGTATTGTGTTTTTTAAACCAGATCAATAAGACCTTTCAGCTAGAAACAAGATTGTATCTCCTGACTGGATAAGATAGGATATCTGGATGGATGGATGGATTGATTGATTGATTGATTGATTGATTGATTGATTGATTGATTGATTGATTGATTTTGAGGGCCCTTTCTTTAAGCCATGTTTTAATGATCCTTGTGTGTTCTGGCCGGGCAGAGTTCGTGCCGTATGTCTTCCAGGTGATGTCTCTACTTCTGGAGATCCACAGCAACTCAATCCCCTCCTCCTACATGGCTCTGTTTCCTCATCTCCTGCAGCCTGTGCTGTGGGAGCGTACAGGAAACATCCCTCCGCTTGTGCGTCTGCTGCAGGCCTACCTGGAGAAAGGAGCTGCCGCCATCGCCAACACAGCCTCTGACAAGATAGTGAGTAGACAAGCAGCCATAATGCAGAGGACCTCTTCTCAAATCATTCCCATTATAATAATCATAATATTTTTTTCCCAGCCTGGTCTTCTTGGAGTGTTTCAGAAACTCATCGCATCCAAAGCTAATGACCATCAAGGCTTTTATCTGCTCAACAGTATAGTGGAGCACATGCCTGCGTAAGTGACGTTACGAGGACACCAGAATAAAAATGCTGACGTATCTTGGCTATACTCATTTTTGTTTTTGTGCAGGGAAGCGATCACGCAGTATAGGAAACAGATCTTTATTCTGCTCTTCCAGAGGCTTCAGAGCTCCAAGACCACGAAATTCGTTAAAAGTAAGCGATTTGTCAGTTCTTGTCATAGTTTGATTCTCTCTGTTTTTAGGCTATCTGATTTTTGTGTGTGTAATCTCTAAATATATGTACACAAACCACTGGAAATGACTGAGAATTAGGAAACTTACATGCCAGACCATTAAGTGACTCTGATTATCCTACAGAGATGCACAAAAAATGCTGAAGACTAGGAGCATACACATTTGTCCATCTTCTTTTTATATATAGGCTTTTTTTTAAACATTTAGGCATCTTAATGTAATGTCCATGGCGTGATTTATGTATGCACTAATTTTATATTAGAGCTGCACAATTTTGGCTAAAATGAGAATCGTAATTTTTTTTGCTTAAAATATCACGATTCTCTCACAATTCTGTAGATGTAAAATAACGCTTAATATGCGATTTCTGTTTTTTCTCAAACATATGGTAAAACAACAATAATAATATTATAAGCAGGTCTATTGTTTAACTATAAATAATTATATTCTACTTATAATAATTCTGATGTTGATTTATGTTTGAGATATAAATGCAATCATTGACAACATTATTACACCATTTAATTCACTGGTAAAATCAACATTATAGGCTAGAGTAGCTACACTGACACTAAACATTTATTTTCATGCACAACTGTGTGTTCGATATGAAAGAAAAAAGTCAAATGCTTGTCGCAGTCATTACTCTATAATGCAATATGATTATTTAAATGATGTGCTCTCATTTGGTTTCATTTTCACTGCTAAGTGCTGTTCATACTTCAAGCGCGGCTCTCAAACAATCACTCTGTGCCACAAACTGAATATTATTTACAACTTTATTACCTGTTACTCACAGCATATGCAGGTTCTGTTCACTAAAGTAGACGCGCACGTCTATCATTAAGTAGGGCGCGCGCCGTCACAGTCAGCAGCTCATGTCACGTGTGATTTCCCGGCCACGAATACATCATTATATGAAGACAAAAATTACATTTTTGTGTGAATTATACCTTATAAATACAGTATGTGACGGTTTTAACATCATTTGGTCTCCATGTCGCTAAGCAACGTGTGTGAAACTATGAAAAGTCCCATAAAGCCGCCTTTGCTTCTCTCCTGAACTTGAAAATATGATTGGCAGAATCGTAGAAGTGCCGGATTAAGATTGCTAGGGCAGGGGTCACCAATGTTGGTCTAGGAGGACAGGTGTCCCTGCAGGGTTTAGCTCTAACTTGCCTCAACAGTCAAGTACACCTAGTAAGACCTTGATTAGCTTGTTCAGGTGGGTTTGATAAAGGTTGGAGCTAAAATCTGCAGGACATCGGCATCTCTAGTTTATTTAGGTCACGTGGCGGACATGGCGCTCTCTTGCTCTCGTTAACATGCTTAAATACCTGTGCTACATGACAATATAAAAGCTGTTTAAGTCCTCGTGTATGAGATTTAAGGTTTGGGACTCTGCTGAAGTCTGTTCTGAAATGAATGTGTCAGACTTGATGTCATTCACTATGGTGTTTAATGATGCGCGACTCGCATTGACAGGTGAAAATCAGATCTACACTGCAGACATGAGAACGCAGATCTGATTCATGTCGGATACATTTTCACATATGAATAAGGCCTGATTCTGATTTGAGTAAATCGCAATCCATGTGATTTGTTCTTGCTTACACGTACATGAGCCATATTCGATCTGTGCCACATGGGAGAAAAAAATCGGAATTTTATCACTTGAACAGTGCAGTGTAAATGCAACCTAAATGTACTACAATCATGTAGCGCTGCTTGCTACAACCCTTAAATACCTCTTCTAGATGGATTATATATCACGTTTAACAAATAGTGAGATTAGATCCATCGGGAGATCCTGGATGAACAGTCCGACATGCACAGCTCTCATATGGGTATGTGCTCAAAGCACGCTGCAGTGCATGCCAAAGTGTGTGTGTGTCTCTGTGTGTGTGGTCACATGATGTGCGTTTTCTCCGTTTTTCATTTCATTTCATTCTAAAATGCACTAGTGTAAACGGGGCCTTGGATGGACCCTGTGAACACTTTACAAACATGGCTTTCTACTAAAGCGACTCTCTCTTTCTCTTCCCAGGTTTCCTCGTCTTCATCAACCTTTATTCTGTGAAATATGGCGCCATTGCATTGCAGGAGATATTTGATGATATCCAGCCAAAGTATGTTCAGTTCCTGATGTGTTCTGTCCTCAGTTGATATAATCCAGAAGTACTGTCCGCAATGCATAATGCCACACACATTTGTACGTTTTTCCTATTTTTGTTTGGTTTTAGCATTTTGGTTTTATTCATTTACAGCTCACCCTTATTAGGACTCATATTGACTGTTTGTTAGTGCTCGCAGCACATCAATGCCTCAATCTGCTTGACCCTATATTAGATCTCCGTTTACAGCATACCTTTTGTTATTGTTTTTTGTTTTCTGATTGTTGCTTTTGGTCTGCATTTCAGGATGTTTGGGATGGTTGTGGAGAAGATTGTGATTCCTGAGGTGCAGAAGGTGTCAGGGCAGGTGGAGAAGAAGATCTGTGCTGTGGGAATCATCAAGATCCTCACCGAGTGTCCCGCCATGATGGACACCGAGTACACCAAACTCTGGTTAGACATGTTACTGGCTTGTTTGAAAATGAAGTGCGTCTCATGTGCTAAATATTTTACTTTAGCCAATCCCATTACCTTGCATAATTAACTCCACTGACTTCCTGTGAGGATCATGTATATACCTGAAGATGTTTTGTACATCTGTAACCATTCAAGATTAACCATTTATTCAAAATAGTTACATAAAGCAAATGAACAGCCATAAGCCGTTAGTTTGTTTTCTATTGTTAGATTCTATTGTTAGATTGTATAGATTAGTTTCTAATCTATTGGATTGTGACCCCTTTATGTCCATCAGATTGATTTTTTTTTTTTTTTACCCACCAGGTTAAACTTTGACACCTTACGACACTTAAATACATTAAAAATAAAAACGGGAAACAACTGAACATGGATGATAATGTCTGAGTGGCAGTCTGTGTCCACCAGTCTCAATAGGTGTTGTGAATATGCTTATGTTTATGTAGGTTTACTGATGTGTGCGCCTGCATGCAATGTTGTATATTTATAACCACCTTCGAGGATAAGGCCTCACAAGTCACTATTTATCTGCTGCGCTAGATATTTTGAGGCTGTAGAGTTAAACAACGATCACACACCTGTTTATTTCTTGAATGCAATGGCCAGTCAGAGGTGTTTACGTTACTTGAGGTCCACTCATTCTTCATAGGCCTCATGATTTACAGTGAATTTCTTTACTGACATTTTTATTTTGGGTTTGGGGTTTATTTTTTTGGTTTGAGTTTGAATTTACCTAATGTTAGTTGACGCAAAACTGAAAATAATATTGTTAGTTATTCATCCTCATGTTGTTTCAAACCCCCTTTATTCGTGGAATACAAATTTAGATTTTAGGTGAAATCTAAGAGCTCCCTCATCTTCTATAGACAGCAAGTGTCCAGACTCATTCATAGCAAAAAAAAAAAAAAAAAAACATCCTCAAAACATAGATATGCCTTATGTGGATCAAACTAAGACAATATTTTTGTGCGCACAGACAAAAGTGACTTCATTCAAACTCCTCCTCGCGTTCATGTGCCTTGCTTGCTCAACCTTTTTTGTGCCTGTGCTATTTAAAACAGAGGAAATCTGACATCTGGGTTACACATTAATGCATAGAGCTCATGATTATGCACAATATATTGACACTGAGGAGAAGAAACTATTCAATAAATTACTTTATGTTTTGTGCGTGCAAAAATATTCTTGTTAGGGGTGTCAGAAATTGAATTGTTCTTCCGGTGAAGCGGACAATTCAGTATCGGTTCAGTAATAATCATAACCGGTTATTATGTACTGACGTCATTTACCTCACATGTGCTCAGTCGCGAGGTAAGCGAGCGTGGGTATTTACAACACTCCTGGCGCCAGCTGTGCACAATTTCACTGCGTGTGTGATTTCTGTACAGTCTTTCATTGACATTTACATCAGAAGCCACTATTTTTCTGCGATTAAGGGAATGAAAGTACTCCATTTCTCTCTCTCTCACTGTGGCCCATTTCACCAGCCTGCGTGACTTTTCCTCTCGGCTGCTGGCGTGACTTTTTCTCCCCTCTCTTTTCTTCTCGGCTGTATGCAAAAATTTCCGGATAAAGCGCGGGAGTGGTCAGTAACTGTGGTGTAACTTTAATAGGAGTGGGCGGTCTTACAATATCACTCCTGAGTGAGCGAGCAAGCACGCGTGGTGTGTGTTTGGTGCTGTCTATGTTTGTGTATGTGTGTGAATGAGAGACAGTGTGGTGGTGCTGTGTGTCCGTGTGTGTGTTTACAGACAGCTTGTTATAGCCTCCCCCCAAAATACAACACTGTATAGAAAGCATCATCAATGCACCGAGATATCGAATTGAACTGAATCGATAACATGATAAACGTAACCGAATCGTGAGACCAGTGTAGGTTCACACCTCTAAAGCAGGTCGCACGCCAGAAGCGGCGCGCAGCGCCATGTATTTTAGAATTCTAAACATAGGTTTCTATCAGGATACACACACCGGCGCCGCAAGTCAATTCCAGAACCTTGTTGTTGTCTATGGAGGATCAGAGGGTTCTCCAATTTTTGTCTTTATGTTGGAAGATGAACAAATGTCTCAGGGCTTTGGAATGACATAAGATTGTTGCATAACCATTAAAAAATGTTGGTGAACTCTAACCTTTTAACACTGTGTAAAAGACCAAGAAAGAATAATAATATTATTTAATACTCTTTTATTTTTTAAGGGCTCCTTTGCTGCAGGCTCTGATTGGTTTATTTGAGTTGCCAGAAGATGACAGCATCCCAGATGATGAGCACTTCATTGACATCGAGGACACTCCAGGATACCAGACCGCTTTCTCCCAGCTTGCTTTTGCAGGCAAGAAAGAGCACGACCCCATCGGCGACGCCGTCAGCAATCCCAAAATCCTCCTGGCTCAGTCCTTACACAAACTCTCCACCGCCTGTCCCGGAAGAGTGAGTATCACTTCCCTTACAACATGCTCCTCACTAAATTCACAGAGAAATAGAAGCTTTTTTTTTTTTTAACCCACAATTCCCGCTTATCTCTTGAGTGTTGTCTTTTGAACAGGTTCCCTCCATGTTGAGCACCAGTCTGCCCACTGAAGCTCTTCAGTTCCTGCAGGGTTACCTTCAGGCGGCCACTGTACAGCTGGTGTAGCCACACACTCCTTTACAGACAAAAAAAAAATGGGGACCTCCGACACTCAAGACTCCCAAATTGATCTGACCCAAGAAGAGGCGAGCTGTGGACTCAACAAGAGCAGAGATGTGCTGCCCAGTGACGCGCGGCCACACAGAACGGCTTTTAGGGGTCGTTTTAATGCGTTATGGGAGTGATGGTCTCTGATCGTCTCACTGGGTGTCTAATGTTTGCTTTTTCCTTTGTGTTAGCTGGAGTCCATTCAACGTGTTCTCTTAAGTTCGGCGTCTCGTCCAATCACACATTTGGCAGTATTTTGAAATGTCGCCTTTTACAAACGTTAAACAGCACCGGGGTGTTGGCAAACATCGTGTGGCATCTTTAAAAGCATTGGAGAAATGTTTTTCTGTTCCTTTCCTGTCGTTTTGGAGAAGTTTTTACTGTATAAACGAGTTGTTCTGCAGAGGAACTGAACTCGTCTGTCTCTCGTTGCATGTCATTCATCATGTTTTGTCTTCATTACGTCTTAGTTTTGCTGCTCTAGTTGTTAATAAATAAATGAAGCACTTGTTTAAGATGGTGGTCACGTTTGTTTTGCTTCCAGATCGCGGGGGCACTTTTGATCATTTTGGAAGGGCACTTTCTATCCAAGACTAAAAAGGGCATGTGCACTGCACAGGTTGAGGCCTTTGTGTGCACGTGCCTGAGAGAGTACAAAATCATTTGTCTCTCTGTATAGTTTTACAGCCAACTGTTTGCTAGTTTCAAGCGCTGAGCTTGTACACAGAGACTAATAACAACACATACTGAATTAACTTTGACTGAGGAACCGGCTGTGCCGCTCGAAGCTGCGACACGGCACACCAGACACTGTGGCGAGGCAGAAACATAAAGTGTCCCGAATCGTCGCACCACTCAGTGCCATGCATTCCAGAACTCCAAACAACGGACTCCACCAGGGCAGACACAACGGCTACCTGCAGCGCCCAGCCGCCGACCCGAAGTGCCATCGCGTGCACCCCAACAGAAACCCACGCCCAGAACTCCGAAATGCACGGCGCCACGCAGAGAGACGCGTCTGCTGTACGACCTGCAGGCAAGTTTGTTATTTTATTTCCATGGAGAGATGCGCACATGAGGCAACACGCTCACACTTTCCAGCTGCACTTAGTTGAGATCTGAGGGAGCTTCTGTGTTCATGAGAAATGCAAACGGCTTAAGTTTAAGGTAGATGCAATAAAGTACACATGTTTGCAAACCTACGAAAAGGTATAAATAATTCTGATCAGCAATTTATGTGGAGTATATTGATCGTGTGTTGAGCCCAATGAGCCTTGCATCTAAAATAAAGCAAAGGTGTTCCTTTAGTGATTTTGCTTTGATTCACACGCTGAAAATGGCGCCCATAAAACGACAAACTAAGGATATGGGGACGCGCCTGTCAATCAATATTGGTGGGCGGGGGAACTGCACTCCTACGTCAAGTTGTGGTCGCTCTGAAAACCGCTCCAATTGGTCCATTTTTGTAGTGTTAAATTGGAAAAAAAAAGGGCCGTGTGTTTATATCACCCCAATATGACGGTCTATACACTATACATGCATGTCTGTCCAAACAGCTTGAAAAGTAGATTTTTCACCATAGGTGCCCTTTAACCCTATATAGTGCATCTGGAAAGTATTCATAGGGCTTCACTTTTTCTACATTTCTTTGTTACAGCCTTTTTCAAAAATTGATTAAATTAATTTATTTCCTCAACATTCTACAAACAATACCCCATAATGACAATGTAAAACAGTTTTTGAAATTGTTAGAAATTTATTAAAAATAAAAACGCTGAAAAATCAGATGTACATCAGTATTTACAGCCTTTGCCGTGAAACTCTAAATCGAGCTCAGGTACGTTCTGTTTCCACTGATCATTCTTGAGATGTTTCAGCAGCTTCATTGGAGTTCACCTGTGGTCAATTCAGTTGATTGGACATGATTTGAAAAGGCATACACCTGTCTATATACGGTCCCAGGGTTGACCTTGCAAGTCAAAGCACAAACTAAGCATGAAGACAAAGGAATTGTCTGTAGACCTCCGAAACAGGATTGTCTCAAAAAACAAGGCTGGGGAAGGTTACAGAAACATTTCTGCTGCTCTGAAAGTTCCAATGAGCACAGCGGCCTCCATCCATAAGTTGAAGATGTTTGGAACCACCAGGACTTTTCCTAGAGCTGGCTGGCCATCTAAGCTGAGGGATCGGGGAGAAGGGCCTTAGTCAGGGAGGTGATCAATAACCCAATGGTCACTCTGTCTGAGCTCCAGCGTTCTTCTGTAGAGAGAGAAGAACTTTACAGAAGGACAACCATCTGTGCAGCAATCCACCAATCAGGCCTGTATGGTAGAGTAGCCAGACAGAAGCTACCCCCCGCCTGGAATTTGCCAAAAGGCACCTAAAGGACTCTTGGATCATAAGTAACTAAATTCTCTGGTCTGATGAGACTAAAATTGAACTCTTTAGAGTGAATGCTAACGGTCTAATCTGATTCAATTCATTATGCTAAGCTAAAAGTGACCCCGCCAGAGCAAGAAATGGCTGAATGGATAAAAAAAAAAACATTTCAAGTCAGCTGTTCAACTCTAGGAGACTTGTAAAGAGAGCCTTGAAAAAGGTGCAGTGTTTCTTTAAATCATGTTTAAAAGCCCATCTTGCACCTGCTGAAACCATTTAAGTCATTTGCATTCATATGTGGACACGGAGAGTTGAGCTCAAACGGGACTGGCTGTAGTAGTTTCATATCGACGATGCAGGTTTAAAAAGGGCTTTGCATATTGTTTGTGTTCTCATGCTGTTGTACATTTATTAGTGGACGTCGTTTTTAAAAGTGTCATTTTCTGACAATGAAAAGAGCTTCAAGTATCCAACAGCTCAAAGAGCAGCTCATGCAGGCCGTCGATGCTCAAAACAATGTGAGTAAGAGCTGAGTAATGCAATGGGAAGTCCTTCTAAATGCATGTCGTTTATGCTAAATGTGTTCTTGATTGTTATTTTTTTTTATGAAAGTTTTGTCTTAAAGTTTTGTCATTTGTAAGCATGACTGTTTTTATTCCTTTAATTAATTCAGGTAAATTAAAGGACAAAAGTTCCTCACTACAGTATTTCAAATTGGTTGTTTCATTGAAAAGGAAAGATTGGCTGGTTTTATTTTATTTTTACATGTATGTTGACTGTTGGTTTGCTCAATCTGTTGTGGGATTTATTTTTTAAAGCAAGTTTTATAGACATTATTTCACAGAGTTTTACAGGAATGAGCGTGCAAGCAGATTTGCATTTGAAACCACAAATGATGACTGAAAGTGTGACTGCTCCAGGTGCACATATGAGAAAATATATGAGAACGTTCATGTCTGAAAAAGACACAGAAACTGACCTCAGTGTATAGAGGAAAATAGCAGTAAATGTAGATGATGTAGACTGAAAGTCTGAAGTGACATGAACTTAACCTTTACCTGTCAGCAGATACAGAACATGGTGGCTGTGTTGGATGTGATATGCTGTCTGGAAAGTTACCCCATGACTAAAGAGACTCTAGAGGTAAGATACTAACTCGGTATGTTTGCACAGAGTTTAATTTAGAAAATGATGTGTTGTTATATTGTGTGAAAACATGAATAAATAAGACTAAAATCACAAAGGAGGAGCACAGCAGCTTCACAAATGCAGTATATTACAAAATATGGGAAAAGGCTGAATAGTACATGCACAATTTTAAATGAAACAAACAAATGATGAATAAAAATTATATAAATTACATTTATAGAAATAATAAATAAATAAAAACGTTACTAAACCCTACAAAACATGTATTAGCTTGCTCTGATGAGCACAAAACAGCCATTCTAAAATATGCTGGAGTTATTAACACAAACTTCCTCAGGTTTAGGTTGACACAAGCCAGTATTTTATAGAGTGACCATCTTGTCTGGTTATAAAAAATCTAAATTAATTTATTTTAGGTTGAGCAGACGAAGAAAAAAAACTAATTTTCAGATTTTAATTAGCAAAGACCAGACCACCAGTGAGCACTTCAGAGAAACTCACGTCATACAGCTATTAAAATTAATGTGCCACCTTTAAAAATGTTCATTTCATTTATTCATTTTCTTGTCGGCTTAGTCCCTTTATTAATCCGGGGTCACCACAGGGGAATGAACTGCCAACTTATCCAGCAAGTTTTTTACACAGCGGACGCCCTTTCAGCCACAACTAATCTCTGGGAAACATCCACACACACATTCACACACACACTCATACACTACAGGCAATTTCGCCTACCCAATTCACCTGAACCGCATGTCTTTGGACTGTGGGGGAAACCAGAGCACCCGGAGGAAACCCACGCGAAGGCAGGGAGAACATGCAAACTCCACACAGAAACGCCAACTGAGCTGAGGTTCGAACCAGCAACCCAGCGACCTTTTTGCAGTGAGGCGACAGCACTACCTACTGCGCCACTGCCTCACCCATGTTGACATTTTCAACCATAATTATGTGTGAATGCATATTTATTTCTGCCGTTACAAAATGTTACAAATAAATTCTAACGATGATGCAGCAAATGCTACCGAAAATTACACTGCCAGTTTAGCCAATTATATTTGAACACCCCGGGTTGACTTCATGGAAAATTGCATATTTTATTCATAAATGCTCTCAAAGCATGTGTCCATGACCGAAATGGACAGTAGCGGACTCCTAAATGAGATGCAAATTCTGGAATGTGTTGTTCATCTAAAATCATATTTTGCCAACTATTTCTATAAGATTAAAATAAAATAATCAAATAAGGCGAAGCAGTGGCGCAGTAGCTAGTGCTGTCGCCTCGCAGCAAGAAGGTCACTGGGTCGAGCCTCAGCTCAGTTGGCGTTTCTGTGTGGAGTTTGCATGTTCTCCCTGCGTTCGCATGGGTTTCCTCCGGGTGCTCTGGTTTCCCCCACAGTCCAAAGACATGCGGTACAGGTGAATTGGGTAGGCTAAATTGTTCGTAGTGTATGAGCATGTGTGGATGTTTCCCAGAGATGGGTTGCGGCTGGAAGGGCATCCGCTGCGTTAAACATGTGCTGAATAAGTTGGCGGTTCATTCCGCTGTGGCGACCCTGGATTAATAAAGGGACTAAGCCGACAAGAAAATGAATGAATAATCAAATAAGATCAAGTCCTTTTCTTAAATATTCAACTTTTTAAATTTATTTTGTGGAATAACTGCCTTTATAAAAAAAACTGTATTGTAAAAGATATTATTACCTTTCTCATATTAATTTATTCATTTTCTTGTCGGCTTAATACGCAGCAGATGCCCTTCCAGCCGCAACCCATCTCTGGGAAACATTCACACACACACACAAATACACTACGGACAATTTAGCCTACCCAATTCTTCTGTACCGCATGTCTTTGGACTGTGGGGGAAACCGGAGCACCCGGAGGAAACCCACGCGAACGCAGGGAGAACATGCAAACTCCACACAGAAACGCCAACTGAGCCGAGGCTCGACCCAGCGACCTTCTTGCTGTGAGGCGACAGCACGACCTACTGCGCCACGGCATCGCCCCCTTTCTCATATTGTAAAATAAAATTAATCAAATGATTTAAAGCTTCTTGAAAATCGGTGTTTAAAAGTGAAATTGTTTTATTGCAGGAAACCCGACTTGGAAAGCTGATCAACGATGTGAGAAAAAGGAGCACCGATAAATATCTTGTTAAACGGTTAAAAAAGCTTGTGCGACGTTGGCAGACACTAGCTGGCATAAATGAAAGGAAGGAACCAAATCTCTCCAGCCTGGCAGATCAAGTCAATTCAACATCTGCTGAACATACTGGATCAGCACAAACCCGCACTGAAAATAACAGTCAAAGTATTTTCCAGAATAGCATTAGCCAGAAGGCTGAAGTGTCTCTGGATTCTCTATCAGGTAAAACCATGAATCATACATCCAGTTTAAGAAAGAGTAAAATACCCATCCTTGCCAACAGATTGTATTGCTCATCCATCAAGCATTCACAGCATTTCACAAGCTTTAGAACATCTCAGCCCATTCAGCATTGCCAAGATGACCATAATGTCATAATCAGAGACCAGCACACGTTGCAGAAATACTCCATCTCCGACAATCACAACACAAAGCATGTTCTGTCGGCTCAGGAACCAGCACAATCCACCTGCATTACTTCTTCCCGTTCAAATCTTCAGCAGTCTTTAGACCTCCTCAAAATACTCCAACCTGCTGTGATGACGAATGTTAACCGGGACATGGTAACCAGCACAGTAACAGACACCAGCATGAAGACTTCTGAGGATAAAACGAGGAAGGATCAGCATAACAATCACATCGATAGGTATGATTGTCGTCCTGATGATTGCAGTAGCAAAACAACACTGCATGAGGCCAAAGCGGCGTATGACCCTCATACTCGACACATCCAAACCACAGCAAGCAAGATATCTCCAAAAGACTGTCAGAGATCTATAGGAGGTGATTTTCACGGGACTGAACATCTGGAAGAAAACGATTGTTCATCTAAACCGACAAACTGGAGAGAGATGTCAAAGTTGATTGAGAGTAGCTTGCCGACTTTAGAGAGATCAGAGATAGACTTTTCCAGAGATGAGAACTTCACACAAAAGCAAAATATCCCCAAGGAGTGCAGAAAAACATTTATTCCGGGTTTCCATGTGATGGACCTTCCAGGTGTCAGTCGAGAGGTCACCAAGCGAGATCTCACCAGGGTAAGGAGTCAGCGATGGCATGGTGTGAACGGATGTTTTGACAACCGAAACAACTGGTATGAATGGACTCAGTCTATAACCCTGGATCCATATGGGGACGGGAATAAACTTCAAATCTTGCCTTATGTCAACATTACAGACTCTAAATCTTCAAGGACATGTTTCTCAAATTCTTCATGGCCCCAACATAGTTAGTATATACAATATAAGACCACTGTTCTGAGTTTTACCAGTGTACAATGACATAATACGTCTTGCATGCATGATGTCAATTATCTTATGGATATAAGTTACTTGTTGGCGAGGCAGTGGCGCAGTTGGTAGTGCTGTCGTCTCACAGCAAGAAGGTTGCTGGGTCAGTGGTTCGATCCTCGGCTCAGTTGGCGTTTCTGTGTGGAGTTTGCATGTTCTCCCTGCCTTTGCGAGGGTTTCTCCGGTTGCTCTGGTTTACCCCCACAGTCCAAAGACATGCGGTACAGGTGATTTGGGTAGGCTAAATTGTCCGTAGCGTATTAGTGTGTGTGGATGTTTCCCAGAGTTGGGTTGCGGCTGGAAGGGCATCTGCTGCGTAAAAACTTGCTGGATAAGTTGGCGGTTCATTCCGTTGTGGCGACCCCGGATTAATAAAGAGACTAAGCCGACAAGAAAATGAATGAATGTATGAAGTTACTTGTAACATGAAACTAGTATTGTTCTCTAGTGATTCCACCTTCACTGTGTTTTCCACATCCGGAAGAGTTACGGTGTGGAGAAGCCCCAAAGAAACATACCACCCAGACTGTTGCATGCTCAGAGTGAAGCATGGGGGTGGATCAGTGATGGCTCGTAGCCAGCCTGGTGAAAGGGGTGGCTCTTTTTTCCTAAAAATGTGGACTTTTTTGCAGTTATTCACCTCATTTTCTATTTAATTATGATGTTTAAGTGACATTTTAAGCAACATTTTTAGCTGGATTAGCTTGTTGTAGCCTCCATTTTTGATGTACCAAAAATATTTACTAAAGATTTATAATAAACAAATATAAAAAAAAGAGCTTAACGATTTTCTTCTAGCCTCTCTTGAAAATATATCTAACATCAACAGCCTAATTAGTATAAACAGCAAAAGTCAGTCTTGAAAAATGTTTTTAAAATATTTAAAAGTCTTTACTGACACGGCTATTTCTTAAAACTGCGCCTACACGTTTTGATAACACTTGACTTCATCAGTGTAACCTGATGTAGCTGCAGTTTTAAGGAACAGCCATGTCAATAAAGGCTTTTTATAAACTTTTCCACATTTTTTGAGTGCCTTAGATCGATTTTGATGTTTATTCTGATGAATCCCTTACACAAACAACATCGACACATTTTTTAAGCTGCCCCTGAAAACGTTTTGTTTGATTTTGGATTTTTATACACAGCATAATTAGTATTAAAATTAACTTCAATAGGCTGCTTTTGCTGCTTCGGACCTTTTCATTGCTCATTTTATTTTTATCTCAAGAATAAGGTTCAAGGTTTAAAATGAAAGTTAGGCTTCTTGTAAAATGTTTTTTTTTTTAACATGTCTGTCAATAGTGAAAGTTAACCACTTATGTCATAATGTGCGTTTTCTTAAAACCTTTGGCGGGTTATTTCCATAATTTATGATGATATATCAGTCAAAATAGGTCAAATAAGAATATAGTGGCAAAATTCTGGACCTTTGTCAGTGGGTGTGGGGGGTTCTTTTGAACCACCCGAATCCCACCCGGCTACGCGCCTGGTTTGGGCTCAATATCATGGCATTATAGGCCCAATACTTAAGCTAGATGGGCACTGCCGAGGACCACTGAACCAATCTGAAGGACCATGTGCACCTAATGATTCAAACATTGTATCCTGAAGGTGGTGCAGTGTATTAGGATGATAATGCACTAATACACACAGCAAGACTGGTGACAGAATAATTTGATGAACATGAAAACTAAGTTAAACATCTCCCATGGCCTGCACAATCACCAGATATAAATATTATTGAGCCACTATGGGGTGTTTTGGAGGAGCAAGTGAGGAAACATTTTCCTCCACTAGCATCATGTAGTGACCTGGCTACTATTCTGCAAGAAAAGTTCAATCAAAATATCTCTGGCTGCTGTGCAGGACTTGTATCTGTCATACCCAATGATGCTGCATTGGCCGCAAAAGGAGGCCCTACACCATGCTAATGAATTATTGTGGTCTCACTATATGGAAGACAAAAGGACAAGATGGAAACTACAGTTCCTCAATGTCTCCTGACAACATTTTGCCTTATAAGCAAACAAAATAATTTTAGGATTGTAGTTTTTTTTCAATAATTTGTTAAATACAATTGTAATGCAATACAGTTGCATGTAAAATTAAACACCCTGCAGTGCATTTTATACAAAAATTGTTAAAAATGCAATAAAATAGATTAAATTTATAGATGTCCGGTTTCCACTTCCTTCGAATCTACAAAAGTGAAGCAAAGATGTCACAGGCATGGCTGCTTACATCTTTTGGATTCTGTCATCAATTTGGAGGCCAAAATTGTGTTGTGTAGCATCATAATCCAGCCCAAATTTCGAGTGTGTCCTCACTGCAGCCTGTAGCACCGATGATGTACCTAGTAAAGGAACAAAAAAAATATTCAACGATAAATGCCAAAATAACTGATCTTAAAGGGCACCTATGGTGAAAAATGAACATAAAGTTGCTGGGTCGCTGGTTCGATCCTTGGCTCAGTTGGCGTTTCTGTGGAGTTTGCATGTTCTCCCTGCGTTCACGTGGGTTTACTGCGGGTGCTCCGGTTATGCCCACAGTCCAAACACATGCGGTAAGTGAATTGGGTATGTTCAATTGTCTGTAGTAGTGTATGAGTGTTTGTGAATGAGTGTTTGAGTGTTTGTGGATGTTTCCCAGAGATGGGTTACGGCTGGAAGGGCATCCGCGATGTAAACATGTGCTGGATAAGTTGGTGGTTCATTCTGCTGTGGGGACCCCAGATTAATAAGCCGACAAGAAAATGAATGAATGATATACACGCACACACACACACACACACATATATATATATATATATATATATATATATATATATATATATATATATATATATATATATATATATATATGTATGTATATGAATGTGTATATATTAAAATGTGTGTGTGTTACACAGTCTATGGTTAATTTGGTGGATGTTCATGGGGGCGTGTCTTCAGAGAGTCACGTGACGCATCCACTAGCGATTCCTCCAGTGCGGCTCGTAGCGTCGCGGTTCGGGCTGAAAGATGGCTGCGACGGAGCAGCGCCCACCCGTACGGGAGGGAATGCGGATCGCGGTGTTGTGCTTGTGCTGGTATACGGTCAGCTCGGGCGGCAACGTGATCAATAAAATCATCCTCAACAGCTTCCCTTATCCGGTCACAGTGTCGCTTTTCCATATCGTCTCCATCATCGTGTTTCTCCCGCCGCTGCTACGAGCCTGGGGCGTCCCGAGAACGGAGTTACCGGCCCGCTACTACCGCTGGTACATCTTGCCGCTCGCCTTCGGGAAATATTTCGCCTCCGTCTCGGCCCATTTCAGCATATGGAAGGTTCCGGTGTCGTACGCGCACACCGGTAAGTCACGACTGCTTTGGGATAGTCATATCTGCTTTGTTAACGGGCCTTGTTATTTAACGTTAAACTCAATGAAAGTGTAACGTCTTTACTCAGCTTCACCGAATTGTTTTGTTCAGCAGGACTCTGTCCGTTGCTAAGTGTTTCCCACGTAAACAAGTCTTCAGTTTAAATGAGTGAATGTTGTTGCTGTAGTGCGCTGTCTGTCACTAATTAACCTTTAGCCACAGCTGTGATTCAAGCGGCCAATTTAAACGTACATTTCACCCAAACACGAAGAAAATAATCGTTATGAGCATTCAACGACTCGTCATTGCTGTACGTCCACGCTTTAATAGCACCACACTTTGTTTTAATTCTGAACTACGTCACTTCCGCACTCTTAATACATACTGCCACATCATCCACCTGCGTGGCTGCAGCTCTGTAATACAGATTAGTCTAGTTTGGGGAAACTCTATGATTATCAGTTCCTGCTGTAAAATCTGCTAAATGGACAACAACAGGGCGCAGCAGTATACAATGACTTAAAATCTACAAACAATCAGAAAAAAAGCTTTGACTTCGTATTATTAATATTTAAGAGTGACTTAGCCATTCCTATCTTTTGCTATATGCCAATGTGGCGCCATTCATTTTTTAACAAGTTCAGCTCATTATTATTTATTATAATAATAACAAATGTAACTCTTCAAACCTCCCTGCAACTACTTTAAAGGCAAGCAGAACTTACTATAATGTTACTAACTGTCTTTCTGCAGGTTAATTTTGAACAAACTAAAAAAGGTAAACGTGTCAAATAAATTATGGTAATCATGATGAAGAAGGGTATTCACTTTGAAAAACTTTGCAAAGTGCGTTCTTAAATAGAGAAGAAAGAAAAATAGGTAAAGTTCTCAGACATTGTCCTTAATAATATAATTTCAGAAAAGTATTATTTGCAAATCATATTAGCAGCCAATGACTATCAAAGCACAACCATGTTTATAGTCAATTAGATAGTGTTGATGTCGTTTTGAAGTCATACTTGCATGCTAATTCTGATTGAATATTCAAATTAGCATGGTAAACGATATAGAGACAGTGAAATGAACGAATGTGTGAATATAAAATCAACTTTACCTCAATCATAAAGCATTCAGAACTTGAAATGTTACCACCTTATGCTAAAACACTTTTAATTAGTAAATGATATTCAGCAACTGTCCTTCAAACCAACAGGTCTTATTATGTTTTACCGTTCCACCGTTTTGAAGAATTTAAAATATAATTTAGCATGATCAGATATTTCTATGTTTCTATGTCTATTTTTTGACTAACAAGTCTGAATAAGTATGTTTTATTTTTACATCAGTATATTTGTTATCCGTAATGGGTGCGCGCGTTTGTATGAAAGCGAGAAATGTAGTTTTACATTTATATTTGAATGTCTACAGATGTTAAGGGATTTAAAAAAAAAATTTGCTCTAAAATTTTCCAGTATCCAAACAACTTTTAAACGCATTTAGAATAATAAATTGGATTTATAAATAATAATTGGATATTTTAGTTATCAGAAAGCAGGAAGTATGATGTGCTATTGCTTCTTTGTTGTTGATAATTCTTTAAAAATGTAAGAACTTATCTGCTTTGCTTCCATTTAGTAGTTTAGACTAGTCAGCTTTTTATTGGAAAAACATTTAACGGGGAGCACGGGTGAGGGAGTTTTAAAAGGTTTATTCCAGACATTTCAAGTCAGGGAATTGTATTTTTTATTTTTGCCATTTTTTAAATTTACTTTCCGTTTATCAACAAATATTTTTTATTACACTTTTTTTATTGGATTAGTATTAGGTTGTATAAGTGGTCGCCAACATAATTAAAATATACCTAATTAGATTGTATGCTAATTACTGTTAAGTGTTGACCATTTTTGTCTATGTGAGCAGTATTTAATCACTCATTTAAAGTCTTAGATTTGTCATGCGATTTGCATGCAGCAAAGGAGCATCCACATTAGGGCTGCACGATATTGGAAAAATCTGATATTGCGATATTTTATTTTTCTGCAATATGAATACAGTTTCACATGATGATTTGAATAGCTCTGTTTGATGGTTTTCTGTGGAGACTAACAGTATTTACGTACAGAGATTAAATAATCACAATGCAAAAAACCTATTGCTTTGTTTTGTCTTGTTTCTTGTCCAAATATCAAAATATTCTCAGAACAAGTAAAATATTGTTTAGTCTTCACGATTAGAAGAAATAGGTGAAAGCAAACTTATCTGCCGGATGGGTAAGTGAAATAATCGTGTTTTTGCTTTGAAATTGGACTAGAAACAAGGCAAAAGATCTAAGAAAAATATTTTGTTTTGCATAAATCATATAAATTCCATAGAAATACAGTGATCAAATACAATTCTGTAGCTCCTGGTCAACTGTATTTCAGACTCAACATTGCATATCTTTGCAATGTATCTGTAGCGAATGCAAACATTGCGATGACAATGCTGAAACGATATATTGTGCAGTCCTAAGTAAGACCCTTTTTGTCTCTGTAATCAGTATTTAATCATACATTTAAAGTCTTAGATTGGTGTAAATGATTTATTGATTAATTTATTATTCATGAAAACATGCAGCAAAGAAGCATCCACATCAAAAGCTACTGGTCAGCCCATGATTCAGCAAACATTTGTGATACAAATTGCTCATACACCAACATCCAAGCATGCTATTGACCTGAACAGTGTTGTGGATCACTTATATCTAAAGAAAAGAAAGATTTCCAAAGATGTCTTTTTTTCTTTTAAAGAAATCAGTGTGTTTTCGAACTAATGAAGATCAGTGACTGACATTTACATGGACATCAGCAATTGAATTATTTGCCTTAATCTGAATAAGACAATAATATGATTAAGGTGTTTAGATGAGCTGCTTTTTGAATGTTCCTTTCATGATCCTATTTTACATGTTATCAGCATGATTCGATTAACGTCATTGTGTCAACACGCTATTCACATTTCCTCCAGAGATTCAAGTAATTTGAGCTCTTTTATTTTTAATTTGTCGGCTTTTTTTGGCACTTTTACTTTCATTCAGAAACATTTCATTCATGCCCCCCTGATAAACAAGATATTTTATGCGAGTATGAGCAACTGGAAGAATGTTGTTTTAATGGAATATGATGCAGGACGACTTATGGGAAAAAACACTCTATGCATCGTGTGTGTATTGACCTTATTCAAAAATCGGAAGTGCGCCTGTTTTCGCGATTGTCTTAGAACTTCCGTTTCAGTCGCCTATGGGAGAAATGACAAGAAATAATAAACGGCAAAAAACGGTCAAACTACTTGCTCTACAAACAAATGTTTGCATGACTATACAGACCAAGTAGAATAATATAACAAGGAAATATCAGTTTGCAACATCAAACAGCGAAACAAGCAGTTTTTAATGTCTAAAAATGAATGGAAGTGAATGAGACCGGAAGTCTCGTGCCAAAAAGATTCAAATGGCAGCGCCCACGCGTCTGCGGAGAATAAGGTCAATAGACTAAAAAAAAAAATATCCTACACGACGGTAATAGTTTGATTAAGGTCATAGGCGGAGCGTGTGTAAGGCTGAGGAAGGCTTAGCCTCCCCCTGGCCAGACCACGGAGATAGCAGCAAAGAAAAAAAAACTGCATTGAAAACATGTAACATGGGTTTAAGGCGGAATATGAATGTAACTTAATGTTGATGATTAACAGAACACTTAAGTTATTGTAAGTTTGTCAGTCAAATTAAAAGTTCCCCTCCACACAAAAATGAAACTATCCAACTCCGCACTTTGCACTGATGAGGGCTGTTTATCACTGGAGTTCGCAGCAGCATGAAAACGAAATCAGCAAACTATTGGTCAGCGAACTATTCTGGTTTGCTAGTCAAGAACATAAGTATTAAAAAGACAAATGAGTATTACGAGAGGGGTATAATAATATATTATTCTGGTTTAACTAGTTTTCAGCATTAAATTAAATTGGTAGTTTCATTTTAACGTATAGTGTTGTAATCTTGTTTAGGCAGTCGTTTAGAGTTTTACATTTCAAATATGACATTTCAAGGTCAAATATTTATTGCTGATGAACAAGTTCAGTTTTCGATTGGCCTGGTGAAAAGAGAGTGATTTCGTATTCTTGACACATTTTTGCAATTTAACAACAAAGACAACATCAACAATTATAATGCCGGGTCTAAAAGGAAGATTTTGAAGGCTACAAATATAATATAATATAATATAATATATACATACAATTTATTATATTATTATTATTATTATTATTATTATATACATTTCCAGTCCATAGTTTGGGGTCAGTAAAATTTTTAAATGTTTTAAATTAAGCTTCTCCTCACCAAGGCTGCATTTATTTCATCAACAATACATAACACATTGTAAAGTTGTGAAATGTTATTGCACTATAAAATAACTGTTTATAATTTAATGGAATAATTTATACTAGTCATTTTAAGGATTAATTTTCAGCTTCATCACTCCAACTTCAGAAATTACTCTAATATTAATAATTAATAAAATTCTTAAATAAAATTATTAAATAAATAAACTGAAATAAACTGACCCCAAACTTTTGACCAGTAGTGTAGATCAGTGCGTTAGTTTAATAAAATATTTTAATGTGCGTGTTAAATATAATAGACATTTGTTGATGGGCAGTGCTTTTGTTAAAACATCGTCTTTGTCAGTCGCAAATCTTTTTCAACGCATTAAAGGGCAGCACATAATAGCCTTACCCTGGAGTTTGTTCACCCTTCGCCTATGATTAAGGTGTTTACATGTCTGTACTGCACTTAAATAATGCAACTAAAATTGGCATAATCCACATCTTAATTCGATTTCTCTTAGTTCGATTATGACTTTAGTCAGATTAAGGTAATCAAAAATCTCTGTTTACATGATAAACTCTTAATCAGAGTATTGTCTTAATCAGATTATTGGTGTCTGTCTATGTAAACATGCTCAGTATTTTTGTTTTATTTATTAGCCTGACATGTTTACTGTTCCAGAATATTAATTTAAAATTAACTTATTTTAGAGCAACTATAAAACAGTGATCATTTTATTCAAGGTTATCATATTGTCAGAATCTTATCCTGGCCCATGCTTAGACATTGCAAGTACTGTTAAAGAAAAAAAAAATTTTTTTTTTGTTTTTTTTTTTAAGAGTGTCAGATGAACTACAACAAATCCTCCTTGCATCTGAGTTTGTTGAGCTGTAGATGGCTGTAAACAGCTGTGTGTTTTAAATATGAAGCAGTATTAGTGCAGGAATCAGCAGGGAGCATGTGAGTGTGGTTTGTCCGGACTCGACTGCAGCTGAGATGTTTCAAACATCAGGTGCGCTCACAAGGACTTTACTGAAGAACATGTGATGAGACTAATGACTGATTGTCTTCTCTTCCTTCTCTCCATCCTAGTGAAGGCCACCATGCCCATCTGGGTGGTGCTGCTGTCTCGGATCATCATGAAAGAGAAGCAAACCACAAAGGTCTGTCTGCATCTAAACACACACACTCATGTAGTTGATGCTGCTGTAATGGTTTAATTAGTCACTGATTGATTCTTAGTAGGGGTGTGTGACATTGATGTGGATTTTTTATTATTATTTTTTTTAATACTAATAACTACACAATTCTTACACAATAAGTATTGAACACATGAATGTTTTTTTTCCTGGGAATAATATTTATAAAAGAGCTGTTGACATGGAATTAAACCAGATTTTGGTAAAAACCCAAATACAAACATAAAAATAAAACAAACTAAAAAAGTCTAAAAAATAAATGTGTAATAACAATGAAATGGCACAAGGGGGAAGTACCGAACTACTGAAATGTATTTTAATACTTTATTAAGTATTAATAAAGCCATTAAATTAATTATTTAATTAATTATTAAATTAATAAAGACCTTTATTTTAAATAAAAATATCTTACACCCCTATCTAGTCATGTCATTTTGAAGACTGGGTTGTGTGTTTTGGTGTTTGATAAGGTTGGCTTTCATTTGACCAGGTTTACGTGTCTCTTATTCCCATCATCGGCGGAGTCCTGTTGGCCACGGTCACCGAACTGTCCTTCGACATGTCTGGATTGATCAGCGCTCTGGCAGCAACACTCTGCTTCTCTTTACAGAACATCTTTTCCAAAAAGGTTCATATCTGATGATTTCTATTTAAGAAAAATCTGCATTGACATCCTGTGTGAATGTAATATTTGTGGTTGTTTCAGGTCTTGCGTGACACAAGGATTCACCACCTCCATTTATTGAACATCCTCGGCTTCAACGCACTTTTGTTTATGCTGCCCACATGGATTTTAGTGGACCTTTCTAGCTTCCTGATGGATGGAGACCTGGTATGTTTCTTATTTTGTTAAATCGAATGCTACTTATGGGTGAATCTGCAGAAATTTTTGTTTTGTGGTTATTATGGACTAATATTATTTACATTTAACTTTCTAATCCTTCTATCCTTCTGTGAGTTGAAGTTTCCGTTTACACAAAATTGGACAGCATGTTTGATAGTTTTCTACGCAGTCATAAAGGAGTTGAATTATATACTTTACTATTGCCACTGGTTTGCATGGTTCAGGATCTGTAGAGCTACACAGCGATGGATTTGCTCTTCAGTGCTTGGACTCTCAGTAATGACTTTAAACAGCACTGAACTGAGCTAAACTAAACTGAACTACCCTGATCCAGTTACTATGACCATTTATGTGAAGCTGCTTTGACACAATATACATTGTAAAAGCGCTATACAAATAAAGCTGAATTGAATCGAATTATTAGTATAATTATAATAACGACTTGGATAAACCATACCATGTCATTATTGTGTGTTATTTATTAGTCGCCATTAATGAATGAGATCATTTAAATCTGTTAATTTAGCAACTTCCATAGCCTCTTCCCACTGTCTTGGAAGTTCTGTGTGAGAGGAAAGGGAAGAAACCTATTTGTGACTAGAGATGGGTATTGAAGCTCTGTACTTTATCGGTATCATTGCTACATTATAAAAGACAGAAGTATCGATAGGCTCTGACTAAGGGTGTCACAATCCTTCAAATCCTCGATTCGATTACATTTTCGATTCTAAAGGCACGATTCGATTTTCGATTATGAATAATTAATTAATTAATGACCATTTAATTATTTGTAGCCTACCGTTTAAACTCCCTGACCTGCATGGTCTTTGTTTTACCCATAAACAAATCATACAGTAAATTAATAAAGGCAAGATACACACATAATTACCACCTGTCAATCACTTTTTTCTGCGGGACTCGTGAATAGGCAGTGATCTGTGTCGTTATAATGGCGTCGGTAAAAAAGACGCACAACCAAAAGGAACCAGCCACCAGTATCTGAGGTGTGCGCTAAAATGACTAAGTACAAGTGAGTGAAAGATTGAAGCAGTCCTCTGACTGCCTGGACCTGCTGTCTCGAGCGCATGGCTGTGTGCGTCTGTGTCTGTGTGGTCACGTGATGTGCATTTTCAGAGGTAGAGAGGAAGGAGGGCTGCTCAGAAATGCCACACGCCATTGTGGATGTCAAATCGTTGTCGTTCTAAAATGCCATTTAAAAACAAAGACAGTGTAAACAGGGCCTGAGTGTGTACTTTTCGCGAGCGGATTTGCAACGGGGGCGGGCGGAGGATCAAGATGCCGGTGTTGTCTATCGGACGAACCGTACGTAATTTGTACATAGCAGAGCTTGCAAAACTGTGTTTTTTTTGTCGACAACACGAACATTGTTAACATAACTCACTGGAAATCCAAAATGCTTCCACACCGGCGACTTCATTGAAAGAGGAGAGGGTTTAAGCTCTGTCGACGGGTCTCCTGCGTCTGCAGTTTAACAAGCACTTCAACAAGCCTGTTTTTTTCCCGCTTGGCAAGCCAAGCTAACGTGACATGGGGGCGTGGCAGCATCGACGATTCTATTTTTTGATTCAATACTCGAAGTTAAGCATAAATTTCGATCGATTTTGATTAAAAATCGAAATCGTGACACCTTAGCTCTGACGTTAACGGTTCTGCTATCGGTACTGGAGAATCATTGCTGAATAAACATCGCAAGCAATATGGCTAAGTGAAAGTATCTTTCGAAAGTGCATCGATTTGCCTGTGATTTCAGGCATTTGTCGGCGATTTCTCAAAACCTGTCGGCGAGTCAAACTCGGGACGAAAATCATGCAGTCTGAACTAGGCATAAGTGGTATTGATAAAAGTAGTAATACCATTAAAACCCTAACGATACCCTTCCCTATTTGTGAATTGAATATTTTGAAATAAAAACATATTTTAATAGACTGTATAGTTTAATATGATATTAGAGAAATGATATTACAACGGTGTCTTCTAGAGGAATTTTAGGATGTTTATCATTGATCAAACTGAAACAACACATGACTTTTCATCAGTGTTGTTGTTTGTATTTATTTAGCTGTACAATGAATTCAGTCTCCTTATTACTGCTCAGTGAACAGCGCTGACTGTTGAGTGTGTGAACTCATTCGACAGTACGGTTATCGACAGTACGGTTAAAGCACAGAACAGACTCAAGTTTAAGAGCAATGGGCGTCCGCTGGTGGTTCGGTGGTATGGGTTGCATATAGGGAGGATCAGCTCTTTATTGTTTATTGCCAACCTTCATAGAGAGATTGAAAATACTGGAGAAATCTTTACGGGATGATAGCAAGGAGAAAACGGGAGGGTTGGCAGGTATTCACTAATTTACTAATTATTAAAATCAAACGATGGGTCTGTTGATATTAATCAAATTCATAATGTAACAGTTTTATTTATTCCTAAAAAGTGTGAATAAATGCTGTAAGAAATGTAGAGTTCTTCGTTAATTAAGCAAAAATCTACATTTAAAATGAATTGTTTCACAAATATTTTTGATTTTTATAAAAGTTTCCCAAAGTGTTGTGGTTTCCTTAGAATTAGAAGAAAAAAAAAATCACCGCCTCATGATACAAAATCCAGTTTTGCCATGACTTTAATACATTACTATTTTTAAAATATCAAAATAAGTATTTCAGATTGAAATAAACTGCAATGTAACTTGGTGAGCACAAGAAAAATCCATTTTAAAAATCTTATAGCCTCAAACATTTTTACGTCTTTGGCATTTGTGAGGTTAGTGAAATATGTTTAAAACTGTTTAAAACAGATTTGATGAAGTTCAAACTTGGGTGACTAATGACTGTAATGACTTGTGTGACTAATGACTGTAATGACTTGTGTGACTGTCACACCCACAATCCTTGTTTTGACTTTTCTTGTGCAGTCGGAGGTTTCCAGCTGGACAGGAACTCTCATGCTGCTCCTCATCAGTGGTTTCTGCAATTTTGCTCAAAACATGATCGCATTCAGTGTGCTGAACTTGGTCAGCCCACTCAGTTACGCTGTAGCCAACGCAACAAAGAGGATCATGGTCATCAGTATATCCTTACTGATGCTCAGGAACCCCGTCAACACCTCCAACATTATCGGCATGATGACAGCAATACTAGGCGTCTTCCTCTATAATAAGGTAATTTATAATTCCAACACAAATAAGAGTCCAGAATTACTCGAATACATTTTATTCAATTGTTCTGTGTATGTTCCATACGCAGTGATTTTCTTGTTTCTCTGAATTTACTGGATTTATTAAGAATAGACTTGTATAAAATCTTAACCCATTTAATCCACTATATCTGGATGCTCTAAACATATTGTTCTTGACGTTTGGCAAGAAATTAAACTTTTTTTATTAAATAAATTACAAATAGATTTAAAATAAAATATTTTGATGTCATGAGTTTACATATTTCCTTCTGGTGCATCTGGGGGTGGAAGTTTTGGTGTTTGCTGATAGCATAACAATTGTTAAGAATTAAAATCAACTGAATTGCAATGCAATTCTGACTATGCTGCACATTAAAACATTTGAGTTGGGGAGGTCTAAGGAGCCAATTTTATTTTCATTTCATTTTTAATTCTATTAAGGTTTGTTTATATAATTTATTTATTTTATTTATTTATTTATTTTTTTGCTTTTTTAGAAAATGGCAAATGTTATTGTCACAATAACATGCTTTTTAGCTGTTCTGCTTTACAATTTTACCAAATTTAGAATTTTTTTTAACTCTTTTGAATTTAAAACATTGGTGCTGTCAAAAACGAATATAATCATGTATGAAAACATGACGGCCTTTGGTTATTTTATGCAAAAGGAAGCTCTAAAAGACTTCAAATAACTATAAATCGTAAATGCAGATAAGCTGTAAATGTTAAAGCAGCACCTATTCTCATAGCGATATGAGAAAAAAAGTAGAAATAATAAAGTCAAACACTAAAACAAAAAAAGTTGTTTAAGGCCAAATTGTACCTCAGCATCAAGTAATGTGTATTCAGTCCGAATTTACGCTGAGGTTTTCAGTAATTTTGAAGTCTAAATGTTTTCACCCAGATTTATTTTTTTAGATGTATTTAGCTCAGAAAAATATGTTACCTGTTTATTTTAGTGTTATCATTACATATATATATTTTTTTAAATTGTATATGATAAGTGTTTTGCAAGTTATATCACAAGAAAATAACAACATCGCATGTCACATATTTTCCCTGTTTCGCTCAGCCTTATTTTGAGCTACTTCTACAATAGTATTGCACTCATTTCCAGCATTACTCAAAATACACTACCTGACAAAAGTCTTGTCGTTGATTCCCAGTTGTAAGTGCAACAAATAATACCTTGACTTCTAGTTGATCATTTGGAAAAGTGGCAGAAGATCAATATTGCCAATGAATCATCTGCATCCCAATCATCACAAATACCTCAGAAGACCTGTTGGAACCTGCATGGACTCAAGATTCTCATAGATATTAGTCAAGTTTGGTAAAGGGAAAAATCATGGTTTGGGGTTACATTTAGTATGGGTGCGTGCGAGAGATCTGCAGCCAACAGCCTGAGGTATCAAGACAGCCTGAGGTGTCCTGCCCATTACATTACAAACCACAGGAGAGGGCAAATACTTCCACCTCAAAGATCCTGAAAGCAAAGAAAGTCAAGGTGCTCCAGGATTGTCCAGCCTAGACACCAGACATGAACATTATTGAGCATGTCTAGGGTAAGATGGAGGAGGAGGCATTGAAGATGATTCCAAAGTATCTTGATGAACTCTGGGAGTCCTGCAGGAACGCTTTCTTCGCCATTCCAGATGACTATTAATAAGTGATTTGAGTCATGTAGAGATGTATGGATGCAGTCCTCCAAGCTCATCTCCAAGCGTTTCCACTGCAGCATGACATTATTTTCTATACTGGACATTTTTTCTGTTAAATGACAAGACTTTTGTCTAAGCAAAGTCAGACCTTACTGTACTAATTAAATCATTAAAAATCAAGGCTTGATCATGTTTTACTTTGGTAAAATAAGCATAATCCAGAGGCCTTTGCCTTTTATATAAGCCACTTCTGATACCAAATGATCAACTAGAAGTAGGTGTTGACTTTTAAGCATTCTGTCAGGAATCTACAAATGAAAAATTGCCATTGTTGGCTAATTCTGGCACAGTTTACAGTAATGTTCATTAGTGTGCATTGCCCCTGTAAACAAATAAGCTAAACTCAACACAGTGGAACAGAGAAACCTCACTGCTTGCTAGTGTTTCAGAAATGTTATTATCAGAGCGATCACTCGACGCAGAAGTATAGTTCAGGCTTTACGAGGTGCATGTTGTGCAGTGAAAAATGCGAACACCAATGATTTCTAATTGCTTTCCTCACTAGGCGAAATACGACTCCAACCAGGAGGCCAAAAAGGGACTGCTGCCTGTTTCAGCACAGGATGTGGTGTCATTCGACAAGCCGCAGTCCAACGGCACCGGAGCCTTCACACACAGCTCAGACTTTCAGCACGGCCGGAGCACAGTGCTCACCGACCACTTTCAGTACAGCCGACAGGCCTACACAGCAAACTACAGCTCCAGTCAGTATGTCGTGTGAGCCCGGGACTCTAAAGACTGCTCTCAGACCAGTGCTTCAGCGGGTGCATCTTTCATACGGACGAGTAACTGGATGAGGAGTGTGTACTCACAAAATCCTACTGTTAATTTTTTTCCACAGGCCTGTTATTTATTTCATTACAAACCTTTTATTTTGCTGTTCAAACTCTCAGTGGTATGTGTAGGTTTTAGAAAGGTGCTGGGAATAATTGTTGTTAGTGGTTTTTGCACAGGTTGCATTTCAGTGCAGTTCAGAATGTAGTGCATCTTCGTGGCCGTCATGCTACTGCGAGCGAACAGCGAGAACGCCGCCATATTACATACACTGGGTCACTGAAAACACAAACGCGTCAGGGTATCAGTCAACGTTCTGTTTTTTTTTGTTTTATTTGTAAATATTATATTTATTTTTATACAGGAAGTTGCATCGATCGATTATATCATGAACTGAAAACACCCCATTGGATTTCTGAATGTCTAATATCTGTGAAGGAGTCTCTTGTTTCCTCCTCTGGGGTGTTTAATCAGGCAGAGGTCACTGTATGAGATCACTTGAATCATGCTGTACATTCATATTCATGCTTATTGTTTATTTCTTGTATCTTTTTTGTACTGTCGACAGGCCTCTTGTGTGAAATGGTTATGATTTATGAGCCAGTTTAATATTAAACGTCTGCCAAGGGAGAGTTGAAGGCTCGTAATTCTTTACGTTTTTTAAATAGTGACAATTTCTGGTGTCTCGTATTGAATAAAGATCTGAGCACAGCGTTTAAAAACTGCTGATTCTACACTGAACTCTACACTGTAAAACCCAATAAGTTAAGGCAACTCAAACCGATTGCAACAAACCATTTAAGTTCAAAAACTAATCCTAATGAGTACTGCAAACTTAATCGTTTTGAGTAAACGAATCAATTTGAGCACAGTAAAACCCGATAAATGAAGAGAACTCAAACCAACTGAGTACTGTAAAACCCAGTATGTTAAGGCAACTCAAACCGTTTGAGGAAACCGATTGCAACAAATCATTTAAGTTCAAAAACTAACCCCAATGAGTATTGCGTACTTAATCCAATTGAGTAAATTTGAGCACAGTAAAACCTAATAAATAAAGAGAACTCAAACCAACTGAGTACTGTAAAACCAAATAACCATTTGACAACAAACCATTTGAGTTAAAAAAAAAAATCTATATACAGCTGCAGTCAGAAATATTAGCCCCCCCCCCCCCCCTTTTTTTTTTGTTTACTGAATATTTCCCAAATTATGTCAAACAGAGTAAGGAAAATTTTACAGTATGTCTGATAATATTTTTTCTTCTGGAGAAAGTCTTATTTGCTTTATTTCGGCTAGAATAACAGCAGCTTTTAATTTTTTAAAAGCCATTTTAGGGACACAATTATTAGCCCCTTTAAGCTATTTTTTTTTTTTATAATCTACAGAACAAACCATCGTTATACAATAACTTGCCTAATTACCCTAACCTGCCTAGTTAACCTAATTAACCTAGTTAAGCCTTTAAATGTCACTTTAAGCTGAATAGAAGTGTCTTGAAAAATATCTAGCAAAATATTATTTAATGTCATCATGGCAAAGATAAAATAAATCAGTTATTAGAGATGAGTTATTAAAACTATTATGATTAGAAATGTTGGGGAAAAAAATCTGCTCTCCGTCAAACAAAAGTTGGGGACAAAATAAACAGGGGGCTAATAATTCAGGGGGGCTAATAATTGTGACTTCAACTGTATGTACTGTGAACTTACTCCATTTAAGTTGAAGTAATGAGGTATTAAATTAACTCATTACCTTCAACACTGAGTTCAAAACTCTTTTCAAATGAGAACTTTCAGTAAATTGAGTTAACTACACTCATTTCATTTGATAAAGTTGACTGTTGGGTTTTACAGTGTGTGAATGTTTTCTTTTAAAGGTGCAATATTCCTGGAGGTGTTTCAATCCCTTATAGGGTGTAAAACCTGAGTCTGGGACAAGTTTTTAGGGTAAATGTGTTCCGCTGAGAGGATTGCATTGAACACATTAAATGATTTGATCAGCATTGATGGTTCCATGAAGAACATTTAACATCCGTGCGATCTTTAAAGGGTCTTCAGATTATTAAATGATCATTAATTTTAAGTCTGTTTACTTAAAGGTTCTTTGTGGAGCTGTAAATGGTCTTTCATTTCATCTCTACAAACACTCTCTTTATTAGTACGCCTGCGGGGGTTTGGGGATTTGTACTGGTCCATTATCATCCTTGTTCCCAAACTTACGCTGGTTTTAGCAAATGTGTAGGGTGAGGTCAATATTTGTAAGCTAGCTGTTTTTTCTGCACCCTGTTTCTTTCCAAGTGTCTTGCTGCTGGGAAGCTAGACACATTTTGGGCAACAAAAAAAAGGCATGCAATTGCAAAGAGTTTAACATTGGAGTGTTTTTAATACTTATATTTGAAGTGTTCTGGAATCATGGCATTGTGACTTTTTAGTTGTGAGTTTTGAAGGACAATGTTCATGCGACATTCTCTGTCGTCACGTCTCTATATATTGTGAATTTAGAGGATCAGTTTGAGCAATCATGTGCTTCTTTTAGTTCCCATTTTATCATCAGCCAAAAAAGAAAGGCTTTGGGTGGTCTCGTCCTTCTGCCTGTTTTTTTATTGGTTCACAGCTTCTGCGCTTACATCATGTCATTACGGGGGGTGTGCAGATTTTCTGTTCTCCCCTTATTGCTTTTAGTCAGGGGTCACCAATCTCGGTCCTGGAGTGCTGATGGTGTCCCTGCAGGGTTTAGCTCCAACTTGCCTCAACACATTTGGGTGTTTCAAGTTTATTCAATTCAATTCAGCTTTATTTGTCTAGCGCTTTTACAGTGTAGATTGTGTCAAAGCAGCTTCACATAAATGGTCATAGTAACTGGATCAGGGTAGTTCAGTTTTTAGTGTTTAAGTTCAGTTTAGCTCAGTTCAGTGTGGTTTGAAGTCATTATTGAGTGTCCAAACACTTACCTAGTAAGACCTTAATTGGCCTGTTCTGGTGGTTTTGATTAGGGTTTGAGCTAAAACCTGCAGGACACCGGCCCTCCAGGAACAAGTTTGGTAACCCCTGCTTTTAGTCATAATCAATTTTAAAAGAAATATTGGGTTGAAGATGCGTAGTTATTAACAAGACGCAGGTCAGCACTGCACTTAAAACATTGCTTGTTCAAGCTGCTTATTTTAAAATGAGCTGAAACAACACAATTCTTGAGATTATTTTTGGGACAACTTGATTGTTTTATGTTCAATCTACTTAAATTTGTTAATTTGTGTTGGGACAACATGATTGAATTGTGTTGAACTCTGCATTTATTACAATGTGATCAGTGTCGAAAACTGGCATTGTGAAGAATATGAGTCTTGGAGAGGCTTTTCGTTTTGTGTTGAATTACATGGTAAACAATTATAAACTGAGCCTAAACCTTTGAAGTCTTGAGCTCGACAGAACTGATGTTACAGTGACTTCACCTTCCCCCTCCAGAATGTCATGCACTACTGTAATATATTTTATTTCCAGTCAGCGTTCGAATCTTTAAGCTCTTGGACCTTTTCCCTTGGGAGAGGCGTATGTGTCTCTATAATCTGACATTCAAGCCGAGTCCTTTTCATTTGTTTTTTAGTTTGTCTTTCTATGGTGTGGAAATGCATTGTCACACTTTCTGTGTTGAGATTGTTCTACTTTCAGCCAGTGTTTCTATTATTTGATTTTAAGATGCCTTGGTACGGTTATTGTTGCATTTTCTTGTCAACTTAAAGATTATAAGACTTATTTTTAAATGTGAAAATAAAGAAGATTGATTGATAAAGTCTTGCTGCTGGATTTGTCTTTGTAAAGTTACATTCAGAATTTTAAAACTATTTCTCTTTGGTGTAGCTTTTGAGTCTATTTATAAAAAGAATTTTGTAAAAAAAAAAGAAAAGTTGTACAAATATTTTAAATTCTGTAGTAGTATTATGATGTTTTGTTTTATATATACAGTGCTCCGCACCCCATTTTTAAAAAATATATATATTTTAACACTTTCTCACTGAATATAGGTAATGTATTTTGGTGCTTTTGAGCAAAACAGATTTATTAAACCAATATATTTATTAAAATAATATTTTAGTCAAAGAAAATATTTAAAAATAGAAAGAAAATACTTTTAAAACAGTGAAATATTTTTTAAAAAACTACAAAAGGGACTTTGATTGCTTTTAAAATTTCCATTTATCGAAATTTTGCGATTAATAATTATAATTTCTTGTTTTTTTTTTATAGCATTTTGCCTATATAATTATAGTTAGACTTTGTTTCGGAGTTATTTTATTGCTTTCATACTTGTCAAATTAAATCAGGCCTTTATTTGTCACATACACTTTCGCATAGTGAAATTGAACCCCCCTGACCGTACAGGTCACCGGAGGTAGCATTTAGAAAGGGAGGTAAGATACATCAGGAGAGTCAGGCAAAAAAAAAAAAATGTAACCTTTAACCTTGCTCTTGAATTAGAACAAAGTGAGACGAGGAGAAAAACCGCCCAATCTAGCACAAAAAGCACACAGACAAGACACAACATTGACACAGGGGATATGGATTTCAAGAGTTCACACTTAGCTGATGATTGATTATAAGCAAGTTTGGTATGCTGTCTCGGGAGAGAGACCTTAGCTCAAATGGTCCTTGAGCCCTGGGCTCCCTCCCGTTTGCTGGGCGAGAGGGGAGCCTTGAGCTCAGGTAGATCTCGAAAACTCCCTTCTTGATAAGAGCTGATGACTAAAATGAATGCTATGAAGAGATATACTGCAGGATGAGAGTTTGACCGTAGTGCTAAATTCAGATTGATCAATTCACTTGTAGTGCATGTTTTTGGAATGAGGGAGGAAACCGGAGAACCCGGGGAAAACCCACACGAGCACGGGAAGAACATGCAAACTACACACAGAAATGACCGCCAGCCTGTTAAAGGACTAGAACCGGTGATGTTCTTGCTGTGAGGCAACAGTGCTAACCACTGGGCCACCGTGCCACCCTATGGAAGGAAAGGTGAAGAGGTGGGGTTGGAAGGGGGGATTCTTCAAATCGAAGATGACTGTAGTGGAAAAACCCTGGCTCTTTATAGTGGGTTACCTGATTGGTGGATCATACATGCTAATGCAGAACCAGCCGTGTTCAATCATAATCACGTGATCCTCTACTTCAAATAGTTCGATGAGGGCGGGCAGCCATCTGGTCCTGCAGCCATGGAGGCGCTGGTCGCAGACCCGCACACTCCTCCCGTGGGTGAAAGCACACGAAGGCGTTTGGATGAGGGAATCAGTAGTGATTGTTTATCTGTAGTTAAGTGTATGTGTGAGCCTGTAGAGTCCAACAGGTGTCCTTGACAGGGAGCAGGAATTTCAGAGCGTCTCCTAATTTCGATATCCGGGAGACGTTGTTTTTCTCCAGCCGAGGCCGTCTGGCAGGAGAACGAAAACAGAGAGCCGAAACAGTAGGAAAAACACTACAACTTTGGGTCAATATCTGCCAATTTCACCGATATTTAATGTCCATCACTCGTCTCCCGATCTGGCCAGATCTTGTTGCAGAGCTGCTAAATTCACCCCGATGTTTTCCAGTTTGCGGTCTAGGACCATAGTCTGATTTGCAACCCATATGCGTATCAATCAAGCCGGCCAGCCTGGCGGTGTTTTGAGCTGCACTGACCGCTTTCATCAGTCGTCGATACCCCAGGGCCCCGCATAAGCCCATAAGCAGAAATCCTGTTATCAGTTCCGATTAGGTAAATATCTTCAAGATGGCGTCAATTGCATTCAGAGACCAGTTGATCAAATCCATAATTCCTTGTTCGTTTGGATAGCAGGGCACGGAGAGCCTCAGAGATAGAATGAGACGAAGACAAGAGGAGCCAGCAAGGAGAGATATTAGACGGAGAGGCAAGAAGTGCGACTGCCTTCGCCAAGAGCCTGTTCACTAAGCCAAGCAAACATCTCAGTAAATTTCTAAAGCTTCAAAATGACCAAAGACCGGGTGTTAAATTCTGCTAGATTATATATATTGTGGTTTTAATGTCATTCATTCATTTTCCTTCGACTTAGTTCAATTAAATTAATTTTATTTGTATAGCCCTTTTACAATGTAGATTGTGTCAAAGCAGCTTGACAGAAGTTCTGGTAAATTGAAACTGTCAGTCCAGTTTTCAGAGTTGAAGTTCAGTTTAGGGTTGTTTAATTTTCAATGCTGAAAGTTCAAACACTGAAGAGCAAATCCATTGATGCCGCAGCTCCACAAGTCCCAAACCAAGCAAGTCAGTGGCGACAGTGGGAACAAACTTTACCTATTGACGGACTAAGTAGATAAAATACACACCTCACATTTTCACACAAAATTAGTTCTTCCCCTTTCTTTTTTTTTTTTCAAATATATTTTTACTGAACATTTTTAGTGCAAAAACATGTCAGAAAATTACATTGAGTAGAAAGATAGTATCTGCAAAACATGAAATTTGAGTTCTGACCCCCACATGAAAAATAAAAATAAAATAATAATAAATAAAATTAAATTGTGATTAAATAAATAATTCGGCAAATAAATAATAATAACACTTATAATAATAAAAATAATAATGACAAAAAAATACAATATTATATTGCGATAAGGCATATTACATTTCTTTAGTCCAGGCTGAGTCCATCAGACAAGCTTTAAGTCTTAAACACTAAGAGGTTCCTAGATAACCAAAGAAAGGGTCCCAGGTCCGATAAAATAGAAAAGGTTTGCTCTTCAAAGCTCAAGTGAGATTATGTTGCTGGGTGGTTCTCCATTAATCCATTTTTACAAGGATACATTTAGTTCTTCCCCTTTCTGACCGACAGAGGGAGACAAATCACGATTTCTTTGAAGAACTCACAAGGTAAAACCCCAAACAATTGTTTTCTTTAATTCAATAAAACTGACAGGAGTAAAGAATTATCAGCCCAAATATTATATTAAACTGCATATTAAAATATTATGATTAACATATACCATTACCTTATGTCACTAGTCAACTAGATGCTCAATTTCCATGAAGTCTGTGGTTATAAACGAAAGAGTTTTTATTATATAGCGTCTCAAAATATAGATATACGCAGTTTATATAAGTGCATTGTGGCCCGGTGTGATGTTTTCATTCATTTATAATCCACTTCCTGCTTGAGTGGTCGCTCATCTGTGCTTCAGGCCAGGAAACTGCAGCAGTCTGTCGCACTATTTAAGCTGTCGTCACATGACATGAAACTTTGGAAATAAAACACATGGTAAGGACACCTTGATTATCTTTTTACCCCTTTTGTTAGGAAACTACGAAATGTGTATTTAAAAGCTCCTACATTAATATTGAAAGACACTGAATATTGAATTGTTAGTCGACATTGATATTATAAATTGACCTGAAATCAATATACTTGGTTCTCGTGTACTAAGTTATTATTAATATATAATGTTACTCATATGTTTATGGCTATTATTATTTGTATATGTAATATATATGTATGTATTAGGCTACTGTATTCGTACTTAAGAGCAGAAAGGTGACTTCATTATGTATTGCTTCTGCAAGATGATGTTAAAATTATATTTTTGGGGGTATCGCAATACCTTTGGGCTAAACTAAAGTGTATTAATATGTCTGAGTGTAGATTTTAAAACTGGTGAACTCAGTGAGAATGCCAATGTTTATTAAAACCAGCAATATTTCAGTCCTGACAACTGGATTTCAAGATATTTGAGAGCGTAACACCTGTAGCTAACAGAGTCTATCACTATTCTTATCTTGAGGTAGACTAAGTATGGGTGAATATATTAAATATAGCAGTGAGGATGACACTTTTTATTAATAGCTGAAAGCACTATCAATTATCAAATCTGAGATTCTAGTTGGCTCCTAGGCTTGTGATTTTATGTGGGTGAATGTTTGAACTGCTGTTTGAGTTTAATATTGTAACATACACACAAAAGGCAGGCACATTTTGCATCACTGCCTTTGTAAAATCTGTATAGTTTAATTTTGAAATACAAGATTCATGTGACAAAAAAAGTTATGAGTGTTATTCTGTTCACATATGATGGTTTTGTGCCACAGTATAACTTTTACAACTTTACACAGTATTAACTGGGTGTATTGAAAATATATACGAGCAATTCCAGCCTCATGGATGTGACATTTGCTGTAAAATCTTAAAGAATAAATACACAGAGAGAGTATATGCTAACATTATATAGAAACATCTGTTTATATCTTCTAAAAACAACTAACCACAGAGTGATGGAATCAGAAAATTATCAATATGTGAACATTTTTTAGATTTTAAATGAGGAAAATAAACACACAGTTGAAGTCAGAAATGTTAGCCCCCTTTAATTTTTTTTTCTTCTTTTTTTAAATAATCTCCAATTGATGTTTAACAGAGCAAGGAAATTTTCACAGTATGTCTGATAATATTTTTTCTTCTGGGAAAAGTATTGTTTGTTTTATTTCGGCTAGAATAAAAGCAGTTTTTTATTTTTTAAACACCATTTTAGGGACAAAATTATTAGCCCCTTTAGGATATATTTTTTTTCTCGATAGTCTACAGAACAAACCATTGTTATACAATAACTTGCTTAATTACCCTAACCTGCCTAGTTAACCTAATTAACCCTGTGAAGCCTTTAAATTTCACTTTAAGCTGTATAGAAGTGTCTTGAAAAATATCTAGACAAATATTATTTACTGTCATCATAGCAAAGATCAAATAAATCAGTTATTAGAAATGAGTTATTAAAACTATTGTGATTAGAAATGTGTTGAAAAAATCTGCTCTCTGTTAAACAGAAATTGGGGAAAAAATAAACAAGCGGTCTAACAATTCAGGGGGGCTAATAATTCTGACTTCAACTGTACGTTTTGGATGTGACCAAAAAGGTTAGCAAGTTTACTGTACACAAGAGGGCTGCACGATTCTGGCTTAAAATCAAGATCATGATTTTCTCATGATTCTGTAGATGTAACATAAAAGTTAATATGAGTAGGCTATTATTATTGTTATTCTCAAACATATGGTAAAACAACAATATTAGGCCTGTGTAGGCTTGAGTGTTGGTTCAAATGCTACATTTCGTATAGACTTGGAACGGTGGACTTGAATAGACTTCAGATATGTCAGTCACCATTGATCCTCACTGCAAAAAAATGTATTTTTTACTTAAAGTTTTTGTCTCGTTTCTAGTCCAGATATCTAAAAGTTCTTATATCAAGAATCAGTTTCTAGGCAAGCAGAACATAATGTCTAATTTTAAGAAATAATATGCCAAAATGAAGTGATTTTTTCCTTAAAACAAGCTAAATAATTTGCTAATGGGGGACGCAATTAAATCTACTTTTCCTGTTGACATAAGATTATTTTTCTTACCCCATTGGCAGATTATTTAGGTTGTTTTAAGAAAAAACTCACTTCATTTTGACATATTATTTCTTAAAACAAGACAATATATTTTGCTTGTCAAGAAATTTCTTCATGATTTAAGAATTGTTAAATATTTGGACTAAAATCAAGACAAAAACTCTTGAGAGAGACGCATTTTTGCAGTGCTTAAAAAGTTGAAAAGAATTTCATTTCTCCTACAACAGAGAACTGACGCATGTCTGAACTGAATACGTCTTCGAATTGTGGCTAGAACAGACAAAGCTTTCATTTTTCTTTTGTCATTGACACAGGTTGCATTTTTAGCAGTGCATGCAGCCGATTGGCTCACTTAAGTCTGTTGTCTCTATGGCAGCCTCTGTTGTGCGATGTGCTGTGCAAAGGTGTGTGGTTGGAGACTCTTCCTGTGCCTCACTAGCGCTCTGAACCTGCGTTTCATGACGGTTCATATCTTCCTCCACAATGCCTGACATCTCAAAGTTTACTTTTAAACAATGACACACGTCAACAGATGTGTGATAATTATGTATGAGTGTAGACTGACCGTTTGAGGAAAGTTGTAAGGAAAGAATGGAGATGTCACTGGCAGGTGTTAAGGGTGGCACTCTGTGGTCTGAGGTATATTATTGTCCATTGTGTCAGCGTAACATGGGCAAACTTCTGCTAAAACTTCTGCCTTCCAGTACTGACTTTCATCAATGGGTGTCTTTGAACAAACAGTGTGCTTTATTACTGTTAAATCCTCTAGGCAGACGGTTTCGGGTTCAATGCAAGTTAATCTCTGATGATATTATCTGTGGCCTTGTGTTAGTTACCACAGAAATAATTGTGACTCCCTGAGTGTGTTAGGGGGTACATCGGAGTGCATATACACTCCTTCCTCCTCAACAGAAGTCGAGTCTTTCATGTGTTTGTTTAGGTTAAACTTGCACCAATGTGAAGCCATTCAGAATTTTTGTAATCTGAGTGAAACATGAGTTCATCCCTGTTAGCAAAATTCTTGTGGCTCAAATGCGGCCCACACCTGACACTTACATCCGGCCCACATACGGCATGGAATCATGGCACTTGGGTGGTCCATTCCTGTTTGCCAGATCTGGGCAACAATAAGCCATAGCAATATCACATAATAGCCAGAATTCAACCAAATGAACCAAAACTGACCCTATTCTGTGCCACAGGTTGCTTTTATTCTGGTCCAGATCCAGCCCACACCAAACACTGACATCTGGACCACATACTGAATGGAATGATTGCTCTAGGGTGGTCCATTCTAGTTTGCCAGATCTGGGCAACAATAAGCCATAGCAATATCACATAATAGCCAGAATTCAACCAAATAAACCAGAACAAACCCTATTCTGTGCCACAGGTTGCTTTTATTCTGGTCCAGATACGGCCCACACCAGCCACTTACATCTGGACCACATACTGAATGGTATGATTGCTCTAGGGTAGTCCATTCCTGTTTGCCAGATCTGGGCAACAATAAGCCATAGCAAGATCACATATTAGCCAGAATTCAGCCAAATGAACCAGAACGGACCCTATTCTGTGCCACAGGTTGCTTTCATTCTGGCCCAGATCTGGCCCACACCAGACACTGACATCTGGACCACATACTGAATGGAATGTTTTCTCTAGGGTGGTCCAATCCTGTTTGTCAGATCTGGGCTACAAATACGCCAAAGCAATACCACATATTAGCCAGAATTCAACCAACTGAACTAGAACTGACCCTATTCTGGCCCACAGCTTGCTTTTATTCTGGCCCAGGTCTGGCCTACACCTTACACTTGCTGGCTGTGGCAAAGTCCTAAAGTTTCAGCATGCATTGCAGTATGAGTACATTCTATATCTTATTGATGCTCCAGTTTTCATTATCTGCTGTTGATTCTGATGTTTAAGTTGACGTTGATTTTGTCACTTTTAGTCTCCTGTTTGTGAGTTTTGTTAATCCGTTGTTGACGTTCACACGCTGATTATTGATGTCTCTGTGAGCAGAAGTTGAACCATAGAATGTTCACACCGGGAGCCACTACTGTCAATCAATCTACAATCAAAAAAAGAATTAAAGAACCTGGGTGTTATTTTCGATTGTGATCTTAATTTTAAATCTCATATTAATCAAGTTACAAAAACATGTTTTTATCATTTACGAAATGTTGCCAAAATTCGTTCTTTCCTATCTTTTGATGATGCCAAGAAATTAATTCATGCTTTTATTTTCTCTCGGCTTGATTATTGCAATGCTATCTATACTGGTCTACCTAAGGGTTCTACAATGAAGTTGCAATTGATACAAAATGCAGCAGCCAGAGTTTTAATGAAATTGAAGAAACGAGAGCACATCACACCAGTATTAATAGAATTACACTGGTTGCCTGTGCACCAAAGGATAGATTTTAAGATTCTTTTATTAGTTTTTAAAGCACTACACAATATGACACCTTCCTACATTTCCGACTGTTTAACAAAATATAATCCAAACCGTTTACTACGCTCTTCTAGTGCTGGACTTTTAGAATTTTATCCTGTAAATCTGATGCGATCTGGCGGCACTTCTTTTAGCCATTATGCTCCAAAAATTTGGAACTGTCTCCCCCTTGAAGTGAAAGAATCACCAAGTATTCATGTTTTTAAAAAGCGTGTTAAGACACATCTTTTTAAAATTGCGTATGATTAAACAAGTTTGTTAGGTGTACGCATTTTATCTATTTTGTTGTAGGTTTATGTATGTAATGTATGGTGTGTGCCTGCATATGTAAGGACTATTGTGTGTGTGATCATGTGAATATATACTTACATTTTGTGTACATGAATGCTTTTATTTTAGTATATGTGATAAGTTTTTG